ACAAGCATCCTCAGATATGAGACTCTCTGCTGCAATTGTGGCATCTCAGACACTGCCATTACAAAGAGACACACAACCTAATCTGGCTTCTATATCTGGTGGCCCTCGCGAGTACTGGGGGGAGTCAAACATTGCAGATGCAAGCCCTAGGACTGATACTTCAACAGATGACACAAACTCTAAAAATCAAAGGGTGATTCTTTTACTTTCATTATATCATATCTGGAGTTTAATTCATGCACCAATTCAATGGCTTTTGGTGATGCTGCCTCGAGTTTTGATCTCATGCTTGAACAAATATGTTGGCTGATGTCCACATTTAAGTTGATAAAAATATGCTTCCACGAAATAGGTGTTTCAATGTTGTTTTGCAGCCTGAAAGGGGCCGCTCATCTATTGCAGTATCTGATTCCAACGATAGATCAGATCAAAAGGTCGTATTTAATGATGATCACAAAATATAAGCTTGTCATCACTATGGACTAATTCAACAGTCATGTATGCAGACACTGCGACGGCTGGCTCAAAATCGTGAGGCTGCCAGAAAAAGCAGACTAAAGAAAAAGGTAGGCTCTTTTTTGTATTGACTGCCTCCGTTCTAGACTTCTAGTAACATTGTTTTTCTGTTACAAATTTAATGAAATAATTACCCAACTGCTGGATGGAGCATTGTCAAAATGTTTGTATCCACAGTAACTTGTCATGTTTTACCATTCTGCTCATGTATTCTTTTCTTCCTCATCTCTCATTCCTTTCAATATATTCAGGCATATGTACAACAATTGGAAAGTAGCAGGCTGAAACTGACCCAACTTGAGCAGGAGCTTCAGCGAGCCCGCCAACAGGTTATTTTTCTTATCGTCTCTGCTCAAATTTGGCACTTTTCGTCCCTGAAGCCGCATGTTTTAAGGCAAACTTGGCTTAATCTGATAATTTTATTACATGAACATTAATTAGGTTTTAAATTATATTGTAGGGCATTTTCATTTCAAGTGCAGGAGACCAATCCCATTCATTGAGTGCAAATGGTATTACTGTGAGCCTTAACCTTGAGAACTTTATCATCGATGCCCCTCTTGGTGGAACAGTATTTTGAGATGTCTTGGGTATTCAGTGCAGTGATATCAAATGCAAAATTATAACTATCGCCAATACAGCCTCGCTAACACTTGGCTTGACATCCCACTAAGAATAGGTTGCATGACAATCAGTTTATCCATACATGTTTACATTGACTGCAAGCAGATCTGATGCTATTATTGATTTTCTAATGTGAACTTCTAAACAAGCCCAGCTGTTCATACTTTATTTTATTATTTATAACTTAGGCTCTAAACCAGGCTATAGAGATCCTTCCAATTGAAAATGGGAACTTACTTAAAAAGAATGTTCTTTTGACCATCTAGGGTGCTTGAATTTAGGTTTAGTTTGCCCCGAGGGCTAATGAGTTAAATTTGGCTATATGTTCTTTTCTGTGCCCTGCTGTAGAGAGTGCCCCATAAAGTATTCCATGACATGGGTTCATGAAGCAAACGGAAATTTTCACGTTAGAGGATATGGAGCCTAACGTACTTGGATTAAACTTAGAGTAACTACTATCTGCTCTTGTAAATCAGATCCTAATTTGTAAATGATTGGTTTGATTGGTTTGCTGTAACAGGTGCCATGGCATTTGATATAGAGTATGCACGATGGTTAGAAGAGCATAATAAACAAATCAATGAGCTAAAGGCTGCAGTCAATTCCCATGCTGGAGATATTGAGCTGCGTACAATTGTTGACAACATCATGACTCACTTTGATGAGGTTTTCAGACTGAAATGTGCTGCAGCAAAAGCTGATGTTTTCCACATCCTGTCTGGATTGTGGAAGACTCCAGCAGAGAGGTGTTTCATGTGGATAGGAGGCTTCCGCTCTTCTGACCTTCTGAAGGTGAGAATATTTCTTTTATGGATGAAGAAACTAGTTTAACTCAACTATTCTTGGTCAATATCTGAAAGATGTCTCACTTGTTGACGAGATTGGAAGTTAATAGGTTTTATTTTTGTTGTTCTGAAGTAGCTATCCTTCCGTAATATGCTGTCTAACTTCAAACTGAATTGACTCTTGGTGCAGCTTCTTGTAAGTCAGTTGGAGTCCTTAACTGAGCAACAAATGATGGGCATCTACAACTTGCAGCAGTCTTCCCAACAGGCTGAAGACGCTCTGTCCCAAGGAATGGATGCATTGCAGCAATCACTGGCCGAGACCCTTGCTGATAATTCACCCAACCCTTCAGGGTCGTCCACGAACGTGGCACATTATGTGGGCCAAATGGCCAAGGCCATGGGGAAGCTTGGCACACTTGAGAGGTTCCTTCGCCAGGTAATTCATTTCCTACTTGTTTCCCAATATCTCAAGAGCTAAAAACTATCATTTAATTCAACTTGAGAAGAAATCAGGAACTTTGAGCCAAAGAATAGGCTAACTTCAACCGCAGGTGGTAGCTCATACTAATAACTAGATACATTTTCTAATACACATAGAGTCCAAGGAATAAACCACACAATTTATTGTAGGTCTTATATATCAGAGAGTATAATCTTATTTTTCCCTTAGAAAAATAATAGTGATATATTTATCCATGCTCTTTTTCCTCCCATATACCAGGCTGATAATCTACGACAGCAAACATTACAACAAATGCTGCGGATATTAACCATCCGGCAATCGGCTCGAGCTCTACTCGCGATAGGTGATTATTTCTGTCGGCTAAGAGCCTTGAGCTCACTGTGGCTTGCCCGACCACGGGAATGAATTATGTGAAGACTCGCCATATTATCAACATGACTTCCTCTAGAAGCCTTGGACGCGTTGTTTGTAAGTCAGATCTGATCAACTCTTCACCTTTAGTGCAGTCTATCTCTTAACCTACCGCTCCTTTGCTACATCTTTCTTCCTGCTCTCTTTTTGCTCATTCACTTTTACGTTGGAAATGTTCTCAAATAAGTTGTTTGTGTGGATATGTCATTTGTAGATAGGCACGTTAGAGGAGAAAAAGAAATGGAATAGCTTTTGTAATTTAGGCTGCGTCTGTTCATCGTATTCCGTAAGTCAGATTCTTTTTTTTTTTTTGGGGGGGGGGGGGAGTTATTTTATCTCATTTCTCATGTATTAAATTTTACTTTTAATGGTTTTTGGTTGGTGCATTTGTGCATATGAATCTCTCCATGTGCGTATTTGTTGGGTTGCGTTTATGTGGAATATGATTGACGCACGCCCTGCCATTGGAGGTTAGTGATATGCTTAGCTTAAGAAAATCAAGCATGAAAGTGAAAACTAGATGAACTTGAAAAAAATTTTTTTTTTTTATAATTACAGGTTCTCATTTCATTTCATTGCCCAAACATATAGCCCAGTTGGCACGTTTTTCAGCCGCTATGATTACTGATTTATTTGTAGCATAATCAAGTTATTTTATTACCACTCTTAACCTAATCAGCGTAATACTTAGAAATGGACAAAAAGAAAGGGGGAATAAAAAAGAGGTTGGGGAGTTGCCGGAGTGAGTATTTTCATTTTCCATGATTCGACCCGCCGATTATTTTCTTGTCTTTTTTCTAAATGAATTTTTATTAGAAGTATTAAGCCTAGAGTGCCCACAAACAATATCTTGTGTATTTCTTTGCATATTTGCTAGGAAAATAATTGAACAAGGGAAGAGGTATTAAATATCTAACTTCAATTCTGATAAGTTTATTTATTCATTACTTTTGACTTGAAAATATCTAACTATATCAATTCTGATACGTTTATCTATTCATTACCATTGACTTGAAAATATCTAACTATAGAAGGTTCTGCAAAAAAACTTTAAATGGCCAAGAACTCATAGTTCAATCTCATGCCTCCTCTCATAAAGAAGGTAATGAGTTAATAGTATTTGATATAATATCTAATATCTTAGAATGTCTATTTATATGCCTGGCATTCTAGTAAGATCAAGAACTTCATACCAAAAAGAAAAACAAAAACAAAAATTAAGAGATTTTTATTCAAGACCTGATATGTCAAGTTCCGAATAAGAAATAGTTTTTTTGTTTTTTTGGCATTCACATGAATTGAATGTTGATTTAATTTTACATCCACAGCTTTTACTGAGAAACCTTGACAATGCTTTAAATTGCAATGGTAAACGTAACATTTTCAAACAAATAAAAAACTCTGTTTGTGAGTTATTAATACAACTAATATACTTCTCCGGTCTTTAACATAAGACCTATTTAATTAATTTGATTAGATTAAAGAAGTTAGGTAAATTAGTTAATTATAAGAAATATGACATATTTTCTTAAAACATTCCTAATTATCTTCCTTAATATTTTTCCTTCCTCTTCTACTTTATTATGGATTTATGGTTGAGGGAGTATCTATAAGGGTAATTTATGAAAAATTAATAAAAATGAAAAGTATCTTTTATATTTAAAACCAAAATCAACTCAACAATTAGGTTCTATATTAAGAATCAGATCGCAAAAAATATAGTTTCATAAAGTAGAAAAACTAAAGACGTATATAAAACCTTGCTTATAAACTATAAATAAAATTTTATAATTAGGAATAGAAGTAGTATATGATAATAATGTTAATTATATACACAAACGCACCCGCACATTAACAAATTCTTCGTCACTTGTCTGAATTAAGCCTGCCATGCAGCAGGTTTAGCGCGTGGTAAGAATGACACCACTTCCCCCGGTGCTTGGTCCGATACCAGATCTTCTCTGACGGAAACCAAAGCAGCCATCTATTCTATGAAATTATTCTATCTGAGGAATCACACAAATCATGACGGTCGGCCACCTTGATTAGAAATTACATTTCTCGGCGTCTCCACATGTCTCTGTAAATAGAGTCGAAATTGTTATCGGCGAATGTATCATTTTGGGGTTCAGTATTCATTGGATCAAGCCTCCCATCCAATATGCTGCCTCAGTTCTTGTGAATTAAGAACCGGTAAAAGTGTAAAACAGAAGCAAGCTAATTTTTAATAAACTTCCTTTGCGTGTCACCAACGATCCATACAAGTAACAAGGACAACATCTATCGCAACGCAACAATACATCACACAAGATAAGCTTCAGACCCGGTATTTTTGAACATTAGATGGCGATTATGTGTACGATAAACATTCAAATCCAAAATGCTCAACCTACTACATATCTTATGATAGCTGCACGAATAGAAAATTGAGAAAAAAGTAGCTATTCAATTGAGAAGATTAGTTGATTTCTTCAATCAAGTAAATCAGAAACTGCCGTCTTCCTAAACGCATCAACTTGAGCCAACAGACCTGCCATGCTCTTATTTGGGAATACGTCATCAGCTTTCAGCCTCTCCCTCATCCCATATGCTGGTTGCTTGGCATTTATATAGGCCTGGACTAGAGCTTGATAAAGGCTCAAACGAGAGCCATAACCTGATTGTCTCATTCTATAGAAAATCTTTTCCGAATTATGGATGTCACCCCTCTGGGCATATTTATTTAAAATAAGCATGTAGGTACAGAACATTGGCTTCATGTGGTTCTGCTGCACTGCCTTCTGCAAAACAGAGTCTGCCTTCTCCACCTCCCCTGCTTGAACATAAAGTTTCACAATTGAATCCCAAGTCAATGGGCCTATTCGGGTCCCACTATCTGCCATTTGCCTAATAAGATCCTTACCCTTCATTAGCATCTTGTTATTGGCGTAAACCTTCAGAAGCATTGTATAATCCCGGGAAGAAAGTTTCTTCCATTTATTCAACATTATCTCGAAAACTTTCTCTGCTTCTTCAACTTTCTTCAACCTTCCCCAAGCTTCAATTGCAGCTAGACATTCATCACTCCGAGGATTTGACTTGCAGACTTCCCAAATCCTCCCAACTTCATCAGTCTTTCCCAGGCCTCCATAGAGGGGAAGCAAAAACCGGCATACCCATCGATTTTCTTTCAAGTCTTCCCCTTCCATCTCTCTCAAAACGTCTTCAGCTTTTTCTTTAAGCCCAGCTGAGGCATAATGCTTGGCCAAGACTGCTTTTGTTTGGATGTCTGGTTCGATGCCCTCAGCCTTCATTGTCTCAACAATTTGGTCCATCCCAGCTATATCATTAGCCTGGCCTTTTGCATCTATTAAGATTTGATAAGTGAAAGGAGAAGGTTTAATATTCTCTCTTTCCATTAACAATAACACATCAGCAATTTTCTTCTTGTCAATCCTCTGATACAGGAGAAGCAATTGGTTGCAAGCAAATGCTGAAAGAGGGAACTCTAAATCCCTCATTTTATTGAATACATGTTCTGCCTTTTTCACATTGGTCTGACTAACACAGTTAGCAAGTAAAGTTCGGTAGACAACCTCCCCTCTAAAAGATTCTGGAATGCTTTCTATGTAGTTCTCTGCCTTATGAAGGCCATGCAATTTGGCAAACAAATCAACTCGAGATGTATATTCTCTCTCAGTAAATTCCAAGATCTTTTTCTCCTCAAGCCATTCTGAAAGCTATAGAACCAACAACAAATTAATATAGATTAAGTTATGCCACAAAAGTACAAAACATCAGCATGTAAAACAGGAAGCTCAAAATAGGGGCAGTATGTATCTACGGCAAATCAGCAACATGATTGAATATTCATAGCTCTTCAAAATGCACAAGATGCCTGGCTGGAACAATAATAAACGTTTTAAATCAAAAAAATGATGAAAACATGCTCAAACATGTTCATGTTTCCACATTTGAAGGACCCCATCATCCCAAAAACACATAGGCTTAACACACCCATTCATGTGAAAGCCCTTTAGGTTTGAAGCATTGATAATTATATTCCCATCATACTGTGCTAAAATTCAGACCAATCAATATACCTATATAATACATAAATTGCTAAGGAAATCATATCGAGATATTTGCCTGATAAATAGTGTTATGATTTGAAACATTTTGCTTATATCAGGCTATGTGCTATGTTGTTTTGCGGCATATTGTTTTAACATTCTTCTTTTTTAAAATTGAATTTTCAAATAAATGAGTCTTACTAGACACTTCTGTCATATAAAATGGACCCAGCGTTGCTTTGCTAGAGTGACAGTTCCAGAGAAGAAATGGTGTTAAAGGAACAAAAGTAATCAAAATAAGCATAATTAGAAATTATTAAAATGACATCAAGCAGCCACAACGTGAAGACAATAGATTTAAAATTTTATTCAAACTAAATTCGGATCCATTTACCTGCAAAGCCTTCCCATACAGTTTGCGCTTGCGAAGCATGAGCATGACCAATGAGATCTCTTTCCTCTCTACTTCTTTCCCTTGTTCAACCCATTTGTCCATAGTAGAACGGACATTCCCAACCGGGGCTTCTAAGATTTCCTTGAGCATTTCTGATTGAGCCCTCCTCCCCTTTGGTGACTTTTTCTCAGTTGATTCAGTATCAGTATCTGATAGCTCCAGCTCATTTTGTGGTTCCTCAGTATCCTCATCATCACCAGATAGATCTGATTTAGAAATTAATTCATCATTATTTTCCCCTGTAGTTGCTCCCAATTCAGAAAATCCATCTTCCCCATCCTCCTCCTCTTTTGTGTTTCTTGCATCAGCTTGTGAAGAAAGTTCACGCCTGCTCACGATAAATTTCAGTGAATCATATCCTGAGTGGTACTGAACGGTGTTCAATGATGGAGATCTACCATAGATTATAGGACAACACTCGGAAACACCGCCCTCGTCTTCCACACAAGCTGATGGTGTTAATTTGAGACAGGCGCGAGCAGTTTCTGCTTTAAGCCCTCGGCTCCTAAAAACATATTGCAAAAAATTATCGTCACAAACTGATGCAGATATAAAAGCAAGCCAAATATGAAGCACGAAATGCAAATGACAAATTACAACATTGAGAATAGGAGATATTTAAAGATGACCAGTACCGCAGTACCCGATATGAGAAAGCCGTGAAATACTATACTATTAATCATCAAGCCAGTGTGTATGTTTTCTATTAGCCCACTCGATAGTGTCATGTGAAAAGACGGAATGCATCCATCATAATCGTGACGGAGGAGGAAAACAAAAACAGAGAAGCAGGTCGGCAGCTATACACAAGTGTACAGCAACTATTTAACTATGCGTTCAATTTTGCCAGCTTCATCGACGGCCACTAGAGAAGGAAAAACCATCGACTTGCATTTTAAACGGAACACAAAGAAATGACCCGAGACTACACGGCATTCTACTGTTTTCTCCATTTCCAGAAGGGACAAGTACTACGGAGACTTACCTCAGAGGAATCGAAGCCCGACGAAGAGCCCACATGTTAACAGACCGCTGGTTGGGAAAGCTAAACAGAAGGGAAGTGATGGGAAGCTGCGCGCTTAAACCCTAAATGCAAAACCCTCTGATTGCCCCCCCGTAAATATATCCTGCGCGCACCTATTGTTTTTCCTATTTCCTGATCGCAGTTAAACCCCCCCCCTTTTGGTTCAGCCTGTGTTAATTGTTAATTGGTAATCACGCTAATACTTAATTATTACAATTATTTTTAAATGAGCTTAACAGTTATAATTATTATTGATCAGTCGTGAGCAGGAACATGAGCAGTAAGTAAGAACCGGGCAACAATCTAGCTGGTCGTACTAGCTGTCAATCTCTGCTTAGGTTTGGATGATTATCGGATGATTATAAAAGATGGCTTCTGAAGTTTTTATTTTTGCCGTGATTTCTTCAAGCGCAGGTGCCAGTGCAACGATGCGAATTGAAAGAAATTTGTCACCTACTATCAGTATACTATCTCCGATTCTAATTATAAAAACTAGTTCACCAATTTGAGGAGATTAAAAAAATAAATTAAATTAGTTATTTGTAATAAATAGGTATTGTCTTTCTTAAAATATCCTTACTAATCAAGTTTATTGGTTAGAACTACTATTATTAGAGAGACTATCTTGAAAAAGAATGTATAAATATGAGAAACAAAATAGATTATGATTTTATAATTAGAACCAAAATAAAAATTAAATAAGACCTTATATTAAGAATCGGAAGCAGTACTATCGAAGGCATGAGATGTGAATAAGCAATCCAGGACAATGAGACATAATGGAGGCTAAAGTCAGAGTATTAAAGGATTGTTCAGCCATCAAAATGGATTACATAAATTAAATGGGCTAGCTCATTAACAGTCTTTTTTTTCACATAACTTATTTTGCCCCTGGTTAATATTCATTTGAAGGATCTTATCAACAAAAAAAAAATTCATTTGAAGGAAATGGAGAGGAGAGAATGAAAGATTTTAATCAATTTTTTTTAATGGAATGGTTTGATGTTTAATTAATTTTCTTACTTTTTATCTTACGTTTCCTCTTTACTAAAACTTTGTAACCTTTCATCTATATTTTTTTTTTCAAATTGAATAATTACAATCTCTCCTTTCCATTTTTAAAAATACTCTTATTTATGAAAAAAGTGGGCGGGGAGAAGGAATGAGTGAAAAATAAATGAAAGATAATAAATTTTAAAAAAAAGAAAAATATGTAATTAATTAAGAATAAAAAATGTATTGAACATTTAGGTGGCTTATAAGAAAATGACATGCTCATTCAAAACATTGTAAATTGGAGGGGAAAAAAATGGATGGAATGTCTTTTATTTACTCAAACGCTGGGGTTTTTGTGATAGATCAAAAATTTGTTTGCTAGGATAAATTAAAATTAATCCTACCTTTGGTCTTTAATATAAGAACTAATTGACTAAATTGAGTAGATTAAGAAAATCAGTTAAGTTAGTTATTTAAATAAATATGTATTATCTTTTTTAAAATATCATTGCTAATCAAATGTATTGGTTAGAACAACAATTATTATAAGAACTATCTTAAAAAAATAGATAAATATGAGAGACAAGGTGAATCAGGGTTTTATATTTATGATCAAAATAAAAATCAAACGAGTTCTTATATTAAGGATCGGAAGTAGTAAATGTTAAGCTACATATAATTATACTTTGAAGACAAAAAAAAAAAAACCCCTTCAAATGCTCTAATTGCGAGGGTTAATAATTAATGCCAAACCAAAGCTCTACCGGAAAAATCATTGGGTCGACATAGTTGTAGAAGTTAATTCTCCCCATGATTTTGATTAAAACAAAATCTCCCCGTGTTGTCTTGATTGTTGTTTTCTTTTCTTTTTTTTTTTCCCCAGAAGGACTGAGAAAGAATTGATGAGTAATATAGCATATACGTGTATGCATTTTAAATCAAGGTATACATGTGTGTGAATTTTTTGTCATTTATATATCCATGGTATTTCTAAGTACTACTTCCGGTTCTAATTATAAAACTTTGTTTATAGACTATAAATGGGGTTTTATAACTAGGACTGGAGATAATATTTGATTAGAATTGCTTATCGTAAACATGTTGGGTTTTATAACTAAGACTGGAGATAGTATTGTTTTTGAAAGTTTCAATTATCATTCCAAACAAATAGTGAGTGCTGTGGACATATTTTTAATGACAGTAATAAAATAATTCTTGCATGGGTGGCATTTAATGACAGTGAGTTAAAAAAAGAATTCAAAAAGAAGAAAAAGTAATTGAGTCATTTTCATCATCGGTATGGTCATAAGTCCCGAAACTAGGGTTTTAATGAATTTGATTGAAATACTATCTCCAGTTCTAATTATAAAATCCTGTTTATAGACTATAAACAGGTATTATAATTAGAACAAGATAGTGCATATTACATGAAACATTGTAGAAAGGGGCCTTTCTAAATGATTTGTTTTTAGTTATATCGAAGATCTATTCATAATCCAAATATCATTAGTTCATGGATGCATGATTAACTAGGCTTACACCCTCTCTGTTTCATGTATCAACTCACAGGTAGCGGCAAACCCACCAGCTTTCATCATTCGCTTAAACTCCATGAAATTGACCATTCCATCCCCATCTGCATCCACTTTCTTGATCATTCTCTTGCACTCTTCCAGTGCCTTCCCGTGTTTCAGCCCTAAAGAATCTAAGACTGTGCTCAATTCTTCTTCTGTTATGAACCCATCTCCGTTTTGATCGAACACGTTGAATGCCTCCTTCATATCCTCGTCTTCGTCTTTATCGTCCATTATCGATTGGTATAGTTCCCCGAATTCGTCAATATCAACACACCCGTCTCCGTTTATGTCAATCTTCTCGATCATTTGGATCATATCTGTATCCGAGATGCGAATCCCCAAGTTTTCTAGGGAGTCGCGAAGCTCTTTCTTCGTGATCTTACCATCCCCATTTTTATCGAACATTTGGAACACCCGCCGCACTTCAGCCGGATCCATTAATTATTTGCTTCCGATACTATGGTGACGCAAAAGAGGATAATCAAAACGCGAGAGAATGATATTAACTGGTTCGAAGAAGAAGGGGAAGAAGAATGGGGAAGCAAGTTGATGGAATTAGATGTAGACAGATTGGCGAAGGGTTTGTGATGGTAGCAGATTGGAACTAATAATTTTCCTAGACGTTGTTTTGAACGGATGATGCGTTCATCCCTTCAATTGCGTTAAATCGTTCGTTATATTAGGGTGGTTGCGATGCGAAGCTGTTTGTGTTTTCTGTATAACTAATTAATGGAGTGCTTGAAATTTAAAGAACAAACTGCCTGAGTACGGTTTGATTCTGATAAGATTTTCCGTGGGCCACGTTATAGTTTATCTCATGATGGTTTCTTAATTTGGGTTTACTATTTATTTAGAAAAATAGAACTGCGCTTATTAAAGGAAAAAAAGCTTGGTACACTCGCATGTTTTATAGCATATTTTTGTTCAAAATGGCAATAACGGGGTGAATCGGACACAGCCAGTCAGAGCATCCCGCTTGGCATCTGGGAGGTTGTTGCGAACTCCCTCATGACACGGGTCAAATTCAAGTGTCCCGTGGGTCGCAGAGTTGTTTCACTGCCCAGACTTTTGTTGGATTTTCATATTATTAAATCTGTCATTTCTCAAAATGAAACATCATTATTAAAGTCTTTTGTTGTCATTGTGTTGTATATACGCGTCTGTGTGAGGCTTCATTGTAGTTAGGCCACTTGAGAGCTCTAATAGGGCCACGCAGGTTTTAATGGTGTTTTTCTGTTGTTATCCTTAATCAAATTTGATTATCTTCTTTTTTAATGAGATAATCAAATTTGATTCTTGTTAGGCTCAGTGGAGATAAAACTCACAACATTCTTTCATTCAACTCACGGTGTTTTGATACTTAACCTTTATAAAAATTGAATTATTTTTACTCAATCCAGCCATCATTGGTTTTAGGGGAAATATTTTGAGCAAACATGGTTATATTTTTCTTCACAAATCAAAGTATTTTTTGTTGCACTTTATATTTTAAATGTTATTGTTTGGATGGGACATAAAACCAAATTTCGTTCGACACTTTGAGTCAATTGTACTGCTATCTAATCCCTCTTATGTTATTTTGAAACTAACTTGAGTCAAACTTAATTGAATTTGACTCGTAAACATATTCATAGCTCTAATAATGTTAGAAAATTTAAGGATTTAATTTAAAAAATAGTTTTTATTTGTTCAATTTAATTAATATGATGTTTATGTTTATATTTCAATTCAAATATGCAAATTATAATTATAATTTACTAAACAAGCATACGCTTTTCACATAACTATCATTAAAAGCAATACACGGGTATTATGTTTTCACCCAGCTTATGTACTTAGCATTAATTATTTAATGTTTCTGTCTCCAACGAACTTAAAATATGTTGATTTTTAAATATATTATTAATTTCATAACAAGCTCTAATTATTAATGCCATTAACACATTAAAATCTTTTTATTTTGATTTGTTTAGACAAAAGTATATTAAGCATATATGGTTAATAAATATCTAAGTCCTTTATGTTATGATATTTGATGTATAGGTTTATATTCTTATAAATCCGCTGGTCAAAAAAAAAATTCTTATAAATCTAAAAACCATAGATTGTGATTATCAAAATCTAAAATAAATTGTACCTGCTACTAGCACCAATAGTATCGCATCCTGTAAATTTTAGTGATATTTATTACGACTTTAAAAATGTCTTCAGCTGGCTAAAGGCCCAGATACCCGAGTCGTGCAGCCAAACGATATTTTGCAGGCGCAAGGGTTTCTCCTATCACACATCCCCAAAATAAAATGATACAATTGTCTGCCTTTTGAAGTGCGGAAGCTCGCAGGTGCCATTTCCTTCATCTGTTTTCGTTCTCCTTATTCGGTTCTATGCACTGTTTCGCTGAATAAATATCGGGTGCGGGCATCTGCGTTGTTAATCTCGTTAGAATATGCTGAATTATTTGGATTTTTTCAGTTCGTGATGTGATTCTTCGCATGATTCCTGAGGACGCGGAGTAGGAAACACAGATTAATTTAAGTTATTAGCTGGCTTCGCTCTCGCTACGGTTTAATTTAGTGAAGAAAGAAAAGGTTTTGATCAGCTTATGCCTGATGTCAAACTCCTATCCGGAACCAAAACGACGTGGTGTTTCTGCGTATTAGATATTGGGTTCTTCTGATCTGTGAGTGTTCTTGGGCATTCTTTTAACTAACCGTGAGGCAGCAGAGAAGGAAAAGTAATAATAAACCTCTTTTTGTTTCTTTTTCACTCTTTACGGCCCTTTTTGCTTCTCTCTCTAAAATTTGGTGCTTATGAATACATGTTCATTCTGGAAGAAAGCTCATCATTTCGTGCAAGGTAGTGGCGATTCTTGGTCAGCACATTACCAACGTCCTCTAGCCCTGCTCAACTGTAAATAGGGGTTTGAAAAATGCCTGTTCAGCATTCATGGCAGAAATGTCATGTTATTGTTCCTTGCTTCCTTCCTGTTGATTTTGTTAATTAAATAACGATTATATCACCTTAAAATTTTCATATGATGGCATTGCATAAGGATTAAACAATATTCTTTTCATTATTGGAACGTGCATACTTCTAGCGTTTGTCCTTGTCAAATTAATAGCTGGAAATTGCCTGATTAGCTACCCTTCCTTGTAAAATTTTGGCCTCCCCTTGGCTGAAATATTTAGAATTTATTAGTATTAGAACCTGGCCATCCTTTTTTTTTGGGTCTATTTCTTTGAGCATTTACCATTCAACTATTTTCCTTTTCCTAACTGTTCGATATGGTCTTTGATTATCTTGCATCATTAATTTATATTCCACGGTTTTCATGCTTTATTAGGCCTGGCATAATGGACTCAAACTTGCAATCTCCAGCCCATGACAATACTGATACAAAAAATGCATTTCGCAAGCCTTCTGGAGACTCATCTCATAGGAATTATCGCCGTCATTCTCCAGCTGATGGATTGCCGTCATCTGATGGTTGGAATCTTTGAACTCTCTCTCATTTCTTATTTCTTTTAGCCGTTACAATGGTCTTTTAGTAAATCATAATACTTTCGAGTTGGTAGATATCTGCATTCTATAATTTTAATTGGTGTTACAAATTGGCTGCATGCGCACACATCCTCCATGCTGTTCACCTGTGGTTCTTTTTATGCTGTAAATTAGCCGAATAATGGTGCTACTAGGCTTTTTTCTTTCATGATGAACTCACTGAATTTTCGAAGGATTCTAAAATATGTTGTCTTCTGGTGATACCTTCAAAATGTATACTGGTGCTAATCTTGATGAATGGTGATTCTAGCCCTTATGGACATCTGTGTTTTCCGTTGCCAAATAAAAGAAATTTGTGGGCTCTTGAAGTAAATTGGGAAAATGGGAGGCGAATTGGTGGGGCTGTCTAGATTCAAGTAGATGTTTTGAAGGTTGCCTCTCCATGTTTTCTTATATTGGCTGTTTATGTTTATTTGGGATTGATAATATTTTTACACTATTAATGCCAAGCTCTGCTAATGGGAGTTGGGTTCAATACATTTATTCGCATTCAGGTAGCCCCAAGCATGATCGCAGCACGGATCCAAATCCATCAGGGGGAGGCTCTGGAAATGTCTCTGACAATCATGCAAGGAAGGATGATGGCAGGGAAGAAGAAAGAGATTATGGCAAGAATCACCATGGCAGGAGCAGTGATTCTTTTAGACATTCTGATCGACTGTCATCCCGGAGCTCCTATGGTCACTCTAGAAATGAAGAATACAATAGATATGACAAGTATGCCGATGAAGACAGATACCATGAGAGGCTATCTTCTCGCTCTGGACTTGAGTCGAGGGGTGATCATACAAGAGAAGGGAGTGATAATAGGTCCAAAGATCATCTACGAGCTGTGGACAAATATTCACGTGACAAGTATGATAGGTCAGAGTATAGGGGTTCAGATTATAGGAGCAAAGAAAAGGATAGAGAAACCTACTCGGAGCATCTAAAATATAAAGGGAAGGATTCTTTATATGACAGATCTCGATCTGGAAGGAAGCATTCTCCGTACGATGATGTGGAAAGGGAGAGGCGTTCAAGGGACAGTGATTATCGAGATGAAAGAAGAGATTCACACAGAAGTTATAGAGATTACAGAAGTGATCGGGCAGTCTCCTATTCTGAGTCAAGGAGCCAAAGAGATGACCCAGGTTCACGGAAAGACAGTGCTAAATATCGTCTAAAAGAAGCTTATGTAAGTGAACAAAAGGAACTGGACAGTAAGAGGTTTGGTAGGGACTCTCAGATTAGCGAGGACCTTGATAGAAACACCAGAAAAACTGGGGAGCAAATCAATAATGAAGATAGAGAATCTTCTGCCAAAAAAACAAAGTTGTTTGGCACTGAATATGGTGCGTTGTCAAATATAATTTATACTTGCAGCTTTCTGACTTTTGTGATGCATTTGTTTTGACTCTTCAAATTTTCCTGAATTAAAAGGAGATGAAAGCCAGACTTCAAGTTCGAAGCATCCTCAGGAGAGTAATGTGAATTTAGGGACTACCCAGGGCAGTGGTTCAGAGTTTGCCAATGATCTAAATAGTGCAAAGGTTGCAGCCATGAAAGCAGCTGAATTAGGCAAGCGCTTCTTTTCAATTGCAATTGACCTAATTTTGCATCATGTTCTAGTTCTTTCAGAAGCCATTTTGTACTTATCTGGAAGTTTTGTTGAATGACAGTTAATAAGAACCTAGCTGGCGCTGGTTGCTTGACTACTGACCAAAAGAAGAAGCTCCTGTGGGGCAGCAAGAAGAATACACCAGCAGAGGAGGTATCTTCGACTTTTTAATACATTTTCCAATTTTTTTGGGGATAATTGTGTTTTGAAATTATGTTCACAGTACTTTTAAGAGGTCAAGGTTTTAACCATTAGATATTCTTGAAATGCAAGTGAGTTATTATCATATGCACGATTTCAAAAGTGATTTGATTTAATGGCGGAGAAGCTAAACCTTAGTCGAGCTCTCCATGGGAAAATCTTTTTCTCTCGTTATTTGTTACTAGTTCAGTCTCAACCTGATTTGCTCACATTAGGTCCCGGGGGGGGGGGGGAGACCTGATTTGCTCGCATGAGGGGGGATTTTTTTTTTTTTGGGGGGGGGGGTGTGTGGTTAGTTATGGTTATGGAATATTGAGGTGCTGTATCTGTTATAACACCACTGTGCTTTTTTATTTGCCCTGGCAATTGCTATAAACCGGTACTTATTCATTTGCTGCTCCAAAAATGCACACGCCAAATGTTATAGTCTGGTCACCGCTGGGATACAGCACTGTTTTCTGATAGGGAACGTCAAGAGAAGTTCAACAAACTCATGGTAAGTCTCGATTGACCTACTGCCCTATTTGACGAGATAATAGCATCAGGAGATCTTTTCCCCTTTTCCCCCCTTTTATTTAACTTGTTCCTGAATAGTCTGGCTGGCTCCTTTGGAGTTTTCCCCTTACTAACACAGTTTTAGAGTCTGAGGTTGCATTGGTGCCTATGGCCAATTGTAGGGTGTGAAGGGCGACCCCCAGGTGGAGCAAAGATCCAACGATCAAAATGTGGAGAAGCAGAGGGAACAGCTCCAGATGGATCTAGAGAAGCAGTACACTGCAGGTCTTCGTCGGCGAGATGGCCGTACAGTTGGATTAGGACTTTAAACATTCGCTCAACAGCTTTCCCATCGTTTGACCTGCACTATGGTGGTTATTACGCTTCCCTGCTCTGGAGGATTTTGTTACTTGTTTGTTTTATTTGGGGGCATGATTTGATGTCAGCCACATGGAATCTTGGCAGTTGTTGGGAGTTTTCTAGTAGACAGAAACTCGTTTATCTTATGGATATTCTTGTAATTGGAGGTCAAATTTTATCTTGTAATGCGTATAAAACCGATCTTGATACTTGGGACCTAAAGAATCTGTGATGGACTGATGGGTTAATTATGGGAGAATTATGATGAGATTCTAAAAAAGACAAATAATTTTTAAAAAATCTCAATAATAACTTAAGTAGCATATAATAATAAGTTTTAGATTAGGAAAGAGTAATTTTTGGGATTTGATTGTAATCCTCTTGTTAATTATTTTATTGTGAACACTAGTGAAGTATGAATGTCTTGAACTAAAATGGTTCCCGGGAGGACTAACGACGGTCACAGTGTCTATAATTGTTCCTCTTAACCAGAATAGGACGCTTCCCTCACCGTCGGGCAACTGTTAACATTATAGGGTGGTCTTCGGCCCTTGCTATGTGGTTGCGTGGTCTCGGTCGAGTGTGTATGGTAAATTCAATGATTTTTCGATGCACAGGGTGAGGTTTTTTTCCCCCAAAAAATATTTTATGTTTTTAGAGATAAAAATTAAGTAATACTACTTCCGGTCCTTAATATAAAATATTGTTTGACTTTTATTTTGGTTATAAATATAAGACTCCAATCCACTTTGTCTTTTATATTTATACATTTTTTTTTCAAAGTATTCCTTCTAATAATGATAGTTAGTCAATACACTTGATTAGTAAGGATATTTTAGGAAAAACAACATTTATTTAGGACAAATAACTAACTCAACTTACTTTTTTAATCTCCTCAAATTAGTCAACTGGCTCTTATAATTAGGACCGGAGGTAGTATAACGCATTGACATAATACTGAAACTGTTTTTTCAGAGGAAAAAGTGCTTCGTTTTTTTTTTTTTAATAGTGAGAAGGGATTATCTCATTTCATCAAGAAACTGCACAAAATGGATGGAACTAACATATTGCCTATTTCCACTCTATTGTAGGGTGGTTATTAAAAGAAATAAAATCAGAAGATTTATCATGACCTAACCTCGTCAAAAAAATCAGAATCTCTATTTTCTTCTCTTTTTTATATAAAAAATCAAATTTATTTAAATAAAATAAAATGATACATGATATTTTGAACTTTCAAATAGATCATGTGTCAGTGCCAATCATGAAAACATACTGAAAAACACAAACTAAATAAAAAAGGATAACTATAGTTATCTTTTACTATTGCTATTTTTATTCCAACACAATAAAAAAATAAAAAAAATAAAAAACTCTACCGAATTATAATATTTTAACTAGGATTGTTTATCGACAGAACTAGGCAGGGTCAGATTCCTCCTTGATGCCTAGTCAGAGGAATGAACGGGCTGTATTTTGCAACCCGTTGCCTGACCTGCTTGGTAAAAACTCTAGACATTTTGGATTAGGCTAATCTGGACTGAATAAGGTAGGTTTTTTTTTGCCAGAAAAATTATACTTAGGTCCCATGGAGCACAATTAATATCAACAAAGTCCCTAGAAATCACAAAATGATTCTGAAGTCCTTAGGGACCTATGTGTAATTAATTTTAATTGTGAAATTACCTACTTATCCCTGTTAATTTTATTGCAACAATTTATTTATAACATCAACAGTGGCTGTTGACAACTCGAGAAGAAGTGATTAACAACCTTGACAGTGCTCATGACAACTCACTCTGTGGGATGACTGTTGACAACCCGAGAAGAAGTGATTGACAACCTCGGCAGTGCTCCTGACAACTCACTCTGTGGGATGCCAGGGGTGTTGCTGAGGTTGTTAACCACCTTTTCTCGGGTTGTTAACAGCCACTATTGAGGTTGTAAATAGTTCAAATTAATAAGGATAAGTAGGTAATTTCACAATTAGAATTAATTACACATAGATCCCTAGGGACTTCAGAATCATTTTGCGATTTCTAGGGACTTTGTTGATATTAATTATGTTATGTGAGACCTGAGTGTGATTTTTCCTTTTTTGCCTAAGTGATGACATCCTACTCATATTATGTGTCGAAAAAAATCCACTATCTAAATAAACTGTTACTTTTACTGTTTTAATTCATTTCTTAAGTTATATTCTAATCTGAAAAAAATATAAATATAATTATATATATTTTGGGGCAGGGCTGCCCATTTTTCATCGGGGTGCCTTTTTGTAGGCCAGGCAGAGTAATTTTTTCCCGGACTTAGATGGGCACACTGGGCAACCGGACCTCCAAAACGGCTCTAATTTTAACCCGTAAATCCTATAACAGGAGGATAATCTCCCATCATGCGACAAGTTTTCATCGTTTATACAGGCTGGTAGTCCATGGCAAGGCAGCTATGTGCGGATACACGGGCAGCTTCTCGACAACAAAATGAACAAAGAAAAACCAGTGATGCAAGTAACACGTGGTAATAAAGATAGTGCAATTTGTGCAAAAGTGGAGACAAAATTAATACTTGCTCAAATGCTCAAGAATATCAAAATTTGCTTGTAGTGAACAAGAAAAATTCCAAAAGCGTTTTAAAAACAGCTATCTAATTGAAAAGAAAAGTAAAAAATGGCATTAGTCATAGCCATAAATTCCTCCTCTCATTGCATTTCCCAGCAAAAGCATTGGATGTCCAAATATGACATTTTCATTCAACGGGATTGCAATTGCAAGTTGAAAGGAACAAGATTTCCACGATTCCTTGTAGTCAAACCTAAATTACTGTGTATCGGTGGACGAGCTAATGGGTTAAAAGACTTTCTCCGGTTGCTTTTATGTATGGTTTTGAGTGAATTTACTGACCTCGGAATTTTCAGATACCTTCCGTGGGAGTTCATTTTATCATATGGAAACAATATAGATTGGCATGTGGTTGTCCTAAACCGGTAACCATACTCATCCTCACTATGTACATGAAGAATAATTTGAAGTTTCGAAGCAGAAGCCACAGATTTATCACGTACTGGTTTCAAATGGCTTCACTGTGTCCATGAATAAAACTGACGAGGACACAGTCAGAGTTATATATGAAATTATAAGTATACTGATTGAAAAAGTAGGATATGGATCCCGAAATTTCAATTTAACTTCTTTTCAAGCTTATCAGTTCACAGTAAACTCCTCAACATGGCCCGCTATCGCGTTTGAATGCGTTACACTTTAGCCCTTTATGCTTATCCTTCCTAGTGAACCTGTGCGACGTCAAAGATTTGGTGGAACTCTAAGCTGTAAACTTGTTCGTATTCGCTTTGTTATTGCATTGCAGTAGATCATCAATGTCTTGTCATGAACATGATAATCAAGCCATGCTATTTTTCTTTTTCAAAAGTAGAATTTGTCGCCGTAATTAAGAGCAGATAAAGCCCAAAGTTACTTTTATTATCTATTTAATATAAAAAGAAACCAATGATGGAAGACAAACAACAAACACGTCCCAACGTTCGCTCTTTTTGTCCTAGCGGGATGTTGACCAGATTTTTCAGTACATCCTCAAATGCTCGGTACTCTTGCCTTGCATTTCTGAACTATGCGTATATGATTCGTCTCTAGCATATGAAAATAAGAAGGGCCGACCGTCACGGGCAGATCTACAACGTGAAGATCACCCCAGGAATTTCAGATGGTGACTGGGGAAGAAACCTAAAAATGAAAGATTCTATTCACACGAAACCGACCCAAGGACAAACAAAAGCCAGACAAAAGCATTGGCCATTGAAGACTCGGGGTCGATACCACATTTCGCTTTTAAGCTAGCAGTCAAAGTGTCCTCCTTTTTCACACGTTTAGCAACGTAGCAATCATTCAGGCCTCTTAATAATATTTCCTTTGTTTCCAGGGTTTATTCGCATCTTTACCGCAGCCTGTTTTGAGTTACCCAAAACATCATATTTCAGCACCTTACCATGATATCTCAACCGCTTGCCATGGCTGCAACGTTGATACTTGTGGTTCTTGCACAAATATGCACATCAGTTACTTCACTGTCAGAAGCTGATAAGATTACTAGTTTGCCAGGGCAGCCACCGGTCAAGTTTAACCAATACGCTGGTTATATTACCGTTGATGAGAACCAGCACAGAGCTCTATTTTACTATTTTGCTGAAGCAGAATCAGAACCTGCTTCTAAGCCATTAGTTCTCTGGTTAAATGGAGGTATGCTTTTACTTATATGCCAAATACATAAAATTTACTTCCAAGGGAAGAGAAAGAAGAGATTGAGGTGTTTTTATGAGTTATGAAGGGCCTGGTTGTTCGTCTGTGGGAGCTGGAGCGCTCGTTGAACATGGACCTTTCAAACCAAGTGAAAACGCCCTCGTGAAAAATGAATATAGTTGGAACAGAGGTAGTGAAAAAGTTTTATCCCTTTGGATTGAGTACTACAATTTAGCATGCTGTTTCCTATCAAGATTTGCCCCCCTTTTTTGGCGACCTTCTATCAAGATCACTCACTCATTGATTTACCTCCTTGCTACAGAGGCAAATATGCTATACGTGGAATCACCGGCCGGGGTTGGTTTCTCATACTCTGCTAATGAATCATTCTATGAATTTGTGAACGACGAAATCACAGGTTTTTTCACTTGGTTTTATGCATTTCAGCAGTTAAGCAGCACCATAGTGCTCACTGTTAGGCACTGGTCAGCTGGTTTTCCTTGAGATCTTCGTAATTACTATAGATTTCATTGTTATTGTACAGCAAGAGACAATCTTGTTTTCCTACAACGTTGGTTGACCAGATTCCCAGAGTACAAAAGCAATGATTTCTTTATCACGGGGGAGAGCTACGCAGGTAAGTCATTTAAGTAGTATTTTCGTTTCATAACTACAATTCTGTAAGCATACCAGTTTGCAGGTCACTATGTACCCCAACTTGCACAGCTTATTGTTCAAACCAAAACAAAGTTCAATCTCAAGGGGATAGCTGTGAGTACAAAGGATTTTTTTGAAAAAAATAAATAAATAAATAAACGACTTTGCTCGATCTGCATATCATAACTTGTTTCCATGTTGCTATTTGCAGATAGGGAATCCTCTTTTGGAATTTAATACTGATCTAAATTCTAGAGCCGAATTCTATTGGTCACATGGGCTAATATCAGATTCGACTTACAAGGTCTTTAGCACCACTTGTAATTTTTCCCAAATTTGGAGACAATATCACAGTGAGACTCCAAGTGTCAGCTGTGCAGAAGCGAATAAACTGGTGACAAGGGAGATTGGTAACTTTGTTGATCGATACGATGTCACTCTTGATGTTTGTTTGTCATCCATAGATAAGCAGGCTCAAATGCTAAATCAACTGGTGAGGGTCATAACATTGCCTTGATTTTATAATTCCACGACTATTATACCATTAAATTTTCTCCGTTTGCTTTCGTTCGCGACGCAGCAAGAGACAGCCAACATAGATGTTTGCTTGGAAGATGAAACATCTGCATATTTGAACAGGAAAGAAGTACAGGAAGCTCTGCATGCAAAGCTTGTGAGAGTTATCAATTGGTCTATTTGCAGCGAGTAAGTCTTCTTGCTTGAAAGAAAGCATTATCCTAAGAGCTACTTTCCATGATCATAGCTTTCCTCATTTGTTCTGGACTTCGTATTTCTGCTTACACAACTATCACCACCATGATAGGGTGCTAAGATATGACAATCAGAATCTAGAAGTACCAACAATTCCGATTCTAGGAGAACTCGTTAAGTCCGGCATCCAGGTTTTTGTGTACAGGTTGGTATTCTTCATTCTTTTCAAGATGTTGCCTTCCCTCATTACTTGCTGGCTACCATTAAACGTCCACTTTTTTTTTGTTTGGTATTAAATATCCACATATCTACTACAAGCAAAGTGGTTTGTATGCAGTGGAGATCAAGACTCAGTGGTCCCATTGACCGGAACACGTTCTCTGGTGAATAAATTAGCCAAGGAGTTAGGACTAAATACAACCGTGCCTTACAGGGCCTGGTTCGAGGGGAGACAGGTTAGTAGCTCGGATATCAAGAGATCCGGAAAACTTGCAAGAGTTATACGCTTAAACATTGCGCTCAAACTTTATGTATAATTTTTCAGGTTGCTGGATGGACACAAGTTTACGGTAACATTTTATCATTTGCGACCATAAGAGGGGCGGGTCATGAAGCCCCATTTTCGCAGCCAGAGAGATCACTCGTCCTTTTCAGATCATTGCTCCATGGAAAGCCCCTTCCAGATGCCGCCCCTTCAACCTAAACACATCGCCCATAACACCCCTTTCACCAATATGCGCGTCTTCCTCCCCCAAACCAACCCCCAACCCACAAAAAATCCCCCACCCACTTGGACCAAAAACAAGAAAGAAAGAAATATTAAGAAATAGAAATAAAGGGTTTGGATTAGCTTTTTAAAAGCAATTTTACAATGTTTGAAGTATGTGACAAAAATTTTGTCTCGACTTGCATGAAAATATGTTTTAAAGTGTTTCTAACAGGTTCCCAAACTCCCCCTTAGCATAATAATATTCACATTTGCTATCTATCCTCAACAAAACAAAACGGCATGACTTAAGAATTCCGAATGATTTATTTTGGTCCAACTTGTAAACACGGAAGTTTGATCTTTCCAAATTATCAGCATATCTGTTCAAGCGTGCTACAAAAGACAAGAGGGATCTGCGTAGAATTTATCAAAACTAGAACAGAATGAGAACTGTCAAAACAGCAGAATTTGATATAATCACAATTTCGCAGCAGAGGCTGAGTCCACTAATCTTTCAAAGGCGATAACAACATCAATCATGCAACGTTCCCAGTAGGTCCTCGTCACGATATAAATGATACCTGCCAATAAGAAATCAAATACATTATAGTCTAGTTACCTAAAGAAATCAAATACATTATAGCCTAGTTACCTAGGAGAGCCTACATGAGTTAGATCGCTCTTGCAATATTAGCGTCTATTTATAAAGAAAATGCACCACATATAAGAATTTAGACCCATGTGATTCCAGGATTGTTAGCTTGTAAAAATAATTAAACAAACAGGAGAACATGTGAAATATGATCCAAGAGAAACGTGTACATACTCTTTGTCACCCAGCTTCACTTCTGATCCTCCATATTCAGGTAAAAGGACAGTGTCACCCTCCTTTACAGCTACAGGAATTAGCCTTCCCTCTCTATCATGAATGCCAGGGCCCACAGCAATAACTTTTCCAGAATTCAGCTACAGCAACACCAACAAACAATTACCAGCTCATCAGATGTACTCTAACAGAGCAAAACCTCGAAATTTTTTTGGTTTCCCAGCCAAACCAGAGCAAAACTTAGATTAAGTCCTTTTTACAACGTTTAGCACCTTTAACCATCCAATGGAACATTTAATATGGATCACGCACCACAGCATGGCAATCCAAACAAAAATCCTAGCTGGTTTCATCCAAAGCCCAATATCATAGGAAACATTTCCGACGCCTTGGCCAGCCCATATCTACTAAGAGGCCGAGAACTAAAGAGATGATGTGGGCATAACGTTATATATTACACATTCCTTTGAATTCGTTGACAAACAGCCGATTAATCACAAGTGTAGTTTCTAGACCCGTCAGAAGAGAAGTGAAAAGTTGGGAACACAGCAATGCGACCCAAATTATAGCATTGCAAGTGACTAACTCTGAATTTCTTTAATATGTCTGGTTGTCAGGTCAAAGGGACTGTAATGATATGACATTTTCTACAGAGTCCTACTTCCTACTTCCTTCTTTGCATATATGAACAATTACTGAGAGAAGAAAGAGTCCATTAGCTAATTTTATTCATACAAAACGTGGAAACATAATATTTTCTACAAAATTAGAGACGAAAAACTGATGACAGCTGAGGTAAACCATGAGTAGCAAGCTGAAAATTTTAAGATCAACAGAAGCAAGAAATGAAATGGGTGAGAATGAATGAGCGGGTTCACCTTACTGGATTTCTCGGGTAGCAAAATCCCGGCGTTAGTTTTGGACGGAGGAACGATTTTCTCCACCAAAACGCGATTAAGCAAGGGACCCAAGCGCCTTGCCATTGAGTAGACAAAAACAGGAGAAGCGAGATGGGAGTGAGAGGCTGCGAAGAATATATCAGAATTAAGCACGCCTGCTAGGGAAACCTCAGCTCAGTCAGGGTTTTGCAGGGTTTTACTTCGCCCGGTCAGTATTTACGGTCTCATTGACTCGTCGAGTTACCATCGTTTCTCTGTTACCCCAAAAAAAAAAAAAAAAAAACACAAAAAGAAATTGCCTTTGGGGTGAGCATTTATTATATGATATTGGCTGCCTTGGGATTAAAAAATAAAAACAAATGATTATGTTCCGAGAATCATTAGCAAAGAGTTAAAAATTGTTAAGATTTTTTTTTGGCAGGTGTTAAGACCAGTTATATAAACATAAGCCAAAAAAATAATAATTAGATGAAGCAGGAATAGTTTGTTCTCATGATTATTATGCACCAGATTCTTTTTTGTATGAATAAAAAAATTACTAATAATGAAAGCGAAAAGTTAGGCCCCTCAAGCTGGCGAAACAAAAGAGCCATATTACGATGGGCTGGACTTCGCAATTGAAACTTATATGTTGAAGTCCCAAAAAAAAAAAAAAAGAACATAAAAGTTAAAGGTGGTGGGCGGACCTGTTCACTAGGTGATTGTGAATGAATAAAATTTGATTTGAAAAAAAAGAAGAAGAATTAACCATAATAAATGAAGATTAATTAATAAAAACTGAAGGATTAATGGAGTCAGTCTCATGTAATAGAAGAGTAATAAAGGTAGTAAGAATGATTATGTTACAGGGAGAACCCAAAAGGAAAGGGCCAAGCGGTACTAATCAGAGACAGCTTGCCGCTAATGATGAGAGTTTGACCAAAATCACAAAGAACCTAACCATAGTTAATCTATCCTCCATTCATAATTAACATGTCTTGGTTGATTCCCATCATATCCTATCATTTCTAAGCTTATACGTTGGTTGCTAGCTGCTACCCCCCTCTCTTGCTGCCAAATTAAATCATAATTATTCAGTTTTGAGCCAGAAATTGGGGCGCATGTGAATCCGTAAACAACATGAAATTGATACTTTTTTCTTAGTTTAAATAAATTGTCTTTTATCAAAAGGAATAATGTTGAAAAGAAGAGAAGGAAGAAGAAATAGAGAATATTTGCTGGGGAGGAGAGACAAGGGAGGGGTCCATCAAGGATGGGGCAATTGAAGCCCATGATGAGGAGTCCCATGTAGCAGAGATACGCTGATGCTGATATTGGATCTTATTTTTTCTATAGATCAACTATTTGGAGGAAAAAAACAACTATTACTTCACAAAATGAGCTAGCCACGATTTGAATTTTCATTAAAAGAAATATTTATATTTAGTACTCGACAGTGTATTAAATATGATTGTCTTCAATAAAAAATATCTATAAGCATCAAATAAAAAAAACAATAACTAATAAACTTATAAACAGCATATTTTTAAATTGATTTAAAATCGAGAAATTACGTGCCCTCTTGTTCATATAAAGAGGTGTTCCTAGTTTTATCACTTTTATGATCTAGTGACATGTAGTCCGCTTTCAGCGGTGGAATAGTGTCGGCATGATCTCGTTATTATCACTTGGTCACTTGGTAAACTTGCTTAATTATCCTGTTCAATTCAAATACATATATGCAGGAGTGTACATAAACTTAAGGAAACCTAGTCTTTCGAAAGCTTCATATGAATAATATCTGTATATGAATAATGACAGGAGCAAGAATAAAGGGTGTAAGAAAAGAAGAGGCATGCTTGGGGGTGATGGGTTTGACTGAGAAAATAAGGCCAAAATGGCGAAACCAACAAAATCTCAAATCATACATATTGCTTGCACAACAAACTGAGTTCTTTGCCCCTAATCATGCTGTTCCTGCTCATCACCTCACTCCCCCCATCTCCCTTTTCCTCTTTGCTTCTTAGCTTTTCGTTTCTCCTTCTAATTTCTCTACAAACAGCCCCATTTTTCTTTTATATAGGATGTGAATTACTTCCTTCCAGTTTTCTCGTGTCTGATCTACGACTATTTTTAAAAATAATTTTAAGAGCCTTGTCATCAGTGCTTGTATATCTGGACCACTTATCAAGCTAGTCAAAAAGAATTGGTTCAAAATCATTTGTTTCATTCAAAATAAGAAATTAACTAGCTTATCGTTTTACGTCCTATTTATTGCTGGAATTTACAAATGTTGATAATCATGAAAATCTCAAATCATACATATTGCTTGCAAACAAAACTGAGTTCTTTGCCCCTAATCATGCTGTTCCTGCTCATCACCTCACTCCCCACCTCTCCCTTTTCCTCTTGCTTCTTAGCTTTTCGTTTCTCCTTCTAATTTCTCTACAAACAGCCCCATTTTTCTTTTATATAGGATGTGAATTACTTCCTTCCCTTTTCTCGTGTCTGATCTACGACTATTTTTAAAAATAATTTTAAGAGCCTTGTCATCAGTGCTTCTATATCTGGACCACTTATCAAGCTAGTCAAAAAGAATTGGTTCAAAATCATTTGTTTCATTCAAAATAAGAAATTAATTAGCTTATCGTTTTACGTCCTATTTATTGCTGGAATTTACAAATGTTGATAATTATGTGTAAGAACAATTCTGGAATAATATTGTAATATTGAAAAAATTTATACTTAACAGTGTATTTTATGCCAACAACTGAAAACATTTTTCTAGTCTTTGTACTGGTTTTTATTAGTTCAGCTGTCCAGTTCAATTGGTTTGTGATAATAACAATATTATCGTTTCATTTCATTTTAAATAAGTCATCTCTTGACAAGTTATAACAATTCCAAATGTGGCTCCACTAATTAGCACCTAATAGAACAACAAATATTGGAGAAAAAGGGTAAGAACTGCGACCCATGCAGATTCATAAAAGCCTAGTCTATTTAACAAGCACTGATAAGCATAAATTAGCAGCCCGACTAAAACTATAACCTTCCGGTTTAGAGCCTAATTAATTTATATCAACGCACCATTGGACCACCGTTGCTTTGTATCGATATTGAAAATCAAATGACCAACATGAATGATAGAATTAGGGTCAGAAGAAAGCACTTGTACTGCATAAGTGGGTTGGATTATTTTTACTGAAGTGTGAACTTGAAGTTGCTTGAGTATATTTGGTTGCGTCCGTGTTTATACAGGTGAGGAAAAATTAAAAACTGTCCATGACTTTCATGTACTGATCCTTCTAAAAAATTAAAAGTGACCAACAACATAATCATTTCTAAGGAGAAAGTACCCACTACATCCATTCTGAAATTCACCTCCCAGCCCTCTCCTCCATGGCCCACTCCACCTCCCTACTCCTCCTTTCTCTTCATTCTTTCTTTCTCCGTTTCTTTTTTTCGTTGAAATCATTACATGCAAACCCCCATTTTTTTATTCTACTCTTCTTTATGTACCTTCCTGTATTATGTTGCACATAAGCAATCTATGGCTACGGTTCAACTATATATATTCCAGATAATCTCTGCAACATGATGTGTGTTGTGTGTGTGTTGCTTGCTATATTGATTTCTTTTTACTGGCATGATTGATATTATTGACTGATGCACGCAATAAACACGTTTATTCCTCCTTTTTGACTCAATTATTTGTTTATTTGGTTAATGTTTCTTTTTATATTCTTCTTCCTTTGGGAGGGATTCTGGCGATCAGAAATTATGCAGCAGTCAATTTCGTACCTGCAGCTTGTTGCTACATATGTCAAAGCAACAAGAAGGAAAGAATATACAATGAGCCACCACTTACCATCTTAGGGCCTAATAATAGTTCTTGGAATTTATTGTCAAGAAAAGGACATTGCCAATCACATTATCCTTCCTACGATTGCTGAAATAATCCCGTACCCTGTCTGCTTAAAATTCTATATGCTCTCATTCTTAGTTTGAACTTTGAAAGTTTCATCGGGAAGCTATCCAGAAGTGAACAATAACCAAACTATTCTCTTTTCTTTTTAATTACGATTTAGTATAGGAAACTATAGACACTGGTAATGGCAATACTCCCTTTCCTGCCGAGATCAGAGGGGAAAAAAAAGTGCTGGGGGCCAAAAAAACAAAAACTTTCATAAGGTTGTGTGAGGGATGCATCCCAAAACCAAAGGAAAAGAGAAGAGAACAATGAATTTGTGAGTTGATTTGTAATATTGTTAGGACTCAAGGTCAGATGAGATTGTGGTCAGCAATCACCTTTTACTTTGAGATAATGTCCTGTGGGTTTCATGTGGGACTATTTGTCTGTACTACAGTACCCGTGAAAAGAATTCCAAAAAGGAGGAAAAAAAAAAAAAAGGAGAGAAAAACATCAGCTGTTGTTTCAAGCGGGACAGTAGATCTGTATGTGAATATACGTTATCGTCTGTCAATGACAGCTTTTAGTTAATGTTTCATTTGGGATTTGGCTTGAAAACTTTGGATATGGAATTCTATTATACTTGTCTGTATAGAGAGATAACTGCAAAATCTCAGTAGTTGAAGTGTATAATCAAACAAAAATATTATACGAAAGAAGTAGAAAATGGTACTATTTTGAGATAAAACCAAGCCATTCATGCATACAGAAATAGGTGACCACAGAAATTCACATGTTGATCAAAAGGGGTCAAAGCAAGTTTCCCTTTTGCGAGTACATCTAATTGTGAGGGTATAAGAACAGTACAAGAGAAATTAATCTGAATGGAGAAAGCACTGTTTCTTAGAGCAACCGAATGGGGGGAAAAAGATTAACAAAATGATTCATTTGTCTTGACCCCCCGGCCCTGACACTGATCAATTGAGATTGAGAAAGGGACCATGCGAAGCTTTCAGTCTAAGAAACTCGAACTCAACCCATATCTCTCTCTCTCTCTATCTACCCCCCTCCCCCCCCCCCCCCCACCAAAAAAAAAAGCCCCATCTATCTATCCGCCTCTCTCTCCCCACTTAGTCTCTCTACGCTAAGCCAGCCATACCATTCTCTCACTGTCTCTCTATGACTGCGTTTGTGGGAGAGTTTGAAGTGTTTGTCTCTAGCTGAGTTTGTGAAAGGAAAAAACTGGGCTCTGAAATTAGTAGCAGATATTATAAATTAAGGAGAGGGCAGCAAGTTCTATGCATTTTGACTTCAGCCTTTTCATTGACATTCCTCCTCTTCAAACTCCTAGGCTGCTCCTACTATAAAGAAACTATCCCAAAAAGCCTTCTTTCTTGATATTATAACCAAATCTCTCTTTTCTATTATTTGTTAGTGCTACACCTTCATCAGTCACGAGCCCACACTCGTCAGTCTCGAGGAAAATAGGGAGGAGCAAGAAGAGGACGAAGTAATCGGCGTAACTATCCAATGCGATGATTTTTGCCAAGATTAAGAAGCAAATGGGTTTGTTGATCCTATCTCTACTCCTTCTGACCACGTTACTACTGATTTCTCCATGCAAGGCTGCCGGGAGAGCCAGATTTCACAGATTCAAAGGTCATCGGTCTGCTAATTCTGAGCTCAAACCCTTTCATTTCGGTGGTGGCCTCAAAGGGCATGAACATCAAGATGTGGATGAAGATGAAGTTTTTGGAGCTGATAAGAGAAAAGTCTACACAGGTCCAAATCCACTACACAACAGATAAGTTAGCAGACACAGTTAAACGGCCAATCCAGCTCCTTTGTGTCCTCAATCCAAGTTCCTTTCTCTTCCTCTTGTTCTTTCTTTTATATTCCATATTTCAAAGAGCACTTTCTGTGCTCTGCAAGACTTTTCCCGGTTAAGTTATTTACAGATGTATATGCAAAATTAGGTTTGAGATTTGAGATGATCTTGGTGATGATGAGAGAATATAGTAAAAATATTTTTTGAAAGATTTTTTTTTTCCTCCGAAAGATGAATGCCATAGATAGCTATAAATAGGGTGGTTGGTTTGAGTGAATATTGGCCAACTTTTGCTTTAATTTAGCTGATGCGTATTTGCCTGCATGCTTCCTTTGTCCTGATTTCCTCCAAGATTCTCACACACACATCATCAGGTTTTCCATATCTAGCTAAGCCTCACTGTCTTTAACAAGAAAGCCTGTATATGAATAGCACGCATGGAAATGGTACCAATAATGTGCCTTCCCCGTAAAAAAATCACAATAATGTATATAATATAAAGTATTCTGTAACATGAATGTGGAGAATGATCGTCTTTCTTTTTCAAGCTCTTTTCTACCAAAAGAAAAGGAGCTTTGTTCATTTATGGAACGTACGTAATATTTTATGCAGTTCTGGGATGCTCAATGCAATTATTCAGAATTCACAAGTCAAAGATCATTCATTTTATATATTATCATAGTGTAATTACTTTTATTGTTCTGGTAAGGGTAGCTTAATTACTTTGTGGAGTGAGAATAGCTCTTTCTCTGTGAACAAGCACTATGGCCGTTGCCGGGAAACTTAGGCCCCGTTTGGTTCCATTTCCAGAGAGCAAATACCCGGGAAGCAAACGGGGCCTTAGATTTCAGCAGCGCAAATAAAGGCTCAAAAATCTCTGCAAAAAGTGCTGGTAGGCTAATGTACGTCTGTGGGGGTATGGTAGATGCAGCCTCTTCTACAATCTGAAAAGGGTTTGCCAGTGGGAATGAAGAGGTGTACTGAGATGAATCGTGAGCCGTTGATGTGCATAAAATTTTTCAACCTCCGTCTCCACTTTTAATCATGAAGCTTAGCATGAATCATAGGTACCCACTCACGTAATTTCTCCATGGTTATTATGAGGCTGGCCCCACTCTGGGTTTCATTTCTCATTCTGCTTTTGCCAGCCACACCTCCACTTAGCTCGGCATCTTCCTCACTCTACTAACGGAACCCATTTCCCTCTGAAGTTTTGGTGTGCATTGCAGTGTGAAGGGCTAAAAGAGGTAATTAACATGGAATTGATGACTTGATGGGAACATGGATATTGGTTCGAAACTTATAATTTATAGGAGAGGACAGATATTTTCTCTGCCTTGTCAATGAGACTGTTTTTGGCGCAGAGGGAACATTTGTGTGGCTACAAATGCATGAGTATTATGGAGACTCTAGAAACAGCCAAAGACGACATTAAATTTACGTACTTTAAAGATATAATCTTTTAAGCTGCAAATTATTGAGGAAGACAACAGTCTCTCCACTGGCCCTCTGTTACATGCATGTCACAGTGTTCTCAGTTCTCCACACTAGCCGTTTCTGTCTGTCTGACTGTCTGCCTTGGATGTCCTTCAACTTTAAAGCCAATATACAAATATATGTTTTTGACCCAAATGATAAAAAGCAAACATATGTATGACCTCGTTCTCCCAGTCTAAAAAGGACATTTCAAAGTTCAAACTGTAGACTCGGGTAAACATTCACATTATCACATACGTATGTAGTGCCAAAATCTCCATTCTCCAGAGAGGGGTGTGGTCAGGAACCAGCACATATTTAACGCGGGCTTATTGATTATGAGTTGAGGAGAGTAGAAAAGTTAGAGCAGAAATATATATTATTATTATTATTATTAGTGATATGATTATCACCAACTCATGTTTGTCAGAAGGCCACCCCACATTTTGAATTTCAATTGATGGGAAGATAGCCAGTTGGCACTTCATCGTGAAAATAAAATCATAAGTGGGCCTCTGCATACTATTATTCCTCTTCGGGTTTGTCTCGCTTCTCATTCTCGCTGTCACTTTTCTTTCTGGGCTTTATTTCTGGTTCTGTATCTGGCATTTCTATTGGGAGAATTATCAAGAAATCTTAAAGAAAAATTTAATTATAAAAAAGTCTCAATAACAAGTAATCAATCTAAATATGTTATCATTCCTCATTCTAAAACTTGTCATTGCTTGCTCTTCACTTGTCAATAAACTTCAAGATAATTAAATTTCATTTTTAGGATTTGATTATAATTCTCCCATTTCTATATCGGCAATACATTATTTTGCCTCAAAGGTCTGGTTCTCTCTTTTTTTAAAAGTAAAAATGATTTAATTCTCCACAATAAAATTATGCAAATCAGTCAATAACTTTATAATACTACCTTTCGTTTTAATTATAAAATCTAGCTTATAAATTACAAATGAGTTTATTATTAGGATCCAGGTAGTATATTGGCTTTGACGTTGAAGGACATTCAAGGGATTAACTTTTATTTGGACCAGCAGAAAGCAAGGAGAGCATAGTCCTCCCGTGGGATACTTAACGGAGAAACATTTTCAAAGTATCCTATCTATTTTTTGGTAGATACGGATATTCTCTTATTAAAAATAATCTTATTTGAGATATTATTACGTACTAAATATAAGTATTTCTTTTACTGAAAATTTAAACTTTAATTTATTACATTATGAACCGTTAGCCCCAATTCCCAGCAAGCATCCTACCTATACAAGATCTGCAATTCGGTCTTTTTCTATGTGAGTGGCCCATTTTGCAACTGGGCTCTGAGACCTTCCCTCTCAGAAAGTTCAAACCCTGTTCCAGCCACCGAAAATTACAAACCTATACGTTTCTTTTTTTTTTTTTTTGGGTGAAAAAACCTCTACGTTTCTGTTCATATGAATTCATACGTCGATATTGTGCAACTTGTGTCCTTTTTAGATCAATATCTGCCACATACCCAAAAAGCCATGAACTCATTTTGAAAGAAACGACGAAAATTTACACCGTCCCTGGTAAGGTCAAGATACAGATAGGTGATCGTAAACTTCACGTATTTGTTTAATTGATCATTTCGAGAAAATGAAATCATTTTCTACAAACAAATATGTGACTGGCAGTGTGTGCGCATGTGTGTGTGAGAGAGAGAGAGAAGCCCCCCGGGGGCGGGGGGAGCGGAGAGATGGCGACTCTAGAACATATTACGTATGTGAAATTGATACTTAGATCAGTGCCACTAGCAATTCCATACTGCGTCATTTTAACCTCTTTTTGTTGAATGAATGTCGCATTATTTCATAGAGAGGAAAATATTGGAACACCAGGCAAGGTGGCTCCAGCATCAACAATGAAATTGTTTCCCGAGACATACTCAGAAGACTCATGAATCAAATAACGCGCCAGTGAAGTTAATGCTGGATCTGCGGTACCATACCTTCCAAGGGGCACTGTTTTCTGAGCCACCTTATTCAGCCAATCCTTTTCCATTAACTTTTCAGTGATTTCAGATTTGAAAAGTCCGGGCGATATTGAATTCACCCTGATTTTATATTCCCCCAACTCCAAGGCCATCACCTGTCAAACATTATCACGCAAAAAAAATGACTTCAGTCATTGTGAATATGAACAGTAAAGTCATGCATTGTTTAAAAGCTTCAAACTTTGTGAGTGGTTAAACATGCCGTTGACATAAGAGCAGATTGAACACTTCCCTGGTCAATATGCCAAGGATAAAATCATAAAAATCTCAGACAGTTGAATCATTATTAATATGCAACATACGAAGTAATATGGGATTAGATAGATGATGAAGTCCTAAAAATGCTATTTCATTATTCATTATTCTTATCTTGGAAGAATCTGCAGAGCAGACCCGTGAAATATCCTATCACTCTGGCTAAATTTAGATGCACCAAACTGTACATAAGGCCGCATTGATCCTTATGCCAAGAGTGCTGGACGTGGGAATGACGTGTGGGCTGGGGATGAAGAGTTTTCAGGCATGCCATTGGTGGTCTAACAAAACAAGTGTTGGAATAATTAGCTACTTTATCATCCTTGCTCCCAAAAACTGCACTCAGGGCATAGAGTTCCACTCAATTCAAAAACAGTTTTCTCCTTTGGTTTTTTGGCCTTATATTGAAAATTCAGTTAAAACAAGCCCTAAATGATGATGACGACAGAGAAGGAAGAGGGAAACTTATGGGTTTGATGCGATTACTGTGCATGCAAAAATGATATTACCTTTGTCAGCATGTTTACTCCAGCTTTTGAAGTTGCATAGGCAGTAGCTCCAGGCAGTTGCCCACGGTTTAAACCAGCGACTGAAGAAATATTGATAATTGAGCCTTTTATCTGTGCATCACGCATGCGTATGCATACAGATTTGGACACCAACCAGCATCCTGTTAAGTTTGTTTTGAAAACCTGATTCCATTCCTCCTCAGATAACTCCAACGGTGATTTAACGTTTCCTAGACAGTACAAGAAAAAGGAGAAATGGACAATTTAGATACGTCAGCTTATGTTCTGGCAACGTTTATTAAATAAATAATATAACCCCTGGCTGGACAAAAAAATATTAATTAATAGTAGTATAACCCCCGCAACATACATCTTCAGATATAACAACATAAACAAACCTTACAAACATTTTACACAGCACGCAGCCATGAGTTTCAATATATTCATAATCATGAGCTGGAAATTACACTTTGATATTTTTATTGATAAAAACATAAGCTGAGTCACTATTGTGATAATTAGACCAGAAGATGACTGCAGATAACATTTCATGAAAAAGAAAAGTACTTGCAACATACTGTTGGAAGTTACTTGGTGGAGGAAGCATAAATACAGTTTTATATCTGTGCTGATATACATATACATATGATTTTTACGGAACAGCATAAAGTTATCAGCTAATTAAAATGTAAATATCTATACCAAGTCTAGTCCCTGACACAAACCACAAGCCGTGACTAAGAGAAGTTAGCCTTATCGCGTTGAAATCAAATGTCAGAACAAGACCGTCAAAGTAAAATGCAAAGTAAATTTATCCGCGTTCAAAATACAACGGAAGTTGATACTCCAACAGCACCACGTAAAAATGGCTTGTATAATCCAATTTTCCAAGGACACTTGACAATTTCGCCCGACTACTTAAATCTTCAAAATTTCCAAACAAAGTGGATTCAAGCAACTGACCAAATTACCTCTCACACCGGCGTTGTTAATTAAGGCATCAATACGCCCAAAGGCGTCCCACGCCTTCTGCACTGACTTGTCGATGGTGGGGCCATCGGCAGACACGTCGAGTTCCACCGCCTGGGCCTCGGACGGGCTGGACTGATTGATGTGGTCGCAGAGGGACTGAAGGCGATCGACCCGGCGAGCGAGGGCAATGATCTTGCAGCCGGCTTTAGCGAGGTCGAGACAGAAGTCTCGGCCGATACCGGAGGAAGCGCCGGTGACCATGACAACTTTGCCATGCAGGGAATGCCAGGGCTCCAAGCGGGGTTCGACTCGAGACGCCATGGGCGTGGAGCTTAGAATCAACGAGGAAGGGAAGAGGGCGTGTGAGATTTAAGAGCAGAAAAAGTCAAAATGGAAAATATAAAATAGGGCGGGTGGGTGGCAACAAACATGAAATTGGAAGGAGGCGACTGAGAAAGCAGAAGGAATGAGCCGAGAATTTACCACCGCCTACCACCACTAAGGGCTGTTTGGTTGAGGGGAGGGGAGGGAGGGAGGAGGGGTAGGGGAGGGTAGGGGAGGTCATCCTCATCTTGTTTGGTTTAATTAGGAGAGGAGGAAGGATATTTAAGATCCCTTGTTAGGATGGAGAGGATAATCAACGAGGGAGAAGGGATAGCCATTAATCATTTAGATTTTAAATATTTATTGATATATTTCTTAGAATATTATAATTATATAAAGAATTTACATCTTATTTAATATATAATTTATAAAAATTCAGTCTTATCATATTAATATGTGTATTTAAAAAATTGGTACAGTAATTTTTATTCTAATTAATATAATAATATATTTAAAATAATCAAATTAACAAATTTTATATGTTCTAAGAAAAATGAAATTTTATTCTCTTTAGGCTATCTTTTTTTCCAGCTTTAAAATATATTTAATAAATAATATTTAAAAAAATTAATTTATAATATTATAATTTTTTATTTAGATAATTTTTTATAATATATTTTAAATTATAATAATGTTTTATTTTTATTTTTTTATTAAAATAATATATTTTTTATTTGATGAATATATATTATAATAATATATTTTATGAATAGAAGTGGAATATTAAAAAAAATATAAAGGCATAATGGTCCAAAAATTTGGTTCCCCTCCAAAAACCCCCAATTGGAGGGGAGCCAAAATGGAGGAAGGGGAGGGGGAGGGGGATATTTTAGCTCCCCCCTCCTCCAAAATTTTTAACCAAATGAAGGGAGGGGCTCCCCTCCCCTCCAACCAAACAAACCCTAAAGTATAATCTCCCGCCACACAAAAAACCCCGCCCCCCTCCATTGTTTGTTTAAAGTGCTTTTCTTTCTGGGCTGACTGTGAGGATAATAGATATTGGGCCTGTGGGGGCCATGACCCAATAGTCAGCTGTATTCACTGGACTCTGTCGTTAGCCCCTTGCCCTGACGGAAAAGAGATGCGTAAGAGTTAAGAAATGAATTCGTAAATAACACATGAGTAAATTATAATGACACACCTTTTTGACCTTTATTGTCACACGTCTTTTTGTAACTTTAATAGAAATTTTCTTTATGCATATTAAGAGCATATATTTGGACTGAAATCGAATATTCCTAATACGTGGAATGAAATTATAGTTTTGCTCGTAAAACTGAAAAAAGAAACATTTTTAAAAATAATTTGAGAATCATTCTATATCTGATGTGCCAAGTATTTAATTCCGTATTGTTAGGGGCATGGATGGGTCGCGGATCCGTTTATGGAAACAAATGCAGAGGCCCAGTGAGTGAAGGAGAGACCATAGCGGACTGGTTACGAGGTTGAAACGCGGCGACTATGAACCTATGAGGAAAGTGCTGATTGAATATGGTGAGAAAGAGAGAGATCTAAACAAGACTCTTCTTACATAATCAGGGCAAACACCGCATAGGATTGAGAAGCCGTGTGCAGAAGAATTTTCGGCCCACAGGTTATTGGGCTGCAGTTTTTTTTTGAAAGGCACAGTAAGTGGTAAGTGCTTGGGATGGGGCTGGGAGTGGAAATAGAATACCGTCATGCATGGCAGTGGCAAAAATCTGAGTCAAGCAGGCATTGCTCGTGCCAAAACTCGTCACGTTCCTTCCCATTTTCATTGCCTTTGCCTCCTCCCTTCCCGTTTCTTCATCCTGCCCCTGCACTACGCTCCTCCATTCTTCTGCCTAATTCCCCATATACGCAACCATTACATTTCATGATCTCCTAATACACACCACGCAACCATGACTTCATTTTCTCGTAGTGTAGTAATTTCTATAAATATTTCCTCTTTTTGTGGGTGAATTTCTATAAATATTTTTAATATAAGGGGGGGAAAAACAAAGAGAGAGAGAGAGAGAGAGAGAGAGAGTAAAGCGCAGGAAAAGAGATGAATGAGGGGGAATAGCGGGGTGTCAGAAGAGGGAGGGCTTTGCCTACGGGAGACAGCGAAAAGGACTGCCCGGTTAGGGCACAGGCAGGCTTGCCCCCTCTCCTACGCAAATCCCCAGTCCCAAGTCTTCTCCCCACATCACTTCATTCTCTCTCTTGTCTGCCCCCCCCCTCCTCCTATTCCTATTGCCATTTACTTAATGTCGCTATTCACACAGACCCTTTTACTTTCCCCACCCAGCCTGCGCCGTTTCTGATTTCTCCGTCTTTGACGAGATAACCAGCTGGACACGCACTATCTAGAGTCTGATAAAATAATTAGAAAGTTTCTTGTGAGAGATGCATATAGATGCAGCGTGAGATTCCCGTTGGGATTCCCCCATTATATAAGCTTGCGTTGTCTCATATCTTCGCATTCTTCCCTCTGAGTCTGACACTGCCCTTCTATCTCTCTAAATCTTTCTCGGGCTTCCTCCCTCCCTCACAACCCATTTCCCCCCCCCCCCTCTCTCTCTCTCGTTGCCCCTTTTTTACTCTCATTGTCTCCCTCCTTCCCGAGCCCTTCTATTTTTCTCATCTCCACTGCTTTTTTTTAGCGGGGTCCCTTGATTCATAACTGCGTCCCATTTACATTCCTATCCCTTCTATTTTTTTTTGACCGAAAGCTATCCCTTCTATTCACTTTATTTTTTTGGCAGTCTCATATTTACATTAAATTACCTCCAATGATACTCCCTTCTACTGTTATTGATATTGATAGTTATGTGCTGTCCCCCTATCTTTCTTGACTTTGACGGAGGTGTTTTCTTCAATTATTTCCTGGCCTTTACTCTGCTTCTACGGGTCTTACTTCCTCCGTGCCCGCCAATTTGTTTGATTAATCTAGTGCGTGGGAAAACACCACGTAAATTCATAAATACAATAACCTGAAGCTTTATATATTACCCTGTTTGGCAACACTTATTTGGAGCTTATAAGTAGCTTATAAGCTCTATAAGCTCGATTGACAAAAGTAGGGTTTGTTTGGATCAGCTTTTTTATAATTGGGCTTTTGTCTGAAAAGCTACAATAAGCTATAAGCTAAAATTAACAGCTTATGACTTATAGCTTATGGCTTATGACTTTTGAAATATGGAGAGAGAAAAAGTTAAAAAAATTTATTACTTCTTTTGGTTCTTATTATAAGCCTCAAATAACTAATTTGTAGATAATAAAAAATCAATTAAAATTAGTTGAAAGTAATGAATAAGTTAGAAATATATTTTTATTTTTAAATATGCTCCTAAAAATATACTTTTATTTTTTCATGTTTCACTTTATATTTAAAATATTTTTTATGACTTCTTCATATTAAATTATTTTAATTTCATTGTATTATGTGAAATTTTTTTTTAATCATGTTTCATTATTTATTAAAACTCATGCCCATTTTGGTAATTTTTCAGTCAAAATTACTTTTACTCAACTATAATCCAAACAAGCTTTTTCTAATCTCATTTTTGTAAACTAGTTTGTCTGAACTCCAATCCAAACACAATTCAGCTTATCCAATTTAACTTTTATCAACTTCACTTTTCCATAAGCTACTTTTTCTATAAGCTGCTTTTCTAATCGCTGATCCAAACGGACCCTTAGAAACCTTTTTTCACCAGCATTGCCTTTTTACCAACTAAGATAAGTGGTTTAGCCAAAAAAAAAAAAGAACCGAGAAGGTTCAACGTTATGTCTTTATCTATCAAGGGGATAAATAGTATGGCGTACAGTATCTTGCTTTGGAAGATTTGCAAAAAATAAATATCCCTTTTTGGCCATATTTGATATCACTAGACAAAAAATAAAATTTGAAATAAAATATAGATGCTTAATAATTATGCATTATTTTTATATATTATTCTTACAAAAAAAATTAAAATCTGAAATAAGATCGTGAGATTAGAATATTAACTTTTAACGATAATCATAAAACCGATTTCCAATTTGCGTGCACAGAAAATTTAAAATTGCTGCTTTCGGTGTTCAGGGGAGAATCAATTTGGATGGGGGTGGAATGTATTCCTGATGTCTCACTTTGACTTCAACCAACATCCGCAAATTGTTTTAAGGAAAAAAAACACTACAAAATAATGTTTGCATGCGCATAACCGGGCCTATAAGTTTGGGTTCGACCTCAGTCTAACATCGAACCCGACCCATCTCTAACGATTGGTCGAACACTCGAACCCCGTGATTTTGTGATGACTTCGCCTGCGTTAATTTTTTTTTTCTTTTTTCTCTTCTTAAAAAAGGCACTGCCAGAAAAATAACATTGAAGCATCCACCATCCCAACATAACATGCATTGATACCCTATGTGTTCTTGTCACGTCATTAATCATCGGCTGGTGAACTTGCAGCCTCGGCTGTTATTTGCTACAACGAACACGACACGGATCGCCACTAATGTAGGGTTTCTACCTTCTAACAATGAATTTTTTTTTTTTTCCTTGGCAAGAAGCAGTAAAGAGCCACGGTGAAGGGGAATATCCCAGAACACCTCTCTTGATCCCACGGCTGGCGATAATGCGCCTCCAATCATCAGAAAAATTGCTAACTTTTCAGATTTATTTTGTTAATCCTGATTTAGAGCGAACAAGCTGTTAGTAATCTTTCATAAGATGGTTGGAGTTTGAATTACGCTGCACCGCAAGTCTAAAAGTTCCACCAACACCTTGACTTATAAGTGGCAATTTGTGAATATACGGTAACATGAGCATTTCTTTTATTTTATCTCTTTTCTTTTTCCCACAATTTCAATCTCGTGTCAAATGACAGTATGTAGTGGCGAGCCGCACCAAGAGGAGAGAATCTCTGGAAGCTCATCTGGGTCTGCCCTTTTTCTCTCTACTCTTTCCTCTTTTTTTTATTTTTTTTGATGCCGTATTTCGTCCATTCCCTCTCACGGAATTGCTTTTCCGCCTCTTGAGAAAGTTCTTTCTCCCATACAGGGAGATCATGAAAACCAAAAAACAAAAAACAAAAACCATAGATGGGATGCTGAGGTTTTTTCTGTCTTTCCAGATACAAGAAAAGACTTGTAAAAAAGTGTCATAAAACGTCTAGCCTTTTAATTCTCTGTCCGCCATTAAAATGCCATAAATAAAGCCCTTCACCACGCTTCTACTCCCCCCACCCCAAGTATCTGTCCTTTGTCGTTGGGAATCAACTCTCAGTTTTGTGTTTGGTTGTCACTCCTCCTTTTCACTTCTCTGTTACCTGCTTCCAAGTTACGGGGTTCCCTTCGTGCTCACCATCAATGCTCCTTGACTTGTAAAGCTGGTTTTTTGTCGCCATATAGACACTCTAGCACAGGCTCCAGGGGAAGTCTGGTGTTCTGGTGAACTCACTGCAAAACTGGTTTCTTTGTGTTCCTGATTCACCTTGCTCTGTTTCCGGATTGGTGTTAAACCCACTAAATCCCGTCAAGCTAAAGAGAAAGGAGAGCAGTAAATAAAGATGATAACTCTTACAGACTTATACCATGTTCTTACGGCGGTTGTGCCCCTTTACGTGGCCATGATCTTAGCTTATGGCTCAGTGAAATGGTGGAAAATCTTCAGCCCCGATCAGTGCTCGGGCATCAACCGCTTTGTGGCTCTGTTCGCCGTTCCATTGCTCTCCTTCCACTTCATCTCCACCAACAACCCATACGCCATGAACTTCAGGTTCATAGCTGCTGATACACTTCAGAAAGTTATCGTCTTGGCGATCTTAGCAATATGGTCAAGTGTCAGCGCGAGAGGATCCTTCGAGTGGTCCATTACCCTTTTCTCTCTCTCGACGCTTCCAAACACACTCGTCATGGGCATCCCATTGCTGAAGGGAATGTACGGAGATTTCTCTGGCAGCCTAATGGTTCAAATCGTTGTTCTTCAATGCATCATTTGGTACACCTTAATGCTCTTCTTGTTCGAATACAGAGGAGCCAGGCTTCTCATCGTGGAGCAGTTCCCGGACACCGCTGGGTCGATTATTTCCTTCAAAGTAGACTCCGATATTCTTTCCTTGGACGGGAAAGAGCCGTTACAGACGGAAGCCGAGGTTGGCGAAGACGGGAAGCTGCATGTTACAGTTAGAAAATCCACGAGTTCACGCTCTGAAATCTTCTCTCGCCGATCTCATGGCCCAAACTCTGGTGTTTCCTTGACTCCTCGTCCCTCAAACTTGACCAACGTTGAGATTTTTTCTCTTCAATCTTCGAGAAACCCAACGCCGAGGGGCTCGAGCTTCAATCATACGGACTTCTATTCCATGGTAAATGGAAAGAACGGGAACAGCGTGAGCCCGAGGCAATCCACTTTCGGAAACTTGGGTTATGATGAGGAAAGTGGGGTTGGTGCATTCGGTGGTAACCCATCTTGGGCAAATGGAGGATATTCGCAGGGAAACGGGTATCCGGCGCCACCAAATACCGGAATATTCTCGCCGATGGGCGGTGCGACGGGAGCAAGAAAGGTGAACGGAGCTGATGGTGGAAAGGACCTTCACATGTTCGTCTGGAGTTCAAGTACTTCACCGGTTTCCGAAGGTGGAATTCATGTTTTCAGAGGTGGGGACTGTGGCAACGAGCTTGGAGGGGTAGCTCACCAGAAAGGTTTGAAATTCCGAACTCTGACTCTATTTGTCAGCTAGTGTGGTTTTTGTTGTTGAATGTTGATGTGTGAATCATATAAAAGTATATCGATGTGATCTGCATTGGTATCATTCTTCGCCTTTACTGGTTCTCAAGGAATTCTGGTACTATCCTTGTCTGTTCCCAGTGTTGCTATTTCTGACCAAAGTTTCTTTATAGGATATTGATAATGAAGTGGGGTTTGTCATTTATTTATTTACTTTTTGGTATTATATTTCCCATTCACATCTTTGTTGGGGAACTCTGTTGTTTCCCCCACTTATTCAATAATGCCACTTTATCATTCATGTCGAGTCATTTTCCAGTGTTGTAACTAGCGACCATTATTTCCATTTCTGTTGGTCAGATCACGACGAATTTGGCCGCGATGAGTTTAGCTTCGGAAACAGAACCGTCACAAATGGGTATGACAAGGAGGGTCCTGTCCTGTCTAAACTTGGTTCAAGCTCCACGACAGAGCTCCATCCAAAGACTTGTGCTCAAGGAGAACCTAAACCTTCAGCCATGCCCCCTGCTAGCGTAATGACCAGACTTATTTTAATAATGGTGTGGCGAAAACTTATCAGGAATCCCAACACTTACTCCAGCCTTTTCGGTCTCGCGTGGTCTCTGATTTCATTCAAGTACGTCTTTACCATCCTCTTAATAAACTGTACTTGGCTTTCGCAGTCTCAACCGCTGGTGTTTCAAGATTATGAATGTTTAATCTTTTATATCGTAGGTGGAATGTCGCTATGCCTGCTATTGTTGCTGGTTCAATCTCAATTTTATCTAATGCTGGCCTTGGGATGGCCATGTTTAGCCTTGGTATGTTAAATGAAGATTTTTGTTTGCCTTTCTTAGCCCTTACCGCAATTATAATTATATTGCTTATGATTATTATATAACTAGCTGCATGTTGAACTCTGTTTGCAGGGTTGTTCATGGCATTGCAGCCAAAGATTATTGCATGTGGAAATTCAGTGGCAGCATTTTCTATGGCTGTTCGTTTCCTCGCAGGTCCTGCGGTAATGGCTGCTGCTTCATTAGCAATTGGACTAAAAGGAGTTCTTTTGCACATTGCGATTGTACAGGTGAAAGAGAGATTCAAGATGAGCTCTAGTTGCAATAAAATCCGGTGTCTACTCATTGAATTGAAATGTTTACCCCATGTTTTCACTTTCAGGCTGCTCTTCCTCAGGGAATTGTTCCATTTGTGTTTGCTAAAGAATACAATGTTCATCCTGACATACTAAGCACTGGGTTGGAACTTGAAACTCCCTTCTTGTTAATTCATTAGTATCTGCTATGCCTTGTAGCGCATATACTCAACTGTTGAAAGGTTTTTATTATGCTTCAGGGTTATATTCGGGATGCTAATTGCTCTTCCAATTACGTTAGTTTACTACATTTTGCTGGGACTTTGAAGCATGTTGAGGTCACAAGAACAACTGTTACCGGAAGACTAATTGCAGGAGACTATTACACTGGAAAACCCTTTTGTCGTGGGGGTTTTTTTTTTTTTTTTTGGTTTTTTGGAGGGCATCTAACAACGTAGAATTTGGAAGTTAGTGGAAATGAAAGTGTGGTTGGTTCTACTTCCCAGACCCAGTAGGAGGACGAGGGGAGGGAAACAAGGTGAGGGGATGCTAAAAGCCAAATTGGTTTGGTTTAGTTTAGTTTAGAGTGTTCGGCTAGAAATCTGATGTCTTTACCGTTTAGGGTGTTCGGCTTCTGAAATCTTGTGAACCCCACTATTTTTAATGAAAAAGGAAGCGAAGCTTTTGTTTGTAGTTGTCGACACGTCTGTGATTAAAACTCTGTATCATTGAGGCTGGCAGGCTAGAAAAAGACTAATTGAAGGCAGTTGGGAATCTCAATGCAAATGCAACAGCGCAACAAGATATCAGCAAAAAGTGGATTTATGCAGAAAATGTGGGCAAGCAGACAGAAACTTTTATGTGGCTTGTCTGCTCAGTGTCTTTGGTAGGAGTTCTATTTCATTTGAGGGCCACTAGCTGTCACTCTCGATCTCGTACTTCAATTTACTTTGCAATATAGTAAAAATAATTTTTATGGTTGGGAACTCGGAACGGGGGATGGGGCTAGAGGTGCATGTGTGTGATGAATGCCAAAAAGAACGGAGAAGAGAACCAACAAAAATAAAAAAAGAGAATAGAAAGAAGCAATAGAGATTGGTTATTTGACACCAAAAAAAAAAAATCCGCTTTGTGCGAAAGCTCTTGTTGCGTAGTGGCGCTGAGGCTACCCTATGTGGCAACTAAGAAAAAGCTCGCTCTGTTTCAGTCGGTCTTTCGGGCTTTATGATGAGGTGGGAGTAGTTGCACTTTTGCCCAAAAATAATGAATGGACCCACATTTGTCCCAACTGAGGACAGTGTTTGCCGAAATGACTTTTGTTTTTATTAGCTAATCAATTTGAATTTGATGCTTAGTCATTTATGAGTGGTGCTTTCATCATATAGTCAATCTTATACGTGAATTATTATTTTGGATGAAGCGCTGGCACAGGCCACTTATCCGCTGCCTGAATAACGTTGAAAATAAAGGTGGAGAAACATAATATACAAGATGGTTAAACATTAAATTAAATTAAACAAGAATAAATTAATCATAATTAAACTATTTTATTATGCTTTAAACTACTTCAATAGTTTCATCAACCTTTTTGTATTACGTTGATGGATAGTTATTAGGAGTATTTATCAGGGAATTTCATGAAAGAGGATGCTCTGTTCTTGAATAAGATGAGATGGAATCTCGGAAAGAAACATCTTCCAATGGAAGAAACTCTTCATAAAAGAATCTCATTTGCTTGGCACATTTTTGTTTTTCTTGCTAGGACATAATTCGACAAGACGACAACATTTACTATGAAAAAACCTACCATTCCCACCTACTTTTGATTATTGGAGGCTTATTTTAAATTCTTAAAGTCAAACTGCTGCCCAACCATGCTCCGGTTGACCCAAAAAAGAAAGAGAGGGGGATGTATGTCATTCTTCATATAAAAGTTAATTAATTTGAGTAGATTAAAAAAAATATTGAGTTAGTTATTTGTAATAACTATGTGTTGTCTTTTCTAAAATATTCTTACTAATAGTATATTAGTTAAAATTATTATTTAATTAAACATTTAACATATACAACTGCTAAAAGAACTATTTTAAAAAAATAGATAAATGCGAGAAACAAATTAGATTGAAATTTTATATTTAGAACCAAATTAAAAGTCAAACTAACTCTTATACTAAAGATCGAGAGTAGTATGATCCACATTGACAGATGATTATCTATATGCCTTAGACTTTAACCTCGTCTATAAGTTACGGTGAACATTTTTCCCCAAGAGATGCTACAAGGATTTTATTCCCGTAATTTAGGTTTGTCTTGTCCTTTCTATATAATTTTAGGAATACTTACCATTTTTTTAATAAGCTAATAAGTTTATATCATTTTTGGTCAGAACAATTAGTTTATACATATAACTTTTTTTTTTTGCCAGCATATTTATATAACTAATTGTGCGCGCGCGCGCACATATAGAAACATGAAACTAGCAATTCATATAGAGCATGAAAAATCTCCAAAAAAAAAAACTCTTGAATTTCATAATACAAAATTAGTCTTGATCACTATATTTTAAGAGTAATTGACTATACTTTAAAGGTAAATGATAATTCCTGATTTAAAATTTTAAAATTAAAAAGATATTTTTTTTTAAAAGAATTTTCCCTGTAAAAATGTGATGAACAAAATAATCACTAGTATTACCCACACTGAATGCCATTGATATAATATTCTCAGAAAAATGTAAAAAATATTAAATATAAGCGCTTCTCTATCGTGATGCAATGAACAAGATATAAACATGCTGTTTCTCAAAACGAATGTCATGAATGCAATATTCTTAGAAGGAAAAGAATGTGATGAGTATTAAACCTGCTGGAAAAAAAAAATATTTTCCTGATTAAATTACAGGTGAAAAATAGTTCTCCTTATAATAGATACATTGAACAAAATATAAATTACTGTGCCCCATGAAGATTGCCATTAACACACATTCATGAAGAGAAAGGATATCAAATGCATTTAATGACAAATCACAATGACTCTAGTGGTATAAATATTCAATGACATGACACCAATAATTCACAAAGAAAAAAAAAAAGAAGCTTGAAACGATCATCATTATTACAGAAGCTATGAAGATCACCCAGCAATCACTCCCACATGGCTTTCTCCTTCTGGCACTATGTACACATTCCCTCCTTCCCTTGTCTAATTCATTGCAAAGCCCATATGTGTGTGTGTGTGATTGGACTGAGTATATGATAATATGGCTAATGATGCAGTTGTGGGCGCGATGGTGGCGGTGGGGGAGGCAAGGGTGTGCTCCGACGTGGTGGCTGTGGGGAATGCTTGTGATGCGGCGCAGGGAGGGGCATGCTATAACGCTTGTATTCAAAGGCGTCCAAACGGGAAGCCAACGTGCGAGCGAAACACTTGCATGTGCTATTACGAGTGTATCGTTCCTCCCCCAAAGAAATGTAACTTGGGTTTGGGTAGGTGCAGTAGTGCTTGCAATGACCAATGCTGTAATTCCAAGTGTGCTTCTGCCCATCCTGGTGGCGGCGGCTACTGCGATGACAGTTTGGGCAAACAAAATTCCGTGTGCCAATGCTCATTCCCTTGCTAAAAGTTAAAACCCCACCCCTACTTTCAATATTCTATTGATTCTCATATTTCACTCTAAATAATACAGTACTACTTTAGTTTTCGTCGACTTAATGCTGCCGGCCAGTTAGGTCTGATAGGGAAATGATAAAGCTAAGAATTGGAGGCTTTGAAATTTGAATAGAATGGATGGTGATGGAGTTGGAAATTGGAGCTCATAATTATGCCTAAAAAGAAAGCCTTGCTTTCTGGTTTTAAGGAAACTAAAGAGCGATTATTCCTTAGGATAAATTCCGTCTCTCAAGGAACACTCCTCTAACTTAGTATTCTGGCTCCTACAAAAGCTCTCCTTCAGACACAGAGCATCATGTTCCCAGTTCCGACTTTTCTAATGTTTTAATATATAATAATAATTATGTCGCCTTAACTCGCATTACTCTTGACATTATCAGATTCTTTATATTATTTAATATATTTGTGGGATAGTGCTCCTATCATGAAAATAGTACCATCGACAAACATAGACTAGCCGCACTTGTTATATAGTAATGGTATTGGTTATGGAAACCAACGCTCAGAAGCATATATAAATTCCAAACTCACTAAAGCTATTTTCCTTTGTCCTCTAAGGCTATTAGATTAAGCATATAATTAGCTCAACCCTTACAATTTCAAACCTATCGGATTTTCTTGACCATTATTATATTGTTGTTGAGGAGGCTGCCTCACTTTGTACTACGGTAATAATACCTACAAGTCACCAGAACCCCTTTAATGATGTTGCATCATTTCAGTCATTCTAAAAGCCCGAATTTTGTTTGAAAACCAAAAGCTGACGAGTTCATGAAAACAACAATAAAGACTCATAGAATTAGAGAAAGCAGCGAGCACAGTCAATGATAGCTGAAAGTGATCAACTAAGAAAAGTGCTTTTCTTGACGTGTGCGACCCATCAATCAAAATTCAAAGCAAAAGAGCAGGTCTTATTTCTCCTCTGTTTTTCTATTCAGGTTTCAAAGAATGTGCTGCACATGCGTGTGCCACTTAACTAGTCAGTACTCACGCACTGCTTCCTGCTTTTGCCTTTTCAAAATTGAACAATTCTTGTTTAAAAAATTGTTACTTTGTTGAGTTTAAGTGTACCCCATCCATTGGCTGAAGCCTGAAGGACGCCAGCCATTTCTTCTTTTGGTGTTTATAGTAGCTGTAAAGTCCTAGGGGGAACCGGGAGACCCCGAACAAGGAAAAAGGGAATTAAAGCTATTTTGTTGAAAATATTACACGTTAATTTCAGTGGAAATACTTGTGGATGCTTGATGGGTTTGGATTGCTATTAAAGAAAGAAAGTAAACGATAGCGAGGTAGGCGGCTTATTTATTAAAAACAACATTCGTGGCGCAACGCCCAATTCTGAAAGCCATGACATTTACTGCATTTGATTGAAGTCTAGCTCCATCACAAAATTTTGAAATATTCTAATGGTGCTATATATCCTGATCCAAAGTAGACAACTTAAGGAGGAAATCTTAGATAACTGTTTCTCTGAGTTCCTTGAGGGCATGAGTAAAACCCTGCAATGACCATATGAGCTCTGCTTTAGCATAAATTGCAAATCATCTTCAAATTGAAAATATCGCCCGGTCAATTTTCCAAGCCAGCTCCCGAAAGAAAATTTTGCAGGGATAAATCGCAGTGCTAATTTTTACACAATAGAGGAATAGAGACACCTATTCCATCAATCTGTCGATTGACTGCAGAAATTTCGGCATCCCTACGTAATGAATTGATCAATTGAAATTTCTCCTTTCCCAGCCCTAGTGCCTCTTGTTCGCCCCTCCGATTGAAGGTAATCTTTATCACCAAAGGCAATTTTTTTCCCCCTTTTTAAACCTTACACCAACGGTAAGTTTGAGGCATTGATAACTGGTCACATGATAAAATGGGGTTTGGTCAGTATCCGAGAGTGCGTCTTAATATTGACAAAATGCGGATAATGGAGTATGATTTTAAGAACAAAATGAACTATATTGGCCCCAACACTTAAGAAGAAAAAAATAAACCGACTTTTAGGTTCTCGAAGTTGGAGATGAAAATTTAATGTGTTTCTGCACATAGAGATGACGAAAGATTGAAGAGGAGACACTAGAGTTATTTCTTTGCAACGGAGATAAAAAGTAAACAGCATTCATTCTCAGAGATTTGTATCTTGTCCACCCAGATTACCTGCCCCTTGATTCCTTGTATGTGACTTGCTGTCGAGGTGATCCGTCTACAGGCAGAGCTAGAGGCCATCAGTGGTGACCCTATTACGAATAATTAAATGCAGCATTGGCCTACGGTTGATCGATGCTGATCGCACCTTCCACGAATGAAGAATGTCTGTTGTAGCTATAAAAGATTTGTTAGGTTCGTGTAAACTGTAATTTATGTACCCGCTCATCTGAATTAGCCAAGTAAGCCTTCAATTTTTGCATTCCTACAAAGAACGCTGTATATATTATAGGGTAAAAAGGTACCCAGGACCCTAATTTTTTTTTTCAAGAGCACTTATCACCCCAATCTTTTTTTCAGTGCAATTTTACCCATCATCTATTTTTTTTTAGTACAATTTAACCCAATTCCAACAGACCCCTTAATGTTTGTTAAGAATTTTTTTTTTTAATAAAAGTCCACATCAGCACGGCTAAAAGGATAAAAATTGACAGATAATACAAAGAAAGGAAAAAACAAACCGAGCTTGTGCGCCCACTTTGCAAGCAACGGAACCCCGCCTCTTTGTGTGATTGGAAACACTAGTATCTGGTAAAAGAGAAGGCAACAAATTCGTGCAAGGAAAATTGTCTTGATTTGGAAAGGTAACAATCTTACTTTGAAATTTTACTTTTGTGTTCCTTCATACTCCGTCTCTTTTGTTTTAGAGGAGCAATTTGACTTTGCAAGCATTGGAACCCTAAACGAGTTGCAAATTCCAGTAGCGAAGGTCGCGAGGAAGACAGTGAATAAAAAACCAGTTCTCAAATATGTATTCGAGAAGACCAGTTCTCTAATATATATTCAAAAATTGGAGCCCATTATGGATGTTTGGCTAACCAGCTCTGATGCTTGCTAAGGTCTATTTTATCTTAGCAATGGAGATTTTTTATTCACCGTCTTCCTCGCGACCTTCATTGCTGGAATTTGCAATTCGTTTAGGGTTTCAATGCTTGCAAAGGCAAATTACTCCTCTAAAACAAAAGAGACGGAGTATAAAGGAACACAAAAGTAAAATTTCAAAGTAAGGTTGTTACCTTTGTAAATCAAGACAACTTTCCTCGCACGAATTTGTTGCCTTCTCTTTCACCAGATGTTAGTGTTCCCAATTGCACAAACAGGCGACGCAGAGCTCAGTTTGTTTTTTTTCCCTTCTTTATATTATCTATCAATTTTCATCCTCTTAACCATGCTGATGTAGACTTATAAAATTTTTTTTTCCTTAACAGACATTAGGGGATCCATTGGAATTGAGTTAAATTATACTAAAAAAAATAGATAGTGGATAAAATTACACTAAAAAAAAGATTGAAGTGATGGGTGCTCCTGACAAAAAAGATTAGAGTGCTAAATACTCCTTTATCCTATATTATAAGCAGAATCTATACAATTTTAAGGGTCCACCAACCCTTGCACAGTTATACGTACAGTTCACTTTGTTTTTTCTTTTAAATTTGGAGGATCCTTCTAATGTTGAGCATTTAACGGTGACATTTGTTGCACAGGATGCCAAGTCCGCCAACAAGTCAAGAGAAAATCATGCTAAATTTAACGAGGAAGATAGCTGAAATTAGAAGTCTATAACGGGCATCGCCAGAGCAAAACAAATGTAAATATGTCATAAAAAGTCGACAAATGATAATTTAATGACCAAAATCTATAAGCCAGCAAGCACGGTCTTGTCAGCTCAAACATAAAATGCCGGCAAGGCAAATACCACCAACTTCAGGGTATGGCACAATTCTCCCAGAAAGGAGGGGAAAAGATCGGTAGATGCGATTGTCAGAGTGCGGCAAATGTCTCGCTTCTACTCGTTGCCTGATGGATATATGGTGTTCACGGGTTTGCATCAAGGTCAAAGGACTAACCAAAGAGCGTATGGACAAATATTAATCTGTCAGCATTGTATCAGCACCTATCATCAAGCCCTTCAAGTCCATGCCACTTATTGCTGCAAGGCCATGAGAACGAGACAACGGAGAATCTTTTAGATAGTGATGCTATGGAAGAGAGGAGGTTGGCAATCATTCTGCAGCGACCATCTTAGAATGCCTGAAGCTCTCACAACCTGGGCAGTTATGCAAACTCTCATGAATGTAGATGTCACAATCAAGGCAGAAGTGCTGTTTGCATTTGGGGCAAACAACAGAGAGGCCGGGCTTGTTTCCTGTACCACAACCAGTAGGGCAGAGATGTTGCAAAGAAATTGAGTAAACAATGTTACTGCAATTCGTCACATTGAGATATTTTACACACAATAACACCTTTTAGGAAGAAAGCAGGAACGGCATAGAATTTATAATCTTGTTAGCTCAAATTTCAGTAGATTCTCAGCAGCTGGCCTGTGTTTTTATATGCCATAAAGAATAGATAAAGGGGCTAACCTGTTATTTTCTGATAATCATATGAGACCAAGATCTTCAAAATTCTAAGTTCTTTTAGACTGAAATTTTCATTAACTGTAATTTAACACGTGCATGCTGCAATATTTTTCAGAAATCCCTCAATTGATACCTAAACAACCTCATCTAAGTTGTACCTAAGCAACCACAATTTTTCAAATTTCGGGTCACTTACCAAAGTTTTCCATCGATTCACATATGCATTGCCATAACAATGCTAAGATTTAAGTCTTGGATTGGACAAATGATTGACGATCACCATACACATTGAAGAAACTCAAATTCAATGGCCTCTCCATGAACCTTACCCGGATTAAGAAGACTTTGTTGACAGCCAAAACAAGAGTTGGGAAGCTTCTGACGGGGGTCATTTCGAGATGATGGAGACAGCTCGTCAAAAGGCACTATTGGGAAGAGATGATGATAGGACCTTGCCAAATGGGGCGAAGAGATAAGAGTCAATCCACAGACACGACACTCAGTGGGAAGCTCACAAACACGTACTTTGCATCTTGGACAGGTGTATCCACCACCTTCCTTAGCCACTTCATGACATGTACAAATTGCAATGGAACCCTCAGCTGCTCTTTGAGGAAAACCCATCTTGATTAAACTAGCAGTAGCATACTCTGCTATTGCCGGAGGCGGTGGCGCATGCTCCAGGATTAACTCTTTCAAGTGGGCCTACATAAGATGTAACTGTATGAATAAAAAAACATATAGAAGTTCACAAGATTAACATATGGAAGATGTGAATCATATGCAATGCTAGAAAGAGAATCTCTGATATTCCAAATGCATGCATAAAGTCCTCAGACCAGGACTTTTCCCGGACAAAAAAACTCAAACCCTGTCTTATAGAGGGAAATAATGATATGCATGTCTAACAAAACCAACAACTCGAACTGACCTCATCCATTGCAACAGAGTATGTTCCTCCAGTTTCCTGACAAAGATGTTTGCATATAAACATTTCAGCAGCAAGACCAATGACTGAGCATCTTATTTTACCCTTTTTGCATTTCTGGATGGTTTCCATTATATCACCAGGATCACAAGTATTAAGAGCTGAATATAGGATCAGAACCTCTCGATGACCATATGATGGAATTTGATCTAGATAGCCATGAACAAGGTCTAGTGCATTTTGCAGGGAAGGATCACCTGAGCATTCCATTTTACACATCAAAGCTTTAATATGGGACTCAGGACTGCCACCAAGTTCTGTTAAGCAATGGGCAACTCCATCCTTTACGGTCACAAGACCAACATGACTCAGTGGGTTCTGATCAAAAAATTCCCTGATAAATGCCTCAACTTGTTTCCCTATCACAGCCATCCTACACGGACGAAAGTCTGTCTCTGCAGCTGCCTTCACATGACGAGGAAAGCCAAGTTCTGTATTAGAGAATGGAGGGAGGGGAATTCGGACTAACAGCAGATGCATGTGACTGCAATACTATATTATTTATCTTTCTTTCTTTCTTTCTTTTGGCAAGTCAAAGTATAATATTTTATTATGTACATCTCTTCAAAAATCTTCTCCTGATAGTCCTATTACCTCAATTAAGTTACACATAAAATATCTGGAGCGAGAGACAATTCCCAATGTTTTTTCGGGCATAAGTATTGCAAACATCAATGTAGAATATAATATTCACACAGAAACTATCGAGTGATAAAAAGAATACCTTAGACAGGTCAATGACAATATACAGGTAGCGAATAAGGCCTTTCTGAATCCGAGCAGCACCTGCTGTTGAAGCCAGAGCGCGAAGGCGCCTGCGATACTGCGCATGGTAAATGGCTTTATTATCTATTGGACGAAGCATTCCAGATTCATCCTCTTGCAAAGATTCCCATGACCTATCCTCTGCATAAGTTCTCTCCCACGCATCAAGACCTCTACCATTTGCTTCATCCTCATCATCATCTTCTTCTACGTCCCCATTAAGTGGTCTTTCAGCATTATTATTCATATTTTCTGAACCCAATATAGCAGTGACCAATCAATTAAAGGAGGTGGCAGCAATCATGAGAATTATGTATCAGATTTCATCCCATAGATAATCTGACAAGAACATGTGTGCTGAAGTTATGAAAAACGAACCAATTCTTTTGACAAATGGTATAATAAATATGAGCTTAGGCGACAACGTGGTAAAACTTCTGCAATGGAGACGCATACCGAAAACAAATCAGAGAACAAGTTTCCAAATAAGGACCAAAGTAAACACAATAAAAACAAAGCAAGCCATGTGAAGATAAGCTGATCAGGAAATCGAGTGAAGCGAACCATCAACCTTAGTAACCAGAAGTCCTTAGAAACTTTTTAGCCATACCACTCGTTCATCAGGACATGGTAGTGCAGATTGCTGATCGTGCAGTGGTTTGATGTATTGACTAACATTTTTAGCCATATCACTCGTTCAGAAAATTCAGCAAAGAACATAACTACAAGTGCTAGATATATTCACATAAAAGTTCGACCCCAGAGAGCAACAAACAGTCGGAAAGTGAGTCAAATAAGTTTAAAGCAGTGGGAGTTCCAGAACAAGAAACAAATAAGCAACAAATTTGCGTGATGAATCAGGGGATAACAGAAAACAAATGCGAGATTGAGAATGACAGTGCAACGGAAAAAGGGGGCCTTACCGCAGGTGATGTACAGCAATAATGAAATACAACTGAGACCAGCAGTGAAGAGATGAAGGGATCGTAGTTCTACAGCTGTCAGGGAAATTAGAGTACGCCGCCGGCAGGAAGCTGTCGCGGTTTTGCCACCGCCTCACCGGAAGGCTCTCTTTGGTTCTCAGTTTCGACTCCTCGCGACTGAGAGCCTTCACCTGTGACTCCACTCCAGCTGCACGCAAACGACGTCGTTCTATTGCGAAAGCATAGGAAAGCCCTTGTTCTCATTTCATCGGTCCTAAGCCCTTAAGGAGGTTTTCTGAATTTTAATATTTTCATATTCTACTCTCATTTACATTTATAAGGGAGGTTTTTTTTTTTCCATTGTAGTACTAGCAAAGCCCTAATCTCGACATCTTTATTATTTGAGTTAATGTCAGATAGCGGATAACCTTTTTTTTTTTGTTGGGGGTCAAATGATAGCCTATCTATTAAAAAAATACACTTCCTTTTTTTATCCAAACAAATTAAAAAAAAAAAAACACTTGCAAAACACAGTGAAGTGCTTTTCGCTGCAGCTTAACATAATAATAAAATCAGGTTTCAAAATAAACGATGCAGTAAATAGTGGGGCTTATAAGGAGCTAAGGAAACGCGCTCTTTTACCAATTTGGCCCATAAAAATATGCTAGCGGGGCTTTTGGACCGGTCCAGTCCTTGATATTCATGTTGTACGGGCCTTATTAAAAAACGGGTGGAAATTGGACAACTACTTGTGCCCACCAAATCAATCAATCAATCTATCCTTATACTAACTTCAATTTTTAGTATAAGAACTCATATAATTTTTATTTTTATTTTAAATATAAAATTTTAATTCATTTTATTTTTTATTTTTTAAATATTCTTTGTAATAATGATATTTTTAACTTATACACTTGAATAGCAATGATATTTTAGAAAAGACAGTACTTATTTATTATGAATAACTAACTTAATTAGTTTTTTTAGTTTATTCAAATGAGTCAACTAATTTTTTTTATTAATAACCAGAGCAAGTAATCTATACTAAAAAAAACCAGCTTTCCGTGAGTGTAGGAATTTGTCCCCCAAAAGAAAAAAAAAAAAAGAGTGAATATCTCTTCACAGGCTTTTCAAACATCTGGAACTACTCAAACGAGTGCGCATTATTGAAACAAATCTTCAACACGGATAAATAGTGTTTTTTCTCACACTGTAAAAATGGCAAATTGGTAAAAGAACGCATGTCCCTGGCTCCTTATAAGAGAAGGTTTGTTGTTGGTGACTGCTTATAAATTCATACCACGTATTTGGCCAAAGAAAACAAATTTATACTGCATAATAACAATATTGGAATTTTCTATACTGCACATGATTTTTAAAATAATAGTATAAGTTATGAATAGCACGATTTCGTTTTTTACGTTTTATTTCGGAAATAATTCTAAAATTTATTGTAGTCAAAAGATTGTCTTCAAATATTTAACAATAATTGTATTAGCATAACATTTTGCATTGAAATGCACATCCAACATATTTTAAACAGTAATAAGAGTATGCTTGGAGGAATTAAATAGGGGACTGTAAAGGATTTTAAATTCAATTATGAGGAGCAGTATGGAATAAATGAGCAAAACAATGCGTGTAGGAGATGACAAGAGAATTGGCCAAAAAGGTGAAAGTCGAAGTTGAGTTGGGCTGTGAAAATCTAATGTTTCAGTTCGCCTTGTGCGAGAGCAATAACAATGAGAAATTTTTTTGATAAGCTTCTTTTTAAAAAATTTAAAAAGTAGGATTAAAATTTTTAATTATTTTTTTACTTTTTTATCTTACAGCTTTTTTATTAAAATTTTATAATTACACCTCTACAATTTTTCAAATGAGCTCATTAAAATTTTTCCTCACATTCCCTTCCCCATATTTCTCTCAACCCAAATAGATTTTTAAAGTTCGTTGGCTTTTGTTACTTTGAGATCGTCTCTTTAAAAAATTGAATTTTTTTATATTCTTATATAATCCATTTAAAGTAATAAAATAATAAATAAAATGAGAAATCAAATATAAAATTGTGTTTCTTGCATAAAATGAGGTTATGTTTAAATTAAACATAAAATAGTAACATTTCAAAATAAAAAAGAAAAATGGAAAAAAGGGGGTCACCTTGCATATTGACAAGTGTAGGGTTGACAACATGCCAATTAAAGATCAGAGAGAATGGTTTGAATAGTTTTGTAATGTAAAATTAAATACACACTCACACATGCATTCACTCACTTCACTGAGACGACATTATCTTCTTGAATTGAAATTAATTTTTCAGAGGATACTAACAAAAAGCGGAACGGGATTCCTCAATGGACCACTAGGCAGGCACGTTTAACTAGCTTGCGTTGATTTAATCATTAAACTATTAACGGGATTAGGTCTAACGGAATGGACTAGTCCTTCACAGCATGACGAATCAATGTTTGAATTCTCATTAGAAGATGTGTCTATATGTAGTGCCTGACAGTACCTCAAATAAGATTACTTCTAATAAAAAGATACCTATACTTCAGTAAAAAAAAATCATTAAACTACTACTTGTTACTCAACTCGCCCCGCTTATGTCCCATTTACTTTGCTTGAAGACATCGTCCTGCATATATTGTCGTGATTAGCGCACACAGCCATTGGATTCTGAAAAACATTTCACCATTTTCACTGGCACTGTCGGCGTTCCATTACCTCCTCCTCCCTCTCAAATTCCCATCCAAGTCTCCTTTTACTGTACACTCAGACAACCATTATTCGTTTGTTTATTTTGCATCCATGGAGTGATAATAATATTGGAAAAGACAGGGCATCTGTTAAATTAAAGAACGCGAATTTCCTTTTTGTGAACGCAGTAAAGTTTCCACTACAAGGTTTTGCAAAAAAAATAAATAAATAAAAAGAGTGCACCTCAAGGGATCCTTAATAATTAAGATCTATGTCTGGTGGCCCGAGAAAAGCGACTGCCAAATCTAATTTATATTCCGATGGATCAGATTTCAGAGAATATATACTGATTTCCGCACCCGTATGTTTGTCACTGCACATTCGGAAATAACAAAGGCCACGTTAGCGTTTTGAATCAGATTTTCTGTACTTATAGTATTTACGTGGGTCTGGATTAGCGCCCTGGTTTGTCTGCAAAAGGAAGGGACAGATATTATACATTTTAAATTAAGAACCACAGATAGAATATAAATTAATCAAATTAAAGAAACTCTCCCATCCACCACTACTAATTAAAAACTTTGAATCTAGACCACTAAAACTGCTTTTGAATAGTTTGGATTTTATCACAGCTATGAATATCATAATGCTTATAACTGTGATGAACACTAAAATTAGTTCCTCACCTCACCGTACCCAGTACTCACCAAGTCGTTTCATCTGTGTGTAATCATGGCTCTTTAATTGCCAAGTGATCACCCAACCCATCCATAGTACAGTTGATGTTAAGGACTGTATTGAGTTTTAATACCACTGTATCCGGTTTTTAATATAAGATATTGATTGATTTTTATTTTAGTTATAAATATAAGACTTCAATCTATTTTGTTTCTCATATTTATTTATTTTTCTAAGATAATTCTTTTAATAATAATAGCTTTAACCAATAAATTTGATTAGTAACGATATTTTAAAAAAGACAATACTTATTTATTATAAATAAATAATTTAATTTATTTTTTTAATCTATTCAAATTAATCAACTAGTTCTTATATTTATGATGCGAGATAGTACTTGTTATTTAACAAAATCGGGGCCGAGAATAAATCACGTATCCATAATTCCTTATGCACGAAGCATTCTTGGGCACTTTACCATGCTAATTATCACTATATAAACAAATGTCACTTTTCAACATATAGACACTCTGGGTGGATTGGATGCAAAGTTCATGTATCTGTAATGAAGTGTCTTTATGGAGACGGTGGTCAGCGGGGATAGTATATAAGCGTCATTCACGTGGCGGGTTGCCAAATGGTGGCCTCTCCTCATCATCTCGTTTTTGGGCCACCATCAGGGACCCCCGCCTTCGCCTGTGCTATAATAACCTTATATTTATTGACTTTTTCACTTAATTATGCTACAAAAGTGGGTTTATATTTAAGATTGAAGGGAATATTTAAGTTTTTGGCTTTAAGCATCTGTGCCTGTCTGAATCGAGATGCGTGAAATTAAGTCGGTATTATCTTCCAAGTGTGTTTGAAAAGCATATCATTCCTGGGTTGGGAATACTAATTTCTCGATATGGAGTACGTACCACACAGTGACACAGGTTATATATTGGAATAAGCTTGAATTAGCATATATTAAATTTTCAGCTGACTGGGCCATACAAATTAGAACAGGTCATGTCTTGATAATGTTGGACTGTAACAAAGCTCTTGCCGGGTGCTTGATATAACAGTAGAAAGGAATGATATGCTGCCCTGTGGTCATTGTGTTTGTGTCGACGAAAGCGAGGTGTTATTAAATCTGAAAAAATAGACCAGTCGAGAAAACGGAAGAAAATAAGGGAAGAAAAAGCAGAAAAGACAGTGCTGGATAGTCCAACAAAAGGAGGTCAAAACTTATTGTACAGGGGCAGAGGGGAACTGGAAGCAGCTCCCGGCAACATTGCTCTGTTCTCACTTCTCATATGAAATCGACAGGCTGGAAGGATTCTGCCCAACCCACTGGCACCATTATTACTGGACAAGAACAAACTACACTGCCTGTCCAGTAGAGTGAAAGTATTTTCATACGAAACTATTTCCTGGAAATAATATTAATAGTTAAAGCTTACAAAAAGCAGAAAAAAGCAACCTTGCTCTTTCTTTTTCTTGCAGCCACTGCTAAGCATCTTTGCTTCACTTTTCTTTCCTTTTTCTGCTCCTTCGTTCCTCTCTCGGGTAATTTTACCGAGTTTTCTTGCTTTGGATTCTGCCATCATCATTTCGCTTTCTGTTCTAGCTACGGATCATTGCAGCTTAATTGCCGTCATTTTTCTTTACTGGCATTGTTGTTTGTTCATGCACCTGCATTCCTTAATAATTTACACAGATCATTCCCCTTCTTGGATTCTTCATTTTTTCTATGAGCTCCCCTGATTATCTTTCTCGTGATTCTGTCTTTAATCTTTGCTATTTATTTATTTCTGAAAAAAGAAACTGGGTTACCCGATCTCCCTGTCAGCTAGACACCCTCCCTTCCCCTTTACAGTTTCTCAGTTGAGCTTCAAAAAGATCTCAATTTAGTTTCTCGCTCTGTCGGTCCCTTCATTCTATTGGATTTGCAATTACTGTTAACTAGCTTATTTCCGTTACTCGCTTGCCATTTGACAATTCGTACGTGCTCTGTAATTGGGTTTCTGATTTCATGGGACTGTGTCATGGAAAACCGAACGAAATCCCGCAAACGCAAGGAGGAGAAAATCTCTGCGACGAGAAAGAGGGGCTTCCAAATTCTCAAGGAAGGAAATCCACAAACTTTCCCTTTTATAGCCCAAGTCCCTTACCGAGCCTATTCAAGAACTCACCTGCCATCTCGAGCGTGAGCTCAACACCTTTACGCATCTTCAGGCGCCCATTTCCTCCTCCTTCGCCGGCTAAACACATTCGGTCATTGCTTGCTCGAAGGCATGGTTCTGTGAAGCCAAACGAGGCCTCCATCCCCGAAGGAAGCGAGTGCCTCGTTGGACTCGACAAGAGTTTCGGGTTTTCGAAGCAGTTCCTAGCTCATTACGACATTGGAGAAGAAGTGGGACGTGGCCATTTTGGATACACTTGCTCCGCCAAGGGAAAGAAAGGCAGCTTGAAGGGGCAGGATGTGGCAGTCAAAGTCATCCCAAAATCCAAGGTCGCCATTCTCATGCGTGCTTCTCAGTGTCTATCAGGCTCAAATGAATTTATGTTCCGTGTTTGTTGTTCTGGCTATTGATTTTGAAGACCTGTAGACATAAAGAAGTGTGTTTTTCTTATGAAAATGGGTGATGATTGGCAGATGACCACAGCTATTGCTATAGAGGATGTGAGGAGAGAAGTGAAGATGTTGCGGGCTCTAACCGGACATAAGAACCTGGTGCAATTCTACGAGGCCTATGAAGATGATGACAATGTTTATATGGTTATGGAGTAAGTTCAAATTACTTATTACTGTGTTTTCTCCTTCTTGTTAAGGATACAGCTTATGATCTTTGATGCTGCTGCACAATCGGTAATATAATGTCAATCTTAACAAGCTTTCTGGAGAACAAAACGAAACTTTTGTGTTTTATTACTTGTATGAACAGACATGACTTTCCTTGCATATAAAATTTACTTCCGAAGCAGTAAAAGAGTTATGCCTCTCATTTTCAGATAAAGTATGAATTAGACAAAGTGTTGGAAGTTATTAAATGAAGTCACCAAATTAAAAGCTTACATGTGTCTTATGCAATTCAGGTTATGCAAAGGAGGTGAACTCCTAGATAGAATACTTTCCAGGTAACAAGGTTTTCCGATTTGGGTTTCATTACGGTGCCATTACCACACTATTAAGTATTAAATATCAATGACTTGCTTGTCAGCTCAAATTAAGTTGTGATCTATAGGGGTGGAAAGTATTCAGAAGAGGACGCCAAGGTTGTTATGATTCAGATATTAAGTGTGGTGGCTTTCTGTCATCTTCAGGGTGTGGTTCATCGGGATCTCAAGCCAGAGGTGATCCACTCAGCTTACTGATGTTTATTTTTGTGGTAGTTGAGAATAAAGTATGCCTTCTAACATTCTGCACTTTAACTGAATGCCTACAATTATCCTTGTTAAACGCCCTACACACTTTCAGGCCCTAGCAAGGCTGGGAAAGTTCTCCAGTGCTGTAACATTACAAGGATAGGAAGAAATGCTCCTAGTTTCTAGATGATATTTGAGAGATAATACTTGCTGCACAATCCTCTGCGTTTCCTTTCGATCCAAGTTTCTCCTTGTTCAATTTTGCTTGCTCTTCTCTTAAATTGTTTAGTATTTTTCAAACTCAAAACCTGAGACACCTAAAAAAGAAGGCTAGCCTTTTGCGGCAATTTATTTATTGGGCATTACTTTAAGGAAAAAGCATGTCATTTAAAGGAATAGGGCCATGTCACAAAGGACATGAATTACCGAGTGAAGGAATGCTTGGCATAAATTGGACTTCCTTTTCTATATTATGTTCCTCCATTATTTTACTGATTAATGATCAATCTTAATGATATCAGTTGGCACTAAAGTGGACAGTGAATCAAATGATGGGTGCAATTGAATATTTCTGTACCTTATTATATATCCCCTTCCATTTGGCATGTTTACCATTGTCCTGATATTGAAAATTGGTTTCATGCCGCAGAATTTCCTGTTTACATCTAAGGATGAAAACTTAAACTCTACTCTAAAGGCTATTGATTTTGGTCTCTCTGACTATGTAAAGCCAGGTCAAGTCAAGCCTATTGCTTGCTTTCATTTTTTTTTCCTTAAAGGATTTTAACAGAAAATAACATGCTAAGAGTTTTCTGAGAATTATAAGTTCTTACAGATGAAAGGTTGAATGATATTGTGGGAAGTGCATACTATGTGGCTCCTGAAGTTTTACATAGATCTTATGGGACTGAAGCAGACATGTGGAGCATCGGTGTAATTGCTTACATTCTATTATGTGGAAGCCGTCCTTTCTGGGCCCGGACTGAATCTGGCATTTTCCGGACTGTCCTGAAGGCAGATCCAAGTTTTGATGAAGCTCCTTGGCCTTCTTTATCAGTTGATGCTGTAGATTTTGTGAAGAGACTATTGAATAAGGACTACCGTAAGAGATTAACTGCAGCTCAGGCGCTTTGTAAGTCACTGAAATTATATAATTAGATCATCTGCTATTAAATCAACGGGTTTGCCTGTGGGAGCAAAATTCAATTGAATGTATTTTCTGATTTAAAACTAATAGAGCTCCTAGTTGTATGAATTTTGACTAGATTATAGTTAGTAATTAGGGAGGGGAGGGAGAACCATGCTTGTATGTTTTCCATTTCCTATCGGTAGTGTAAATAGTAATTACTTTCTTATTTTAATATTTTTATGAATTCTCATTCCTGTAGTCTGATTTTATGTTAGGTCATCCATGGCTGGCAAATCATCATGATGATATGAAGATACCTTTGGATGTGATAATCCCCAAGTTTGTTAAGGCTTACACATGCTCATCTTCTTTACGCAAATCAGCACTAGGGGTATGTAATTTTGTTTAATACCTGTTCAATACCCCCCCTTTCTCCACCCTCCATTTTATCTCAATGTAGATTCTTAATGCCACTATTGGATTCTGGAACATATTTCTCAAAATATTTACAGAGGGATCAGGTGTCTCGTGTTAGCATTTACTGTTGTCTTTCCTGGATCAATAATTTGTTGGCTTCTTGAGCATGATATACTTGTGCTGAAAAGCTAGTCAAGCATTAGTGTAGTCTGGAGATGACAGTACAGTTGTCCATCGTCATAATTTATCAATTACTCAAGCTTCTTCTTCTTCTTCTTCCCCCTTTTTTTTTTTTTTTGGTGTACAATTACTCAAGCTTCTTGACTTAACCATTGTATTCGCTTTTGGAACCATGGATACATGTTGATTTGAGTTTTGCTAACCTGGCAGGCTCTTGCCAAGACATTAACAGTAGCTCAGCTAGCTTATTTCAGAGAACAATTTACTCAGTTAGGGCCGAATAAAAGTGGATTTATCTCAATGCAGAACTTTAAGACGGTCAGCACATATTCACAGTTATGGTTTCTTTTTCAAGTATATTTCAAGCCATTAACATTGGAATGAGCAGGCTTTTCTGAGGAGCTCCACTGATGCCTCAAAGGATTCACGAGTCTTGGATTATGTGAACATGGTAAGTCTTCGAGGGAACTTTTTTTTTTTTTTTTTGTTTCCAGATCAAATGTTTGACAAAATTTGCTTCCCTAGAAAGTCACTTTATTACCATATGCTTGTTGCAGATTAGTTCTATCCAATACAGGAAATTAGACTTCGAGGAGTTTTGCTCTGCTGCTATAAGCGTGCACCAGCTAGAGGGTATGGAGACCTGGGAGCAACATGCTAGGCGAGCCTATGAGCTATTTGAAAAGCGTGGAAACAGACCAATTATGATTGAAGAACTAGCCTCGGTACTCTCTTGTAGTCTTGTGCACATACCAGTTTCTATCTGTTTTCTTTGACTATCCTCTGCATAATATGAAATTGACCTGATACATCAAATGGGATTGTCGATTAGGAAGAACATGCTTATCCTCTGCAGAGTGGTACTAAGCTTTTGAAATTTGATTCGTTCATCCAGGAACTTGGGCTCAGCCCATCAGTGCCTGTTCATGTGGTTCTGCAAGATTGGATAAGACACGCAGATGGGAAGCTTAGTTTCTTGGGGTTTGTCAGACTTCTGCATGGGGTTTCTTCCCGCTCATTTCAGAAGACTTGAAAGAGCACTGGGGTGCTAATTTTTTTCTTTCTTGCCCTTATTGACCGTTTATTTCTAAACGGGATTTGAATGCATGAGCAAACTCCGTCAATGAATCCGTTCGCCCTCATAGGAAAATGATGGCTTCGGCGTGCTGAAAGCAAGGTGATGGAACCTGATACAGACGAAGCTAATTACAAGATCTCCTGATATTAAGCCAGCATTTCTCAAGTATCTCATACACGAAAAGTCCTTTTCCTCATCTTGTTCTCAGCCTTTTATGGCTGGCGGTTGTGGAAGTAGAGGATTGTACAGATGATGTAGACTACAGATTGAACTTGCGAGAACCACGCAAATCTGAGCTGTGTCTTGGCGATCCCATGTATGCCAATGGCACTATCAATAAAATGTTCCCAGTCTTGTAACTCCCTATAGATCAAAGTATTATTTTTGCATTCTCTTAATTTTTTTAATTACTCAGAATGATATATGCAGGTATTGCAGGCTGGCATTTTGTTGGTGTAAAATCCCAAGATAACATCTTCGGTTAATACCAATACCCTCAGATATCAATATCGGAAGTTTTTTGCCCTCAAACGCTTGACTTGATTCTAGATATTTAAAAGAGTACCTGTAATTTCATACCATTGTCTTTAGTAGTGAATAAAGAGAATTGCACGTTGCACAATATTCGTAATAAGCAGTTTGGCACTGATTTTACAGTGTGTTATGGACCTTTCTCTCTTTTAGGCACTGTTAAAAAGAAGACGGGAAAAAAATAAAAAGGGAAAAGTTTCAGTGACGGACTTCAGGTTTTTCTTTTTTCTAAAGTGTGTATCAAGTTGCTTCCTTTAATGATTGAGGTGTATGATTTTGTGTCATATTGCTGTGATCAAACAAGTCTGTGTTTCGACAGCCAGTTTCAGGAAGGGGATTGTAGGTGTTTAGAAAGTATTTCCTAGCAATCGTGTCTGATGAAGAGTCTGTTGAGTGTATTTGCTGTGGATAAGTGGGGGTAAAACCAAACGTGTTTACATTGAAGTAGAACTTCTAGTGTTTGATTAGTCAAGATAACATCAATGAATCATCCCGTGAACCAACCAGTAAAAAATTTCTCTCATAGTTCCAGGACTCACCCAACGATTGAATTTGAGGGGACTCGCTCGAGAATAATGGATACTACGACCACTAAGAGCTCTTTTCTTAGTAGTCATGCAGATTGCAGATTCTGACATGGTCAGATTGCTGTCATTAAACCAAGACAGTAAGACGTGAGGGTGAGGCCGGTAAGGGTGAGCAAAACTAAGCTGAAAACCGAAAACCGAACTGAATATCATATTGGTTGTTCGATTCAGTTATTTTAGTTTTCGGTTATATATTTGGTTTTTATTTTTTTAATAATTCAATTTCAGTTCGGTTAGTAGGAAAAAAAATTCGGTCATGACCGAAAAACAAAATAAATATATTATATATTTATATTTAATAAATATTATTTTAATAAATATTTAAATATATTTATATTCAATAAATATGATTATAATAAATATTATTATAACAAATCATATTGAATGGTAAAATATTTATTAATTAATAGTTTTAATTGTGTTTTATTATTATTTTTAGTTTAAAATCACTTTTTATATTTATATATTTTGATTAATCAGTTAACCGAATCGAAATATTTCAGTTAATTTGGTTAATCGGTTTTAGTTTGATAATTAATTTTTGCTCTATTAGGTTATCACCGAAAACTGAACCAAAAAACCGAATGCTCATCTCTAGAGGCCGTTGTGTTGCAGGGAATATGAAAAATAATTAATAATATTCATAACTTCAAAATATTGTGATTTTCTTATAATTCTATATTATATATTGAATGTTTCAAAGTTAAATATTAAATGATTTTATAGAGATATCATAAATAATTATATTTTTTTAATATAATATTAATATTAGATTCAAACTTGAGACTTTATTCAAACATGATAGTAGTCGTTGATGATAAATTACTATTATATATGATATCATGAAAATAAAGGGATTATAAAAACGAATTTCGTGTGCAACTTAAGCCGATGCTGACTCTTGCTTGTCAAACCCAGTTTTGACTTTTGGTCTAATCGAAAGACAGTTTATAAGTTTAAACATGGGTCTTTTGAATAGCATATGATTTACTCCTCCGGTCCTTATTATAAGATCTAATTTGACTTTTTATTTGGTCCTAATTATAAGACCCAATCCATTTTGTCTATTATATTTATGCATTTTTTTTCAAGATAATCCTTCTAATAATGATAGTTTTAGCCAATATACTTAATTAGCAAGGATATTTTAGGAATGACAACACTTATTTATTATAAATAACCAACTTAACTTACTTTCTTAATCTCCTCAAATAAGTCAATTGATCTTATAATTAGGACCGGAGAGTATTTATTTACTTACTTTTGCCAGCGTACTTAATTCAGTTTTTAAACGTATGGATCCCAAGTTCCCAATTACTTTTGGGCAAAAAAAAAAAAAGAAAGTCCCCAATTACTGTGGCCAACTTAATGCCATGTCAAGTAGGGCCCCCTCATGTCGAGAATGGTGATGAGGGTAGATGCGGACTTGGAATTGAATAGGATCAAAGGTACTACAGCTGCAACCCTCTCTAATGCAGTAATGCCCTTCCAAAGAGTTACACTTTCTGTAACTACAATGGCTCATCAAAGAACCACCAAGCCTAAACAAATAAAACCCAGATCTTTACTTATCCTTCTTGCCTTAGTTATATCTGCCATTGCCTTCCTCTTCCTCTTTTCCTCTCGCCTCTCCACTTATGGCTCCTCCTCCTCCTCCTCCAATGCCCATCAAATTATGCTCAAACGGAGGCACCATCGGACTGACCATGACAAGTATTTGTACTGGGGCAGAAGGATTGACTGCCCTGGAAGACACTGCGATTCTTGCGAGGGTTTGGGCCACCAGGAATCCAGCCTCAGGTGTGCCCTTGAAGAGGCCCTCTATCTTCGGAGGTATCCACTCACTTCCTCTTTTCCGCATTCTCCATTCCCTTCTTCTTCTTCTGCATCCTTTTTAAGAGAATGCCCTCGATGGGTACCAAGAATATAAGGAAAACGAAAGGTTCAACTTTCTTCTTATTTCAAATTTTCATCTCTGATCCTTTCCTTTAACTGGTTGGTTTTGATTTAACTATCTGGCTTAATTCAGCTAAATCAGTCATTCTCTGGCTGTTGAGCTGACGGAGACACTGACTTTAAGCCTAAACGGTTTCACTCCACGTCCGGGCCGCGCGAGAGAGCTTTGCACGCTCCTTGCTTATAAATGGAAACTCTGTGCTTCCTAGTTTTCGGATTTTGTAGGCGTCGTATATAGTGACTGAGTACTTCTGCATTGCCTGCTCATGTATATGATCACTCTTGCTGCAGAATTTTCGTCATGCCATCAAGAATGTGCATTAGCCCCCTACATAATAAGAAGGGGATCCTTCATCAGTCTAGTGAGGCTAGTTCAGAGGAAATGTGAGTTGCTTTACGGCTTCCCATTGATTGTTGCTTTTGTTTTCTTGAGTAATTCCCTGTCAAAGAGATTCCATTTGCACTAATGTTATGCAATTTTTTAATTGATGATAGTGGATTGATTTTCTGATTTGACTATGTCTTCTATGAAAGGTGGGAAGCAAATTCTTGTGCCATGGACTCCTTATATGATATGGACCTCATATCAGATACCATCCCTGTAATTTTGGACAATTCAGAAGAATGGTTTGAGGTTTTATCTACAGCCATGAAGTTAGAAGCCAGAGGAGTTGCCCATGTAGAAGGGGTTAGCCGTGCTGATCTGAAAGATAACAATCGCTACTCTAATCTCTTTCTCATAAACAGAACTGCTAGCCCACTTTCTTGGTAGATCATCTATCCCATTCCTCTGTTTTTTTAGTTTCCTCTTCTTTTTATTTCCTTTTTATTCTCAGATTCAGATTCAAATATAATAAACTGTACATTTTTTTTATTCTGCAAATCAAGCCTGACATAAGGATAGAGCACAGCGCATATTTGTACTAAAATCAAGCTTGATATAAGTTGTGAGATTGGGAATAACAATTACAAATTTTTAATTTGCATTCAATGTGACTGTGGTACTGGAGAAGCTAAATATATCATCGTGACTACTTCAGCAACTAAACTTTCTGCAACATTTCTGCCCTTGATGTGTCTTGGGCTTCAAACCTCATCTCCATTTATACAGAACCATAGTAATCAAAAGGAATTTTGATGGAGCTTCTAGAATCTCAAGAGTTATTGGCAGGGATAATTTTGCTTAGAAGTAGGAAGTACTAAAAGATTCTCTATGTGGGTGAATTTGAAGTTAGTATCATAACTAAGTCAAGCTGTAAATCTTTCCTTGAAATTGCTTTTGCTAGACCATGAATATACTTAGGCATAGCTTCATGCTCTGATGTAAAGGACTCCCCCTAAAATAGGTTGTTATATATCTTGAGTATTTCTATTATCTCCTGCAAGTAGAAATAGATAGTTTTGAAATCTTTAGGTTTTTGCTCAGGTAATAGTGGTGTTGACCCTCCAGGTTTATGGAATGCAAAGATCGAAACAACAGGAGTGCTATAATGCTGCCATATTCATTTCTGCCATCAATGGCAGCAGGGAAACTGAGAGAGGCAGCAGACAAGGTTCATTTGATGCACATTCTCTGTGAAGTTTTTGTTTGAAGTCAATAATTTTCACATTCAGGTTAAATTGAGTGGTTAATTTGTGTTTTATTTCTAATTTAAGATAATTTGGTGGAGCATATAGTTTTTAGAATGTAACTAACTTTTTCCCCATTAGTGTTGGACTAGAAAATGGCGTATTGACGAGAACCCGGCTAAGTTATTTCAAGCGGTTGCTGTGGGAGGCAGAGGAAAAATTTGACGATAAATAGCTTGAGCATCACGCGGAGGGACCCAGATGATAAATAAAATAGTATCTCAGTTAATATTGTTAACAAGAACTGAACGAAAGGGCTTGAATCCTTTAGGAGAGATAATTTAGAGGGTAGTTTCCCCGTTTTAAAAATAAAGATGGCTTTGCAGCCAACTCAAAGTTAAAAGGGATTATGTTGCCTTTCGCTTCTGATTTTCATATGCTGAGTACATTATGGCTGACTTTACGTTTCGGGGATATCTATAAACTATTTAATGATGGCAATATTCTTGTCCACAGATTAAAGCACTCCTTGGTGATTATGATGCAATGCATGTTCGTCGTGGTGATAAGATGAAGACCAGGAAGGACAGATTTGGTGTTGTCAAGACCCTGCATCCTCACCTTGATAGGGATACACGGCCTGTGTTTATTCTCTGCAGAATTGCAAAGTGGGTCCCCCCCGGAAGAACCTTGTTTATCGCTTCGAATGAAAGGACTCCAGGATTCTTCTCGCCACTCTCTGTCAGGTAACCCTTCTCATGTGCGTCACACTGGTAATCTGCAAACTTCAGTTAACCATACTATTCATCTGTTATTCTGGGTTAGAGGTTGGCCGCTTGATGATACCCAACCCCTCTACTATACATATTCGCAGATATAAATTGGCATATTCTTCAAACTATAGCAAGATCCTTGATCCAGTGGTCGAGAACAACTACCAATTATTCATGATCGAGAGGCTTGTTTTGATGGGAGCCAAAACGTTCATTAAAACATTCAAGGAGGATGAGACAACCCTCAGCCTTACTGATGATCCCAAAAAGAACAATAAAAATTGGCAGGAACCAGTCTACACAGCCGATCAAGACTCATGCTGACACCCACACCTATTTTCTATGTAGAAAGGTTGTACCCCCCCCCCCCCCAAAAAAAAAAAGGTAAATAGTGTACTCTAACCAGATATTTGCTTGGTAGGAATCCTTGAGAACAAACTCCCCCCATATGCGTAAATAGAACTGAGTTTAAACCCTATCAATAGTATAATGGATGTGTAAGTTGTGATAAAAAATAAATATGACGTGCCTTTATTTTTGTGTAATGCCCAATAAATAATATTACCTCTCGTCTTTAATATAAAAATTAGTTGACTAATTTGAGTAGATTAAAAAAATTATTTAAGTTAATTATTTGTAATAAATAGGTCTTGTTTCTTTAAAATACCATTGTTGATAAGAGTCATTTGATAAAATATTTAACATATGCAACGACTATAAGAATTATCTTAAAAAAATAAATAAATATGAGGTAAAATAAATTAGGATTTTATGTTTAAAACTAGATTGAAAATCAAACTTAGTTTTATATTAGGTATTGAAAGTAATACTATTATTTAGGGGAATTGGTTTTAGTAATCATCACACATGAGTAACATCAGTAATTTGCATCATTTACATATAATTTTATTAGTTTAGATTTAAAATTTTCTATTCATAATTTTTAAATTGAAATTTTTTTTTTGAAAAAACTGAGAATTAAAATAAACTAATTTTTACTTAAAATTCCATACACATTCAAGTATTAAATTGCTAAAAATATAAAAGTGAAATTACTAGTGCGCAATATTTACGATTGTAGTTTTATCACACAAAAAAAATCATGATTATAGTTTTGCTAAACATCAGCTTTCTTTAAACCATTACAATACGAAAGCTAATTGGAAGAATAGCACAGCTTAGAATTGTCTCCATTAATTTGCAAATTTTAAATCAGAAATTCTGTAACAAGTTTTAAAACTGTCAAATAGCACCTATCTATCTTCTTAGCACTTTCAAGATTCATTATGCTAGTGAAGCATTACAGAAAGAGGTCATAATTAGAACGACTGCAAGCCGCAGCCTACTGCAATAGCAAGCAAATGGAAGTGAACAAAAACGAGCGTTAAGTACGGTATGAGTAATTTGTACAGGCTCCTAATTCTCACTACTTTATCAATAATAATTACAAGGTTCAACGTTAATTTGGAGGCAAGAACACAAGTGTCAAGAGCACCTGGAGCTCCCCGCAATGAAAGCCATCCTCATGTCAGAATCAGCAAAATGGCAATGCTTGAAGAATGGGATTTCAGCTGTTAAAGGAATCAGTGGGACTGTGCTTCCAGTAGAATATTTGTGGCCACATTGACATCATTTCTGGCATGCACTAGCGCTTGCCTCGCTGAGCTCCTATCAAATCCCATGGAAACAAGCGTCGCAATTGAGTCCTCTGATGGTTCCGCCACTGATTGCATTGGAGCAGGGTAATTTCTCTGTAACCGAAACTTTGTTAAGTCAACCAAATAATGACATTAACAATTGTCAAACTACACATAGAAGGCCAGTTTTTTTAATAGTTTCCTGTGTATGATTATATTACAATTATATGAACCTTGAATTTTCTTTTGAAGTCTCAAAATAAGATGTGCTATAATTTTACGCAGAGATGCCTAAATTGTGAAATCCAGGCAATGGGACGGGTAAAATTTGAAATTAGAAGTGAAAACTTGCCTCCGCTTGGCGAACTGCTGAATAGAATGGTCTATTTCCTACGGCATTCCTTGTTGATGGAGCACGAGAACCCCCCATAGATGGTGAAAAGAACCGTGAAAAGAGTGATGCAATGGACCGTGGGAACTGAAATAAAGCATAGTAGCATAAGCACAATCTAGTCACGACAATAAATCCTCAAAAGCAACTGTAGTCATAAGCTCCATGCAAGTGACATGTTCAGGTTCAAGGGAGAATAGAGTAAAATGAAAAGGAAGAATATAATCATCTACATATTAAAGTTCCCCTAACCCTTTCTTTTAAACAGAAGTTACACTGCTAACCACAGATTGAACAATGTAATAACAGGAAGATAAGAAACCACACATTATTATTAGACCAGCATGCACGAGTACAAATATCTGCTTCCTTCAAAAGGAAGGTATTTTATAGTGCTTCAAACGATCAACATTGATTATTAGACAAAATCCTAATGCTATCAGCATACGTATCTAACAAGAACATAGGCCTCAGTTAGCTGCTATGAGCTAGCATTCCTTCTCCATCAAAAAGGGTAGCTCCTGGTCTGTAAATCACACGATTGTAAAGATGGAGATGCAAAACTGCAAATTATAATGCGCAAGTGATTAACTCTACGGTTTCATGCAAAGCTAGTGGTAGAATTCTTCCTAGTAGACATAATCACCCAACATTGTGCAGTGAACAAGAAAACATAACTGAGCATGCCTACATTAGAATATAAAATAATAAAAAATCTCATGCCTTCTGATTCAAAGTTACCTTGGCTTTGCGGATATAGAAGACATTCAAACGGTACAACGAACCAGCAAGGATGCCACACAATCCAGGTAAGATTGACCCTTTGAATGACGAAAAAAGAAGCTGCAAAAATAAATAGCTATCAAAGTTTAATGGATTATATGCATTGTTAAACAAAATTACACATAAGAATACATAATCTGGTTACAATTTACCTGAATACCAGCTAGATATGTGAATGACTTATCAGAAAAGGGAAAACCAGCCACACGGAGCCGTGTTGAAACTGGAATATCGAGGAAAAAGGGCACAAATGCAGCAAATATAAGACCATAAGGTCCAGAGGAGACATGTTCCACAAAACGATCTGCAAAAGTGCACCAATACTTTATATGTAGATATCTCTTAGCACAAAAGCATAAAGTGATAAGGGGTGACTAGTTTAAAAGCATATCCAATGCATCATGATAAGATAAGAAACAAGCTGTTGCTGAACTATAAGCACATGCTAGCTAAGGTTGACCATAAATAAGCTTCGCAATTTGCATCATTGTTCTGGAATCCTTTAAGTGGCAAAATCATTATTTCACTAGCACGAAAATGTGATCAGTTAATCCTCAGTAGGTAAATTTTCCAATTGTACATTATTGTCAACAACCTTTTTATCAATTTAGTTACCAAAAACCATGTCAGGCAATTTAGTTGAAATATTTGAATGACATTAAGAACTGGTACTTGGTGCCTAAGCATCCAATAAAGCCTAAATTTAGCTCAAAGTCAGGTCTACATAAAGCAGAATCCGAATTCACTTATGTAAGAATTGAGGCACCGCAGTATAGTGTAACCATATACACTCTCGGTAATAAAGATACATGAAAATTTACTCCAAGTTCAAAAAGTGAAAAGAAGGGGACAATAACATTAAACAAAGAAGACTGAGCACATGATAGACGTGCGATGCAGAGATAATATGAAGTACTCCCTTTGGTCCATATTATAAGAAGCCTTCTAGAAGAAATTTTTGATCCATTTTATAAGGCATTTTGGTAATTTCAATGAGTATGAAATATTTTTCCCATATATGCCCATGTTTAATAAGGGTAGTGAGAGAGAGTAGAAATTAATATGATGTTGGAATTTAGCATAGTTAATAAGGGTAATATTGGGATCACTCAAATTTCATAACAAATTTAATACTTTTAACTATTTTTATTGGTAAGCGTGAATTAGGTAGAAACATCTTATATTGTGTACTAGAGGGAGTATCATCAGTCAAGAAAAAAATATTATAAAAGAAATTAGCCACGAAGGAAGGGCATGAGAGCCTTATATGTGTACCTTTCATGAGCTTTACAGCAATGACCTCAAACAGAAGTGAAACTAGCATGGAAAACATGACAAAGACCTGCGTGAAGATAATTCAAAGCCACATACAGGGTAGTTAGGGTAAAATATATTTCCTCTGGGAAAGAATAACGTAATGCTGAGAATTAATGCTCAAACGTCTACGTAGGCAATAATGGCAGTAAGAGAAAAAAAATGGTGTTTGAAGAGATAGACCTCCTTAAGTTGTCATGTTAGTTAATAGATTAAAGCACCACTATTAAGGAGATCATGGTATGGACAATGCATCACACAAAATTTGATTCTTGATGACGAGCTAGCAGCTATGCTTAAGAGTAAATATCAGTCGTGGCAGAAGCAACATAACAGCCATCCCCCAATTTTGTTAGAAGGCAACAAGCATCAACCATGAAAAGGCAGACATTAATCCAGTTCCCAAATTATAATAATTGGGTGCATCTTGTTCTAACTATATCTCTGGGAATTGCTTCAAAACTCAACAGAAGCATAAAAGTTACTTACAGAGTATTTATTGGAACCTATCTGTCTCTCGAAGACCCTAAAATAGTAAAGCAGATACAGCCCACAAATCAATTCTGGTGTCGATGAAAAGGCAAAGATGGACAGAATCCATTTCCAAGAACGAAGCTTTCCCAAAAAATCCTGCCATGAAGCCAACAAAGTGCGGTAACATAAGAATACATACTAAACTCAAAATGAGCGGAAGTCTTTATGCTTTACGAGTTGGTTTTACAAGTGACAACAGAGTGGTAGTTCATTAAGCGTTTATAAAGTTAGCGAAATCTTATTTATTTTTCCTTTCGCCCTGCTATGGCATGAACCTCTAGAAAAAGTTAAGAAAGAACCGTGTAGAAGTCTGAAGTTTAGTATTATAGCGTCGGAATAAAAGTATCAGTAAGATCATTTGTCTGGCGTTGTACAATAAAAATTGACAAATACCAGGTGATCTGGCACCTGATAAGGGCTGTAAGAATTGACACTGACCCAGTTTGAAAGAAATTAAATTAAAATTATGATTAAACATCGCATTTAGAGAGTAATTAAATTAAATAATAATAAGGATCAAGCTCAATCTATAAAATTGGAATGACTGATACAACTCATTGAAAAAACATCACAAAACCCAGTTCCATTATCCGCCACCGTTGACCTAATTACCAAAAATAAGATGGAACAGGCGAACGAGCAAGGGCACCTGATAGACATTACCAGACTGTTCAAACGGCCTTGGATCCCGAAGAAGATTGAGAAAAGCGCCGAGAAGATGATGACAGTCCTTGTGACGGGAGCATTAGCTGCGACACTCAAGACGATAAGCATTTAGCAATGAATCAGAAGCGAAAACCTTCATCGCAAAAATCTTATTGAGAGGGTGTAGCAATAACACCCAGAAGGTTGTGGAGAGGGATTACACACCAAAACCAGACGGGCCGCCGTTCATTTTCACAGTGAAGCAGAAAGTAACGACCTTGTCTGCGTAATTTGCCTTCGCCTCTGGCTCCGAGTCTCAGGGTCGTCTTCTCGCAACTTTCCCTGAGTTCTTCGCAGTCGAGAATTGCGTATTCTATATTCAATTGACGTGCGCGTGCATTCTTGAATTTTCTCTTGGCTGTTGTCTTTTATTTAAACATGTTCAAAACTTGAAAACCCTTTATTCAATACTACTAATAAATTAAGCGTGCTCGAGTTCAAGCCCTTGGGAATTTAGGATAAAAACTCATCAGGACAGCTGAGCATTCGAGGGATTAGTTAAGATCCAATGGCATTATTCAATATTAGTTGGTTTCATTTAAAAAAGTACAAATAAGCTTGCGATTTTTAATTTTTTTGGCAAAATTTTAAGTACTCTTAATTAGCTAATGCTCTCAAGAATTACTGTAGTTGGGTGTTCTTCTTCCCGTCCACCTGCTTTTAATGGCGTGCATCAATCATTAATCATTGATAATACAATAACAGTATCTTAATTTCTAATGCTACTCCCTCCGATCTTATATATAAACTTCCCGTTTTGATATTCAAAATATAAACTTTATTTTTTATTTTGTCTAAACATTTATTATTTTTTTTCTATTTTACTCTTAGTTGATTATATTTAATGCTTCCCTTTTCTCATTAATGTTATTCACGTGTATTTTCTTTTATTATTATTTTTATTTATTGCTTCTTTTTTTACTCTCTTATTTTTAATTAATTTTAATTGTTATTTCGTTAAACGTGATTCGACTAAACTTATATATATATATATATATATATATATAAATATAAAGGAGGAGGGAGTTTAGGGGGCCTTTTTTTTTAAATTATTAATTACTACTCAAAAACTTAAAAACGTCTTATATTTTTGAACATCGTACTTGTTGAAATTGTCTTATAATTTTAGATGGAACCACTGATCTTTCATGCATAACAAGGTTTTTAGAGGAATTTTCCAAGTTATCAAAAAAATAAGCGGCATGACGTTTTCCATATATTAGACCATCTATTAGAATTTAATACTATGTGGATATTTTTTATGATTTGCTTTCATGATAATTAATGATTAAGTGTTTTTTTTTTGGCCATGATTAGATGTTTGATTCAAAAAAAGAAATCTGTGCTTAGAGGCAACATCAATAGAATCTTGCTGAGTTCCCATCTTAACTTAGACTTACTCGTACAATGATACTATTCGAACATGACGTGGTTCCTTCCCCCTATTACCGCAATCTAAAATTCCAACGCAGTTTGACAGGAACCAAAAAAAAAATTTGATAATTTTCGGAAATTCCCATCCCGACTAATTGTTCAGAATCTCACGCCTTAAATTCAAATATTAGTTATGGGGTAATTACCTGAATCGCTTTTTAAAAATAACAAAGAAATATAATAATTGATCACACCTAATCTCTTAAAAATACAGGCAACTAAAACATGACTTATCTTTCATGCTACAGAAGATCATACCCCTAATATGTTTCATTACTCATGCAAGGGATTTATTCATTGATTTCCAGATTTGCAAGCCATAAGTGTACAGATAAATATAATGCCGTTATTATTACCATTATTCTACAAGTTTGTCAGGCCAGAGGCTCGTCCACATCCTGATCTCTTCCTCACCGTACAGCTTCCTGATTCCGCCGTAAAATCCATCTACTTCATCCCCTTCCTCTCTGTGGTGCTTCCTGTCTATCACTGCTTGTCTCCATCTGCATCCTAATGCATACTGCTTGAACTCCAAAACCACCATGTCTGTCACCAACCCCACTTTTTGTTAGCCATTCATTTCAACCTTTGCTACTCTTACTTACTGCTACAACTTTCCCATGAAGCCTCCTCAGTATTATTTTATTCCCTTTTTCTTGTTAATAGAAAAATGCCCAAATTCCATGGTAACCCTATGGTTTAACTAAACTTCAGAAAGGAGAAAGTGGGAAGACCATTGGGTAATTTTTGTTTGTTACCAGACGCACAACATTGGATACTCATCAGTTAAAATAAACAAACCGGCAAAATAAAACGGAACAGATTGATTCTCTCACCACTAAAGTGACAGTGGCAATGATTCACATGTCCCTGGCATGATTCCAAGTGACCAACGACGCCATACCACCAACCTACAACAGTACATTAATTCTGAATAAGTATGATGGAAGATAGTGTTCACAACAATTCAGAAAAACTTGGGCAGCATTGAACATACCATAAGGATAATCTTTGTTTCTTCTCCACTGGATCTCAATGTGATCTCCTGGTTTTAAGTCATCCAAACGGTCAGAGGTATAAAGAACATGAGAGGAAATGTCAATGGGCGGCATTCTCAGCCTGTCCCAGTGTATATTTTCCTCCATTGACCATCGCGCATGAGGTAAGTACCTGCAGAAAGCATCTCCATTTTCAGCTCCAGAGAAACAGGACCATGACAGACAAAAGATAGTGTCAAAGGTTGGTTTCAAGTTTTGGTTAACACTTCGTAGGATTAACATAGTCCAACTACATTTATCTGTATCGGTTGATCATTATCTAACCACTCGCCTGGGAAGAGCCCTTCTTTGAAAGAGGCGACCTTTCCACTTACCTTGCCTGAAAGGTGTCAGTTCGAGAATCATAGCATAGTTGGGCATCATAACACGAGAGCATGAAACCAGCATGACCATTCTGAAAATGGGAGAATATATTTATCATTGAAGGGTGCTACAGCTACATATAAAATTCAAAAGCAGATCCTCCGTACAGAACACAAATGAACTCTAAGAATTAACAATAAACGATCCAATAAGTAAAGGAACATGCTGAAGTGATAACTCATAACAAGCTGAAACCATTTACCTCTCGGTTATAGACTTGGGCTGGGAACCAAAACTTCCCGTTCTCAAGAGAAAGATACAAAGCCATGAATGAATCGTCTGGTAACACGCTCCTGCCAGATTGCCTGCCGTTTCCTGATTTGGTTTTAATCCATTGAAAGGGACTAAAACTTTGAAGGGAAGCAAATATTCCTTTTTGATTGCGTCTGTGGAAGATTTTTTCTCTGTTTCGGGAAGCCACATACCATCTCCATTGCCTATAAGCAGAGGCACCGATAACTTTACCCCACTTACGCTCTATGTGTTTCTCCCATAAATAGTCACTTCGACATCTCTCCCTAAGAGATGGGCACACTGATGCCATATTGCATAAATCAGCTGGGGAAAGTTTCTCAAGGACGCAATCCAATGCCAAATCAGGCAAATCCAACGGAGAAAATTTGCATGCCTCTTCTCCACTCCCCACTTTAGGCACTAAATTGTCCTTGTTCACTGACATAGTTGGAGGAACCTCACTAAAACTAAAAGCTACCTCGCTTTTCCGGTGCTGGGAACTTAGTGAACTTGATAAGCTCTCCCAAAACCCAATTGGCTTGCCGGTTAATGACTTGGAAAGGACGATGAGAAAGGAGAGGAAAGACAATAAAAAGCACAGCATTGTAATAAAATACTTATCAAGTGGTTTATCTAGTTCAGATTGGGGGGGTAGCAAAGCTAGAACTCATTGCAAATAAGGACATGACAAGTGCTTGTGCTTGGTCTTTCGTCAACAACAACTAAAATGTTTAACAATCAGTGAGAAAATGCTTTCTTTTCTATTTCAAGCAACGGAAGAAGAGATTGGTGGATTGGCGAAACTAACAGTTTTGTTTTGCTCAGTGCTTCCTTTGATCCGTCGCTATAAGAGAAGGACTTGTGTAGACTCCACAACCGACAAACTTTTCAAAGCCGATAGTTAAAGTAAGCCATTGAAAACACAGAACAAACATCAGGCATGCTTCTTTAATGCATTACTATCTCCATACAGTGAATGGCCAATAAGAGAGCCTATCCTGTACAGCGAGTGGGAGGCAGCTGTCACGGCTTGAAAGGGAGATATCAAGCGCAAGAAACTGAGCTATAGGCCAACACTATAATGACGAACTAATTGATGGTATGACCCGAAAATGACATGGGATGGGGCCAAAACCCCAATAAGCAAACTAGTACTGTAATCTAGGAGACGAAGGAGAAACTAACCTGGTAAGTCTGAATTAGACACCAATGATCGGTTTAATGTGCTTGCGAATATCGCAAAAAAGCTAGAAGATGACAGTGAAATGCTGAGTGGGTCTCAACTCTCAACCTTTTCTGAATGCTCGTTTCGTGTGAATCTGTGCGGCGTGCTAGTGTGATTGTGTGAAAGAAGGGAGGGAAGAAAGGGACTCCTATCATAATTGATGATGGGTTTCAAGAGTCGCGGGGCGCCTTCATTTGTTGCGTGTCATTGTGATTTACACAGTGGCATACAGAGAACTTATTCCTTTTTCCTAACTCCTACCAAACTCCATTACCCCACAAACCCAGGCCATAAGAGTTCCAGTATTTATCAGTCCTAATCCTGACTGGAGAACCCAATTACCTTTAACTGATCACGACATTTACAGTATGATAATACCAGCCATTTATTACCAAGTCCGGGAAAAGGACACGGGTTTGGGGCCTGGGTCCTCCTCCTCTGCCTTGTATTTCCGTATGGTGCTTCCAATGTCCTTTCACCTCGTTTTTCACTTTCAAGTTTCATCGCCTCTGATTTCTATTTCATAAATTTCCTGATGCGGAGAACTTTAGGATGCTCACGTAAAGTGCCAAAGTGCATATGCAAATCAATTCGATGTACCGTCTCAAGCCAAGCAAGTCTGCATGAAGCAACTCTCTACAGTAGCACGACACAACGTGACGCGCGTCTTTCATGGCAAAAGGTTGGCGCTTGGTAGCAAATTTTTAGCCAGATGTGTTCGCCCTTTTGATTTGTACTTTCACGAATACGATGAAAAGTGTCACGTGAAAGTAAAATTGATGGGTTTGTGGCATCCATAGTCTTAGTGGCCCAAATGCCCAATAATTGGGGAAAACTTGGTCAAGACACGTAAACATGTTAAACGAGGTAAAAAAAAAAAAAAAACACTACGGCTTTGATCGCCCGTGCGCATGAGTCATTTTCTATCATGCATAAACTTTGAAGTTTGCATATAATTTTTCTGCAATTCTAATCTTACACTAACATTGATTGCTGGAAGGCGCCATGTAATGACATGTGTGTAACTGTAAGTAATTCGCCAGCCCTTTTTAACTATACGCGTGATCTCACAAAGGGCATATCCATACACTTTGTAAAAATGGAACATCAATCATCAATCAAATTGAAAAATAAAGCAACCCACCATTTATGAATAGTTTCTTCTTAAACCTGTCCCTGATAAAGTAACTGCGTAATAACAGGAGGATAATATATTTGGAGGGGACGAAAGGGAAAACGCTTACTTTACTTTGCGTGCTTTAATAGTAATATGATTATCGGTTTGTCGAATGGAGGAAGAAACAAAGCCAAAAGTTCAGGACACGGAAGGTTGCCATTATTAGGTTTATGCCGCCTATGTGAGCTCGAAATTGTTTGCGTGGTTGATGAGCAAAAAATTGAAATTGATTTTGTAAACACTTGATGTTCATGTTTACGAATTTGGGTTGATCCAACTGATTCAACTTGGGCCGAGTAAAATTCAACGGAATAAAGGTTTCCCCATCAAATTCATTTTTTCCAGTTCGATTATTTCCTTTTTTTTATATATATTTGACTTTAATTTTATGAAAATTCAGTTTCCAGTTTCGTTATTTGAAAAATGGTTAAAATGAAAAGAAACCTAATTTGTGCATAAATTTGTAATGGTTACTTATTTAATTTTAAGATGTTACTTACATCAATTTTTTTATATTTATTATGTCAAGTTTTCCAATCATACATGATTATATGTCATATTTTTAAAATATTAATATTTTGTTAATATTTTAAAAATATGAAACAGGATCATGTGATCAGAGAACTTGATGTAATGAATATAAATAAATTAATATAAGTTTTTTTTCTTAATTTTATTTGGTGGGTGAGTGACTGTGACTAATTAAATGAAGTTTTTAATAATTACAACCCTAAACTAATCTTTCTCAGTTCTCACTCTTCACTCTTCAGGCTGTGACTGTTCTCCTACCTCAGTTAGCATAAAAACAGACTAAATCCCTATCCGACGCCTTAGAGAATTGGTTAGGCTTAAACCTGACCTTAAGCAACAAAGGGGTAAGAGTTAAGGCCTAATTAATGATCTTTTAAGAAAAATAAGATAGGCTTTTTTCTTTTTCAATTGACCGGTTGGTCACTTGGCCCTAATTATAAATTCTCTTTAAATATATTTGGCTAAAATATGCATTTAATCATTGTCCTTCAACTAATGTAGAGTTTTAATATAGTTTAATCTTCAAAACAATAATAATTATTATGAAAAACATGATTTAAGCTTAACAGTTTTAAAACTAAAAAATTAAAAATATATTTTATAAAATTAATTAAGTTAAAACACTAAATATATACTTTAGGCAGTCTTTTTTTTTTTTTATTATACATAGCATATGTAATATGCTCTACTAATATAATGTGTAAACTGTAAAGCTACCATAATGGTCCTGTTTAAGATAGTGGTAAAAATCTCTTATAAACACGTTTTTACGTAAATCGAGATAAAATTTTTTTCATATACTTTCTCGTATTTCATAAATCATGATTAAAAAACTACTTGTAAGCTGTTTCAAACAATGCAATATCCTCAAAATACTTGAGTTTAGAAAGATTTTTCACCCCAGTTTTTTTTTTAACTACTTGATTATAAATATATAAGAAATGAGTTCTGTGCGCATTTTCAAAGCAGATGCCAAACAGCCCAGCCTTGTACCAATGATCCCTCCGGACCTGGCTTCTCTCCGCTGACAAGGTCCCTCTGCTGCCCTCCTCTACCCAAAACACTGCCGTTTTGGTGCAAAATGAGGGGAGCTGATTGCTTTTTTTTTTTTTTTTTGTATTCCTTTTTTTTTGTATTTTGAAGTTTTTTTCAGTAGCATCTAATATATTTTTTTGGTAGCACCTAATGTCTCATAATAATTTTTGGTACACTTAATACTCTAAAATATTTTTTGATACATTTAGCATCTTAAAATATTTTTTTCATAAGCATCAAATATCCTAAAATAATTTTTTGTTACATTCAGTATTATAAAATATTCTTTTAGTGACCTGGCTTAAAAAAAACAAAAATACAAGAAAAAGGGAATACAAAAAAAAAAAAAGAAGCAATCAGCTCCCCTCATTTTGCACCCAAAACGGCAGTGTTTTGGGTAGAGGAGGGCAGCGGAGGGACCTTGTCCTTATTCCTCCGCCTCGCGCGCATTGCCCTCTATCTTGTGTTGGGGCTCAAATCTTCTCCTATGCTCGTCTGCTTATTGATCGAATCCGTGCTCGCTTGCTCAGATCTTCTCCGTTAAGGTTCGGCTGAGCAATACCAGGAGTGTCGGCCACTTGATAGGTTCGAGCTTTTTTCCACTTCTGAATTCTCCGTTAGGGTTCATCATGTCGTTTGATTTAAACCGCACGGGTAGTGTAAGAAGCTTTATTTTGGAATGCAGATTGGCCTGCTCTTATTTACTTATTTTTTACGAAGAAAAATTAAGTAAATAATATGGATTCTCTGAGTTTCTCTGTCCAGTTTAAGGGCATGAAACCAGGAACAGCTGTCCATGGAAAATTCAGTGATTTAATCTAGGGAATTTAATTAATTTATATTTTAAGTAGCTCTATCTGATCCAGTGATCTCCATGTATACGGACAGTGTTGAAGTCCCAGGTCGCGGTATCCATTTTAGAGAAGCGGGTAAACCAAGCGGATCGGTTTCATTTTAAGGTGTAAGGATTTACTATGGATTCTGAAGACGCGAAAAGTGCAAGAGAATCGCTGGACCTTGCATTTCACATGGCGAATATACTTGACACAGGTCTGGACCGTCACACACTCTCTCTTCTTATTGCTCTTTGTGACCTGGGTGTCAACCCGGAGGCCCTTGGGGCTGTTGTCAAGGAACTGAGTGGAGAAGTGGCCAAGAAGAAATAACAGTTGACAGAAACCCCCATCTTCATCTTTTTGGCTGCTCGCAGCTCCATCACCTGCGTCCTAAATGGATTCCCCTTTTTAGTTGTGCCTGCGTGAGTTTTTTTTTTTTTGCGAATCATGCCTGCTTGACTTCTTGAGACCAGCCATACTGTATGTTTTCTAGTGTGGATTATTGAAATTTTGCACATCCATTGGTGGTTCTGTTGTGTGGTTTCCATTGATAATTGCTGATATTGGCTCAGCCCCAGGAAAAAAAAAAAAAAAAAAGGGTGCCGATTTTGCGATTTACACGTTGAAGGCTCCCCTTTTGAAAACTCACGCCCACGCACACCCTTCTCTAGTTTCCCGGTGATTTTCCTGGTCTGGGAAATGTGGATGATTACTGTTTATAGGTACGTACGTATATATAATTAGTTGTTGGGGGGGGGGGTGGGGGGATTGAGCCTGGCTCAGCATTTGGAGGGCAATAAGTTACTTCTTTTTGAGAGCAAAAACACGTTTGAAAAATTTGTGGTGTTTGGGTTGATGATTGAGTAATCTATTTTTTGCATAAAAAGCTATAAGTAAAAATTAGCGACTTATACTTATGGCTTATGACTTATGATTTTTGAAACATGAAGAAAAAGAAAGTTAAGAAATTTACTATCTCTTATAGTTCTTATTATAAGTCTCAAATAATTAGTTAAAATTAGTTAAAAAATAATAAATAAGTTAGAAATATATTTTTGTTTTCAATATGTCCTTATAATAAATGATAAAAAATATATATATAAGATTAGTTTATAAATAATTTAAAATTATTATATTATGTAAATTGATAATTTTTTTATTTTTTATTATTAATACAAGTCTTATTCATTTTAATAATTTTACAAATTAAAATTATTGATTCAATCATAATCCAAGTAACTTATTTTCATAAATTAATTTTTATAAATTCTAATCCAAATACAATTCACATTATCTAATTTAGTTTTTATTTAATTTTATTTTTTTAAAAATCAAATTGACAATATTTTTTTTTTAATAACTAATCCAAACGGACCCGGCTTGTTCAAGGATTGGAGGTTGGAACAACTCTTTAAAAATGGACGGGCGGTTCTGTTTTGGGCCAACCTTCAACGAGAGCCCATGACTTTATCATTTTCTTATTTTGCTGGGCTCACCGCCACAGGACTTACCCCAGTTGTTCAGACTAATTTTTTTGGATTTGAAGAGTTCTACACTAACGGTGTGAGTTATAAGCAGGACCTCAGTCCCCAAATCCCACTCAGCAGGAAACTTTCTTGTCGGTGTGCATGAAAAATTAAAGAACAAACTTGGCAATTGCTTAACCAAAAATAATTTGCTCAAGTAATTCAAAGCAACATTTTGTTTCGTTATTGGGTTGGAAGGTGTGGTTTTGGGACTAGTAAACATGCCTCCTATTACAACAATTCTAATTTTTATTTTAGACATCTTACGAGCCTCTTATTTTAAAGTCTTCAACGTATGAATATTTCGCATATTTGAAACTTTCATAACACGTGTCATATTTATACTCTTTTTGATAACATCACTTGAGAAATCAACCACAGAAACTTGATAAAGTACTTTCTTTTTTTAAAACAAAAAGAAATTTGTGCATTTCAAAATTTTGATTAATAGTTGCTTTTTACTCCAACGTGGCTTTTGGAGAAATTATATTTGACTGGCTTAAACTAAATAGTCGGAATGATATTTTCTTTTGCCGAATTCCTACTGATAAATATCCCAATGCAAGATCTAGTCTTGATGCATTATGCTCATGCATGTGCTTTCGTGGAGGGGAGCAAACATTAAGTGCAATAAGATTAATATTGAAACTTGAAAGCACAAGCCTAAAACAACCCTACATAGTCCAAACAAAATTCTCAAACTCATGACAAAAAATTGTTGTGTTGAGTCAAAATAATGCAAGAGCAAATGATTATGAAGATCTTTTGAGGGTTCTGACTATCACAAGAAGCACAGATCACAGGATATTTGTATTAATTCAGTATATAGAGAGATATTTTATGTTGGTTTGAGACATAAACCTAATCTGATTTCAATATTTCACTTATCAATGGGATGATTGAAAAACTAGAATTATCCCTTTTATTAGCCATAACCAACCCAACGCCTATCATAAGCAATTATTCCCCAGCGGAAGGGTTCCTTTAAGATGATTTGGAGCTAAAATTCAAACTTATCTGCAACACATGGTTATGATTGCCCAAAGAAACAACTAACAATTTGCTCAATCCCGTGGAATAGAGAATAATATTAGGAGTAATACACCCGCTAATGCCTTAAAGTTAGGCCATGTTCTACCAGATGCTTGTGAGAAATAAAAGTTGCGCAATTGGATTAACAAATTGAAGTTCTAAAATATAAAGTAATGTCGCAGGCTATCAACGGCCAAAGAAGGGGGTAAATGGAAATATCTGGTAAATATTATCCACAAAACAAATAAAGAAGCAGTGAATGTGAAGAGCGCCACGCCATACGCGTAACCACGTTGAGGAGACACAACAAAAATGTTGGCTTGCACAGACATGATGCATGGCTCATGGTAAGCCTGTTAATACCCTTTATATCAAATCGAAATTGAGGTTTATGTCTCTTGTCTGAGCTCTAACCACAGAATTCTAACACGAACATCCTTCATGTATCTTATTTTGTTCAATTCATGACGTGCAGTTTTTCCCCTCAACCTTAGTCTTAAAATTCTTCTTTATTATCTGCTGCGTTCTAAATTAAAAAATGTATATATTACGCTTTCAAATGAAGCCTATGCTTTAGCATATTGACCAAATATTCCCTACAAAGCTTTCTCTTTATGCCCTAGCGGCCATTCTAGGACCTCTCTATAGATGCTTCACTCTTTTCCTTTGATTCTATAAAGTAGCAGATTCCTGATTTCTTCCTCTGCAATAGTGTCAAACCCCTTAATCCAGTTCTTAGTTATCAGAACTATAAAATAATCTAGATATTTATCAACAGATTTACTCGTTTAGAACTTGTCAAGTCTCAACAAAGTAACAATGGACCAGTGGGAAAAGAATCTTCCCGCAATGGTGGAAGAGCCCATGTATCACTTTGTGCATGGGATAAGGATTCTGTATATTGATGGGAAATGTTAGATCTTCACCCATCACTTTCTCTCATTAAGATTTCACCAAAGTCGTTGGAGTAATTTTCAGCCAATGATCAGGCTACCCCCACATTACCAATTGTGGTCCTGATGCAACTTGACAACGAGACTCTTGCATTCACTTTGAATTGGTAGAGATCTTGTAGGAAAAACTTGTGACTAACAGAATTCCTACAAGAAAGGAAGAGGGACTTCACGAGCTGTAAGGAAGAATACTTAAACGTACGTCAATGAAAATGAAACCATTTGCATTGAGGGAATTTGAATTTGTCCATTACAAGTCTTATGGGAATTCAGAATACTGATGTGTTTAAGTTTGAACTTTAACATCCTGAGTTATATGTGAATATTTAGGTCTACAAGTCTTCAGATATAAAAGCCATTAAATAATGTTACACCATGAAAAATAAGCATTAAGTTTCACTAATTAGAGGAATAGACTACACTGAAGCCTACTTGCTGGATATCATGGACGACAGATCCATTAAGAGGGGGCAACCTAAACCAAGTTGCTATTTAGAGTCAAGGTGCCACTACACCGACCTCTAAGTATGTGCTCTTGAAAGATTGAGCCTGATTCCAAAATCCAGACCGATATTTTAGCCTTTTCCCACAATTGGGTCGTTTTAATTTCGTAATGAAATCCACTGAAGTATGTATATGGCTTGGTTAACAACATTAACCCAAGAATCAGTACTGCCCACCCCCACTACATGCATGACCACACACATGAACCTGTGGTCTAGGATGCGAAAGCAGAGATCCAGAGTACATTTTTACATGTCAGCATGAAGTCATTGAACTTGCAAGATTATAGACTTCAAGAACGAAATGAAAACATCAAGGCACACAATACAACAAACAAAGCAAAGGCACGCTATACTTGAAATTGTTTCAGAAGATCGAAGCGGAGTTAAGCTGAGCTATTGCTCATAAAACGGCAGAAATTAAAACAGAAAAAATTTAGTTCCTTGTAAATTTGTCAGAAGATAATGTTCATACAATATGTGGAAATCTTTATTTATGGTAAAACCATCCTTCTTTAGTTAGTAATTATCCCTTTCAGCCTCAAGTTATGGCAGTAATCAAGCTGATGAAGATTTCTGTCATCACTGTACTGCCTTTCCAATGACAACCAGATATCGTTTAAGATATGACGGTGAACTTTCCTTATCTACAGGTAATATTGTAATAATGGCCAAAAAAATTAAATGGGACAGCTAGGCTCACCCCATGTGTTGAACCCGGAGGGGCATACTTGACAGTTACCCAATTTGCATGAGGCATAGCCAAATGTAGCAGCTAAAGATGATGAACCCTTTACTGTATTTCGTGGTTAAAAACCTCTGGGCAAATCCTGAAACCTATGGTTATCCTCCACGGCTCCACCACACTGGCCTGAGGTAACAGCGAAAGACAAAGCACAAGATCTTATCAGGAATCAGGATATCCTCTACCTTTGTATTTATGGTACTGTATTAGTTGGACTTTGATACGGTCTCTCGAAATTATTTGGGGCATTAGAATTATAAAAATAAGTTCAGGTATTATTGGCTATTCCCTTATCCAATTACATCATAACGGATATCTTAGTGATAGATAACAATATGTATCATACTTATCACAAACTCTGTCTGAAACCCCGTAGTGATTAATGAGTCCAGAAAAGGAGGCCTGAGGAAAGAGGCGGCCTGTAGCGAACAAGAGTATATTGGGTGACGTATATGGCCCTTCCTTGGAAGTGAAAAAACAAAAGAGAATCATTGTACGGAAAGAAACGGGCCAGCTAGGTGTTGGAATATTGTGGAGGACATGGTATACTTAGAAAGATCATCTGCAACGATGATGACCATATCTGGCCTTCTTTTCAATCTCAAACTTTTTGAATAAAAAGCTTATAGCTTATGGTTGTGTGAGGCACACGTGAAAGCTATAGTAGCTGCAGCGGATTCATTGGGTTTATGCTTGGTCCCACATGGAAAACCTGCAAGCAAGATAATAATATTCAGAGCGACATTAGCTGACCTGGCATGCAACAAAGGAGCTTACATACCCTTATTTACTCAGTTTAGTGCTTTAGTTATCTTCTCTATGCAGATGTTTGTTCTTCGGATCTCATGTCTCTACCACATTGGAAATATATCGCTTAATCCGAAGTTTGATTATGTCTTATTTGCTGAACCACGTGAAGCGTTGTGCCGAGCTAAATATTATTATTTTTGGGAAGCGCTTTACAGGTTTTATGTGTTCAACTGTTTAACAACGTGCAATGTGTCTTCTAAAGATTAAATCCACAAAGCTCGAAGCTTGAGATACTGAACTTTTAACTTGAGATGGCTTTTATATAAAATAAGAAAGGAGGGGGGGGGGGAAGGAAAGAAAGAAAGAAAAAGCTTAGGTTAGTCCTAGCTATTCTTCATTCACTTATTTTACCGTATGAAGATACTGATTCTCCCACTGCTCTATTCTGTGGTTGCTGAGGAGACAAATCATTAAAATTCGACTTCATTTTGGCGAGATATTCAAGCCAACTGGCACCACCCCACCTTACACCTTCCACTTCTGCTATAAAAGGAGCAGGCATTGCCATCTCTCTGCACATATCACCAAGTTCCCTCTTCTTCCTTCAAACTCTCGTTCCATTAGGCATATAATCACCTTTTGTTCCTTTTCTTCTCACTTGATCCCCTCTGCTTTTCCACCCGCCACCGTTCTCTTTAGTGAACCTTCTCAAACTACAAGTCAGTGTTAAGAAATGGCATCAAGCTCAATGTCATCCTCAGGGTCATGGTCTGCTAAGGACAACAAAGCCTTTGAAAGGGCTCTTGCAGTTTACGACAAGGACACTCCTGACCGTTGGTACAACGTTGCCAAGGCTGTTGGTGGGAAAACTCCTGAGGAAGTAAAGAGACACTACGATCTCCTTGTGGAGGACGTGAAACACATAGAATCAGGACGGGTGCCCTTTCCTAACTACAAGAGAACTGGAGGCTCTGACGAGGAAAAAAGGTATATGACCACAACAATGATTCCCATTTTCTACTAAACCCCCACTAGACATTTATTTTTTCAACTGGCAAGCTAAAGCGGCACTGGTTAATTTTATACACTATCTCCCTTGCTATATAACCATTTATTTTCTCCTTCTGAATCTGATCCTATTGCAGGCTGAGGAACTTGAAGCTCCAGTGAACCAACTGGTATCAACAACAATAAAGATTTTCAACATCCTGCTGCTTCACATGAAAGTGCATGGTGCTATTTTATATGAGTTAGCAATAGCTTTAGACTAAGACTAGTAGTCATAAGAATCATGGCCCATGATTCCACGTTGTAATTTCGTATCCCTGAAGCTAGCAACAAGAATGTACGATTCTGTTTCAATTCCTAGTACGTTTCTGATTTCTGCCCATAATAAAGTTGTCATTTTTTGTTGTTATCTTTGTGTATCCTATGTATTGGCTCTTGAGTAATCCAGATACATCAAATCCTGGTCATGCAGCTTACTAATCATTAGTCACTAGTGGTGAAATGGCATAGAGAGACGGAGAAAAGAATAGCTTTAACTACCTGGTCAATTGGAAATAATCTTGACGATGAAAGAAATATTAAGAACCGAAATAACTCGTACAGCTGAACTCTATGAAGAAGGTTCCATTAGGTTGGGACCGAAAGTGACAAGAGGCGGGAAATTTTTCTTTGAATGTTGAAGACTCTGGCGTTCCTTAGCTTGCCACACGGAAACATAGTTGTTAACTGCCTACGACTTCCGTTGACCGCTCTCCAATTCTATTACTTCTTTATTTGCTTTTTCTTCTTTTTCCTTTTTCCCTCTCATTTCTCTTTACTTTCTTACGAGCTGAATAAAGGTTAAAGCAGTATGCTGCTGCTGAAAGTTTGCGCATGCAAGTATTGCTCCATTAAGCAGCTTGAGTACCCAGGTCTTTTCGCTCCCCAGTCCTCCTTAAGTTGAGACATGGATTTCAAGTTTCTAGCCCTTGCAAGCTCTTCAAAAGCAACGACATGTTTGATCTTAAAACATATACTTGAACAAGTCATTTAGTATGTGTTTAGTAGTATAGTATCTTCATTCTCACCCAAAAATTACAAATATTTTCATGATGCCAGTATGTGATGTAAGTTGTCATCATCATCCCCACAAATAAAAAAGACTAGGTTTTTTGTGCTTATAAAAAAAAATAGTTATTCAAAATTAATATACGATAGACTCTAAGAATAAGAAAATCTTACATTCTCAAAAGTTTAAACTAAGAAAACATAAATTAATGTTGCTTATAGTTCCAATGAAGTATTTCACTAGCTCTTCAATATAGAAATTAAAAAATGACACCTGTTCGAGTGTCATGATGGCATTATTCTTTTTCCGGTACAGATGACAGCAAATTCCTATTCCATCACGATACTAGATATTGACATGCTTATACAACAAACCAATATGGAAACCCTTGGTATAAGCAAATCTAGGATGGGAATGAAACTAAATTAATTTAAGTTTCTTGACCCCAAAAGCTCATCCATTATTATATTTAGACTAAAAGGAAAAGGACGCGGAATTGTGTCCCCTCTATGATCTATACCCAGGACGAATTTAACAATTATCTATTCAACTGCACCCTCCCTGTACTGAACTGTTCTTATCTTTAACGAGCCTTTCATGGAATGTTATAAAAATATTCACGTGCATGTACTGTACTGATGTTGGAAACATTTCGATTTTTATTTTAAGGTAGACAGTATTTTGCTGGCTAGTAATAGTACCTGCAAAAAATGACTAAGAATGGGATTGTCCGGAGCGTAAAGCAAATGAGACTCCTATTGGATGGTTTGAGTCGCGTTAGGTCGGTTTAGTTGAACTAACTCTTCTCGCCCATCTCCATTCACGAACAAGCAATTATTCTTCATTCCCGAACCATAATTACCCCTTCATTTTCTCTAATTCTTATTCACGGGACTCCCACTCGCTTAACTCTCGACTTCAAGTCAAATTTTTGAATTTTTTTTTTTTCTTTTAGTGTTACAAGGGAGCAAACAAACGAGATTAAACTATCAGCGGATCACAATCCCATGTGATGTGATCATGAAGCACAGGGCCCAGGGGAAGCTAGTCTGGAACTGTATCAAGAGAAGTAAAAGTCATCCGGTCGCTAATTCACATTCAGCCATTCTAGTCTTGGATTTGGTTCTCAGTGGACCTTCTTTTGAGCCACTTGGCCCAATCGATCTTATTGATTCACAGATGTTGCATGGCCCAAAGCCCCAAATGAATGAGAATGAGCTCATCTATTGAACGAACCGTGCACGTTTCTCCTTAAACTGGGGGAAAAATACAGGCCACATGATTCGTTACTGATATTTAGCAAGATTAAAACGATTACAAGCAAAACATAAATAGAATTAGCTACTGCAGATTGAGTGCGGGGGAATGGTCTTTCTGTCCCTCCAAATGGGAATGATTATCATCATGTTTCTCTAAATACCATTCATTCGCATAAATTTCTTCTTCCTTTCGTAGGTTAGTTGAAAGCAGATATACCAGTGTGCCTTCTGTTATTTTAGCTTCTCTTCTACAAACATGAAAAGCTTTCAACATAGCATTATTTAGGGCCTTCATAAGAACCGACTGAACAACTAAGTTATAAAGTACGTTACAAAACTGCTCAACTTTTACAGAAACGGACCGGATTGTTGGAATTCAAGTGCTACCAGATTCAATAAAACCACTTGTTCAGGGTAAGTAACTACCACCACCAAGTTCAGCTCTCAACAGGACGGGAAATATAAAAGAAAAGAAACCAAGGAGGGGGGGGGGATTTACATGGCTGACATGAAACAACACAGGGAGATGAGGCCTCTCAAATTTATTTTTGGGCCTCAGAGCTTCTATGCATTTAACCTACGTGCATACGGGGTATTGCCAAACGAAAGGATCAAAGTCTTGGGATTCTACTCTTGTACAGTTGTCCGCAGAGGTAGAGAGCTTTCAACTTCTTTGGTAGTATCAGAGCTCCTTTCCGCAACAACTTTGGACAAACCAAACATCTAAATCAATCCACAATCACACCGTATCAGGAGACAGCACAAAGACAAGACCAAAAGGCGATGCAAGCATGAGAGTTCTCAAGAAAAGCTTCAAGAGTCAAACCTTTTGAATGGTTTTCTTAAAGCAAGTTTTGTGTTCATCCATAGAAGCATGGATAAACTCATCAACATGATCCTTCAAATCCTCCAAGAACGTAGCTTGCTCATTCTTCTTCTTCCGACATGAGGTAACAGCTGTGGCAGTAGCAGCTGAAGAAGTAGACTTTTCGTGTTCGTTTTTCTGATTGTCCATGCCTCAAGACTCAACAACTGATACAAAACTAAGGCAGAGCTCAAAGGACTGAGAACAGGTATTATACAGGCAATGAAGACAGCAAAACTTTTTATAAGGTAAAATTTTGAAAAGGAAAAAAGAAATCCAAATCATGATTTTTAATCATCATTTGAATTTTATAATTCATGCTAATAGAAGGGTCAAATATAAGCTCAATAAAGTCAAACTTGTACATCCTATGTATCAAGGTTACTGATAAAAGCGTCTAGTCCGCTCAATCAAATGGAACAAAGGAGGCACTGCATCAACTTGGGGTCACGCAACCAAAGAAAAAAGCGTCCTTATATTATTCCAATGCTGTAATACGTTACAGCTCAAGCATTCAACGTGGTTCTGTAACTTCACTGGCACTAAATCAAAGCCCTCATATAGAAAGGATGACATCGCATCTCATATGAATAATATGGAAATATAATTAATAAAAAATACAAAACACTTCAATTGTTGATAGATGGAATCAAAGAAGAGCAACTAAGCTACCACATGCATAATTATTCTTCTTCTTAAATAAATAAAACTGCATGCCCTTTGCTACAAGATAAAACATTCATATATGCAGATTCAGACGTCAAAAATTATCACTTACATAGAGGTACCAGCAATATCCACAAACTAAAAAACCCAGATTCACTCCAAAAATAGTCACACAATGAAAGCATGATATAAATAAGTTATTTTCATTATCACAGAGAAACAGATTATTTCCCAAGAAAAAATTAGCACATCCAAAATGCCCAGAAAAAATATAGGATTCACCACCGATAGACTTTTATTTATATAAGCAAAATACAAAGAAACAAGCATGTCCTGTCCAGTCAGTCACAATAACACAAGAGGGGTTACGGTTGTGCTAGAAATAAGACCCAACTTTAAGTATACCAACTTACACACCAGTCAGGCAAATTTTAAAGTACAGAACAAAGCACTAATCAACCTTTTCTAAAGACATCATACCGGGACACAAACAATTGTCTTGCGGACAGGGGAAGAAGGTTGCGTCATACCTAAAATTTCTTACTTTTCCCATTGGTTTGCGGGACTACGAGGGTACGAGACGATAGATGAAATTAACATAAGACCTCATTTGAAGGCCATTTGCTTTGCTTAAAAGCCATTGCAGGAGGCTTTAAAGTCATAAAATAGATTGTTCGGATGAAATTTGTAAAGAAGAAAAGCAAGTCAAATCATCTGTGAGATTCCAGGATCCTTCCTGGGCAATTTAAACTGAGAAACCTTTGGGTGCTTCACTAAGGAAAACAAGAGGGAAGGCTGGGAAGCTATCCGAGGCGGGGGAGACGAGCCAACCGTCCCGTTTGCCTCATTGAAATGATAACAGATGAGAAATAGATACGGCGATACGGCTGACGGAAAGATTTACTTTTTGTGACTGGAACGCGTTGCAGGCGTGACGCTAAACCCTTACACAATCAAGACTTCATCAACGACTCTAAAGATAAAGGCACATCTAGAGTCGCAGCAAAGACATAGAAAATCATGATGAGCAAATACTGAACCACTTTCAAATCTACACAATAGCAGGTGAAGAACTATGGAGGGAAAATCATGAACACGCTAAACTACTTACCGTGAGAATGAAGGGGGATTGTCAATTAATGCATAAGAGAATATATATTGAAAAACACAGAGACGCAAATACCTGAATTTCGATGGCAATAGCGAGCAGCTTTGATCAGAGAGGTCTTGAGTTCCGACAGCGTAATATAGGAATTCAAGGATCGTGTCTTCTTTTTCTCCAAGAAAGAAATATTTATATTTATTTATATTTTATTCTGAAGAAAAAGGAAGAATGAGAAATAAGATTTCTTTTATGAAAAATAAATTAATGATAATTAAATTTGATGAAAGTTTTTAAAATGTGCGGTAAATGTTAGCTTAAATAAAAATAAATTTAAAATTCGTATTATAAATATGGTATTTAAGTTTGTAATGTAACTTTTAATTTGTAATTAAGATCCTTGTCAATTTATTTTTTTTTGAAATACTTGACCGATTTCTGGCAAAAAAAATACTTGACCGATAATCTAACTTTATTAATTTAATTCTTTGAGACTTTATTAAAAAAAAACTCATAGTTTTCCTCCGGCCTCTAAAAAAAAAAAGTGAACAGAAAACCCTAATCTGGTGAACTTTAAAATAAAAAAATTTATATTTCATTTAATCTGTGAATAGTTTAATGGGAGGGACAAAATTAAAAATATAACTCGCACTGTCGCACCCTACAGGGTTTTAAAGTTGTCTTGGATGAATGAATGAATTTCTTTTACCTGTTGGGTTACTTATATACGACTGTCATTGAAAATTTGAATATATTATTGTCTGTATTTTCTAATTAAGAGTATTATGAAAAATGTCTAAAGAATAAAGAACGGAAAACGGCGTCGAAGTCGGTTGGATTCAGCGTTCAAAGAAATGCTTGAAACTCAAAAACCCCCGCCTTGACCCTCTCATAAGAAAACCCCTGCCTTGCTGCCTTGTAACCCCTGACTCGGATTCTAATACACCGCGCATTTGGGCCCACCTTCACGCTTGAACCTCTCGCTCTCCTTCATCGAAGTTTTAATCACTTCCGAAAAGGTTAAGTAATCGCTCATGGAATATGATGAATTCATCGACCCAACTGATCAATCTTCTCAAGGTGCTTCGTCGGAAAGATACCTGCTTGGCTTCGTCTGCGCCCACATCGTTGGGGTTAAGTACTATTCGGGCACCATCAGTGGCCGTGAAATGGTTGGTCTGGTCCGTGAACCTCTCAACCCCTACGATGAGAACGCCATTAGGGTCCTCAACACTAGAGCAACTCAGGTTGGGCATATTGAGCGCTCCGTCGCTGCCGTACTGTCTCCCTTGATAGACTCCGAGCTCATCATTGTGGAAGGCATTGTGCCCAAAACGTACTCTGGTAACAAATTCAAGATTCCTTGTCAAATTCATATATTTGCGACGATTGAGGCTTTTCCAACCGTGAAAGACGTGATTTCAGACGCTGGGTTAGCTTTAATTTTAGTGTCTGATGCAGCTTCTACGTTGTCAGAGTCTATGGCTGTGAAAGAAAGGAAGGCTAAGAATGATTTTAAGAGTGTAGATGAGATTTTTAAGTTGGTTGATGAGAATTTTAGCAAAAAGGGTATATTGGAAGCTTTGGAGCCTCCTCGAAGTGTCATCAAGTCTAATCTTTTCCTACATCAGAAGGAAGGCTTGGGGTGGTTAGTTCATCGAGAGAATTCTGGTGAATTGCCGCCATTTTGGGAAGAGAAAGATGGAGCCTTTGTGAATGTTTTGACTAATTATCATACGAACACAAGGCCAGAGCCTTTGCGAGGTGGTATTCTAGCAGATGATATGGGATTAGGCAAGACCTTAACTTTACTTTCCTTAATTGCTCTTGATAAAGATTCTATTTCTCTAAATACGGAAGAAGGGAAGCATGATGAAAATGGGGGGCGCAATGAAGGATTCGCTGTCTCAAGTGGTAAGAAGGGTAAGAGGAGAGGAACAAATAAACAGATCACTGGATCAGAAAAAAAACGCAAGACTGAGAGTACTTCTTCAAGGGGCCATGTAAAAGGAAAATCTGTTGCTGCAGATGTCACACCTTCAACTGGCATGAATATGAAGACTACCTTGGTTGTGTGCCCCGCTTCTGTAATTTCAACATGGATATCACAGTTAGAAGAACATACTAAACCAGGAACATTGAAGACGTACATGTATTATGGTGATAAAAGGACCGAGGATGCTGAAGAACTTAAGATGTATGATTTAGTATTAACCACATACACGACCTTAGCTACTGAAGAATCTTCTCCAGACTCACCCATAAATAAAGTATATTGGTGGAGGGTCATTTTGGATGAAGCACATGTAATCAAAAATGTGAATGCTAAACAAAGTCAAGCTGTCATGAAAATTGTAGCTGAGCGGAGGTGGGCTGTTACAGGGACACCAATTCAAAATGGTTTATATGATTTATTTTCTCTCATGGCATTTTTACGCTTTCAACCATTTTCAACAAAGAGTTATTGGCAGAGCTTGGTGCAGCTTCCTCTTGTTGAAAGAAACCCAAACGGACTCTTACGTCTTCAGGTATTATCATGCATCAGTTCCTGTTGTTCGCTTATAAGATCCAAGGTCACCTACTTATGGCAATATTTAAATGATAGCGCACCATTATTCTAGCTCTAGGCTTGATTTGTGGACTTCGTGCTACTTCTCTTTGTATGCAGAAACATAATGAATGTATCATTGGTTAATGTTGCCACTTGTTTTCTTTAATGTTTACTTGTGGTGTAGGTCTTGATGGCAACAATTTCATTGCGAAGAACGAAGGATAAAGCATTGGTGGGATTGCCTCCAAAAACTGTAGAGACTTGTTTTGTGGAACTTCTTGAGGAAGAACGGAAACTATATGATCAGATAGAATCGAGAGCAAAGAACATAGTGGCAGGTTATTTTAATGACGGAAGCATAACGCGCAACTATTCCACTGTACTTGGTATAATTTTACGGCTTCGACAAATTTGTACTGATATGGCATTGTGCCCATCAGATATCAAATCTTTACTCCCTTCTAATAGCATCGAAGGTACCAAAGTTCGCAGTTTAACATTTTCTTTTTAAACTACTTGTTTTTTCAACCTCTGATTTCTGACGCCACTAATAACTGTGATGTAGGACTGAATTAAGTAGATACTTACTTTGTGTATCTGGTTTGTTAGATTTCTCATGCTTTCCTTTTCTTGCCGCCATTATTCCTTGAAGCTGAGCATGCATGGAATTTGGAAGTTTCTATATAATTTGTAAACATATCAAACCATGTGCTATAAAATTTCTTTGATTCCTTTAGGTAATGTCCTTTCCCATATGTCATGATTGACGATCATGAAAAGGTCAGTGCAGACCACCCTACCGGGGATCACTTAATGTCTATGAGATCAAAGTTATTTTATTCAAAAAAGGAAGATTGTTTTAGGTTGGCAATATCAATGCCATATTTTGTACCTCATAACGATACTTTTTCTTGTTTTAAAAGGAGATTAAAGTTTAATTGGCTTTAAAATGAATCTGTGTTAGGATTTCTAAGACATAGTTGTGAAGAATTTGATGCTATTCTTGTTTCTTGTATCAGCCAACTGTAGAATATCTAACTGGTCCGAAAATGTTATATATATTAATATGTTGCCGGAAAGTTCAATGACATTCCTTTACTGAAAAATACATAGTTGAGTCATGAGTCATGATTATTTCTGTTCTGAGGTCAACATCTGCCTTGTTTCTTTCTTATGTTAATTGATTTAATTGTGACAAACTATCAAAGAATCTGAAAATGCAGGCAACAATGAACCTGTTAACATAATTTTACATTTGTTTAATGCTTGCTTTATATTTTGTGTTTAAACAGATGTTTCCAATAACCCGGAATTGCTGCAAAAGTTGGTAGAGGTGCTGCAAGATGGTGAAGATTTTGACTGTCCAATATGTATTTCTCCGCCAACGGATATTGTAATTACATGCTGTGCTCACATATTCTGCCAAGCTTGTATTCTGAAAACCCTACAGCGGAGCAAAGCCTGTTGTCCCCTTTGTCGTCACCCCCTCAACGAATCTGACTTGTTCTCCGCCCCACCTCAATCTTCTGATGCTGATGCTGCTGGACTCTCTTCGGACAAGACAAGCTTATCCTCTAAAGTATCTGCTCTGGTGAAACTTCTTGTTGCCTCAAGGGATCAACATCCATCTGCAAAATCAGTTGTGTTTTCTCAATTTCGTAAGATGCTGATCTTACTGGAACAACCTCTGAAGGCAGCTGGTTTCAAGACACTGCGCCTTGACGGGACCATGAATGCTAAACGAAGGGTTCGAGTTATGGAAGAATTTGCAGCTGGAGGAACAGATGAACCCATTGTTCTACTGGCAAGCCTCAAGGCTACAGGCACAGGTATAAATCTGACAGCCGCCTCCAGAGTATACTTATTGGAGCCATGGTGGAACCCAGGAGTGGAGGAACAGGCAATGGATCGTGTGCACCGCATTGGACAGAAAGAGGAGGTGAAGATTGTAAGATTGATTGCTAAAAACAGCATTGAAGAGAGGATATTGGAGTTGCAAGAGAAGAAGCAGCAGCTTGCAAAGGAAGCGTTTGGAAAGAGGAAAGCAAAGGACGGTAGGGAAGTTGGAGGGGATGATTTCCGAATGCTCTTGTCCTTGTGAGCTTTGTTCTTATGTCAATATTAGTTGATGGTTAACATCAAATGGTAGTGCATGTATGTCCCATGTTGTGTTCATGTACGTATGTTCTCGTCTGTTTTTTTGTCCATTTTTGGCCAAATGCTTTTGCCGTTCCCAACCAGGAACATTCAACATGCCCAATGTAATGGCAGCATGCGCACAGGCTTCCATTTTGAGATTCTTGGTTCCACTGATAAGCAAGTATACTTGTTTTGCTTTTCCTTTGGGTGTTATTATCTCTTGAATCTATATTTTTGTTGGTGATTCTTTATCTTTTGAGACCTTTCAAACTTCTAAACAAGATTTAGTGTATCTAAGGACAAACAAGTAAAGGCCGATCAACTTCTGCACTATTCTTCACAATAATGGAATGCAATTTTTGAAGTGACGGTTATGAATGAAGTATTTTTCTCTTTTTTGGGACATGAAATAAAGTTCTCCTGAACTTCAACCAGCATCGAAATGTATTTGGAAGGTTACCAACCTCAGCTTTTTATGTAATAATTGGATAATTAATTTATATTGATTAAAAGCTAGTCTAGTTATTTACAAACGTGTGTGTTGATTTTTTTTAAGTACTCCTTTTTCTAAATATTAAAGGAAACATATTAAATGATTTTAACAAAATCTCTCAAAATAAAATGGCTATGCGTATAATGGCATAAAAAACGACTATACGTATTGCCAACTCATCCAAATAATGTGATGTCACCAATCACTTTAATATCATAAATGTATGGCATATGGATATCAAACAGAGAGAACTGTAGTAAGGTCCCAAATAAGGAATATATTCACAAAAAACCTCATAACAAATGAACAGCTTATAATAATAAATTCTATAGTAGAAAATGATGATGTATTTTAACTCCCAGCCATTAAAATTTTTTAGTAATTATTTTTTTCCTCTAAAACGTGAGTGTAATTCTTCCGATCAATTAACCACAGGGACACAAGGTATATTAGCTGAACGGCCAGGAAAAAAAAAACTTACTTTGTTGGGCCTCTTTATGATGGGGCCGAACTGAAGGGAGGAAATAATAATAATAATAATAATGTCAAAAAAATACTTTTAAAACTTAAGATTTTAAAACACTTTAATAATAATTAAAGACATTTAAAAAGCAAATGACAGCAAATTTTTGCAGTCATTTTTTATTTAGAATTTTAAATTTTAGATTTTTTTTGGAGATTTTTTCTAATAATAATAATAGTATGGGATTGTTAACGGGGTAAAATAACGCAAATCCATTTATCAACCAGTGCTTGGCCAAAAAAAATCAAACAATGCGTCTATTCACCCCAAAAAAACAATTTATTTTGTATTATATATATATAATACTTATTAAAGGCAATGAGATATTCAAAACATATTGATTGACCAGTAGATCGATAAGACCGGGGAAAAAATCAAACAAAATTAAAATACTGGCATCTAGAATACAATTGAAATCTTAAAAATCGAGTTGGATTGTATGCATGTGGCAGAAAATTAAGGTACACGGAGTATATTTTTACCTTCTTTTTATACTTCCTTCTAGCCTTCGGAACCCTATTAATTTTCCGTTCTTCGTGGTTTCTTTACTTTATATTCTTCTGTTCACATGTTTAAAAACTATTTTAAATTAATTTTATAATATAAATAGATACAAATACAAGTAGTGAAAGGACAAAATTAGAGTCAAAGCATTAAAACAACAATCGTTAACGGGACACAGAAACACGTTGATTTTTAGATTGGTTCATAGTGAGTCATTTACTTTAATTTAAGCCTCTATCAAATAAATGTTAGTACAATTTTAATTTCCAAATTTCTAGCTTTGAAATTTCAATATTTATTGATTAAAATAATTTCAGTAATTAATATCTTCTAATTTACTTTAAATTTACAAATATAAGAATTTTAATTTAAAATTTATATGTTTTTGAAATTCACAATAAATTAATTATATTTATTTTCACCAAATTATTCGAAATTGATATTTTTTTTTGTGCTTTCTATATAGTGAAAGCAGTCAATTCATTATATATTTGAAATCTTAACTCATAAAATAAAATGTAATCCTTGACAAATCTTTTGTTACAGAACACAGATTACATATAGTCCCCTATTAAGTAGGAAATTTTCTGGTTCGACGAACGAAAACATTATTTCCTTTAATTAGCATATTCAGAAATTAATGATCAGACAATAAACATCATGGAACATTGAACGTCCATTAATGGCATGTTTGTATTGTTTGTCTGGTAATAAAGCATTACATGAAACCCTTTTTGTTTTGGGGGGGGGGGGGGAGGCGGGGCACTAATCATTCACTCGCCATTGATGCTTTCTTATTAATCTGATGGAGTCTTCTAATGAATTTGTATCGGGTATGGCTACCCAATTTATCTGTGAAAATTCATTTTAAAAAAATTCCCCGCCTTTTCTGTAAGCAGCACTTTTGAAAAATTAAAAAAAATAATAAAAAAAGAATCAGTGAGAAGAACGTTTTGTACATAACCGTAGGATCAGGTTTTGGGGGCGCTGAGTCCTTAATTAAAACTGCCATTTCGTAGCCTATTTTCTGGAAAAAGCCTGAGAGTTCTTGGGACGTTGTCAAATATTGTATCGATGTTCTCAAAGTTAGTTTCGCTTAAGGCAGAGCAGTGAATTTAATTTGCCAATTTTATGACAGAGCCAAAAGCAATTAATGCTGAGAAAATAAGCATTATTACACAATTGCAGGATCATTAAAAGGAAATCCCTTCAAATTAATTTATTTTCTTTCACAGACGCCTCTGAATTCCTTGTATATAATCTTTGGCCGGATGAAAACCCAGGCCAGATTCACTAATCAAAACCACCATTTTGCTTGTTTCAGGCTGCATCTGTGGATTTCTCTTTTAATTTCCCGCTTTTCTTCCTTTTCTTCCTCAGAAAACGCATCCCCAGGGAAAAAGAACACCACCTTTCCTCTCATTTCTCACACCTATATAACCAAGTTCAAGTGTTGGTAGCATCATCAGAAAGTCACAAACTTTGAAACCTTTTGGATAATCTCATCGAATTTCCCATTCCCCAGATATTGAAACTTTGTCGCCATGGAACCCAAAAGCCTTGAGGAGTGGAGAAAATATTTTGAGAGTGGAAACTGCAGCATCTACCAGATCATCTTCAATGCGATAAGAATCGCTGCTTTGGATGACCCAGAAGAGTTCAAACTTCGCAGAAACAAGATCGTTGAGAGGCTCTACTCTTGCCAATTCACTGGGTTGTGTTGCTGCTGCGTTGATCAGACGGAGAAAGATATTCATAGCACCATTAAACAAGTTTTCCAGGACTGCAAAACTGCATGTGCTCATCACAAGAGCACTAAGGTCGTCGATGATTCCGCAGTCGGAGGAGCGAGAGTGACCGATCAGCAGGCCACTGAACCAGGAAACAACGATGAAGATGAAGACGAAACTGTTCGCTGTGTTTTGCAGATTAGGGATGAGCTTGAGAGCAACGAGCTGGTCAGTACATACTCCCACTTCATGCAATTTCGGTAACAGTAATTCGATTTCAATGTGATTGTGAATTGGTTTGATTAGTTCAAATAAACCTAAAACTATAGATTTATATTCATGCCTGGACGATAAATCAAAGGCTACTGGCCTGGCCACGTATATCGTGCGTTTGGGATGATTACATCCTTAAGTTATTCTCTATGTTCATCGTTTTCTTTTTTTCTTTTGATAGACGGACAGTGAAATCTACGGTTCACTAAAGAAGTTGCAATTGGTGGTTCAATCAGTTTTCGTTATGGAGGTAAGACTCTACTATTTGTTATTTATGATTTGGTTTTGATTTCTATCAAGTGAGGACCATATGAATTCGATTTTGTGAAAATTAATACGAGATGTTCGAAAAAGCTAATTTTAATTTGTAACCAAAATATACAATCATTAAGAGAGAGTATTATGAAAATGAAAACAAGAAGCAGCTCCTGGAATGAGGTAAGAAACAAATGGGTTAAAAGGAGAACACCATGTCTTAAAATCTTAAAACTCAAGTTAATGAGTCCTCCTACTTATACACACATATATAATGCATAATTTTATTTGATGAGAAGCTTCTCATAATAACAAGTGAAGTCTATCCACACCAAACATCACCTAACAATTTCCACTCAGGTAAAAGTCCATAGTACTCTCCCGCATAATAAAAACGCCATAAAACGCCAGGTCTCAGTCAAAGCAGTGCCAACCCATCTAATCTGAATGCAGGTTTCAAATAGTGTGGCAAGTATATGAAATATATTAATAATAGAGATGAGATGTTGTAGATTGAAGGTGTTCAGAGAGTTGCATTGCGACAGGGAAGAATTCTCTAGATGATCCCTATATCTGTTGGCCGTCGCCTAGATGGCTAGAAGGAGTTTAACAAGAGTATACTACTTCGGGTCCTTAATAGAAGATTTCGTTTGATTTTTATTTTAATTGATTCTAAATAAAAGGCTCTAATTCACTTTATCTCTCGTATTTATCCATTCTTTTTCTAAATTTGTCCTTATAATAATGGTAGTTATAATCAATACACATGATTAATAAAAATATTTTATGAAAGACAATACTTATTTATTATAAATAACCAACTTAACTAGTTTTTTTAATCTATTTAAATTAATCAACTAGCTCTTATATTAAGGACCGGAGATAGTATTTATATAATTTTATATATGCCCTCCATATAAGCATTGGGATGATATATGTATTGTATTTCTGATTATCTGTGCAGGCTACAAAAATAGGGAAAACAATAAGTAATCTTAGGCGCCACAGGGCGAAGGAGATCAGTCTTTTAGCAACAATCATGGCTGAGTATGAATTCTCTGCCCCTTTATTTTCTTTTCTCCCACAACAATCTTACACACACAATCATGCATAATTAAGCTGATTAAATAGGAAAAACCAACACCTGCAAGAAGCCTGTTTATAAGAAATCTCCTCTAAATCTTTTCAAATCAACGTGGAACTAAGAGATGTACGGCTCAAACAAATTTAAAGCCTTTAACATTATATTTCTCTCAAATTTTAACTCTATTTTCAGTTCTTTTTTTTGAATAAATATGATGCGTGAAGAGAATCGCGAACGTGCATGAAAGGCTCTAAAGTAATATCAGTTATCTTCGATTGTTTTGGAGCCCTCTACACTTGTCACCCGTGATTTCCTCCACGCACCGAATCCATTCCTCTCACTACGCCAGCTTCGTAAATTTAGGCTAATGCAGGTTCTGAAGTTTACGTAACATCTTGAGTGGGATTAATTAATTAATTCCATCCATAGAAGAAAATTTTACAAAATTGAACTCATATTAGCCTGTTACGATTAGTCATGAAAGAGGCATTATTGATTGAAACAAGAAGGAAATTATGCAGGCGTACCGTGAGAGAATTGAATTATTAAATTTGATAGTTAACATGTAATTCCTAATTTGCAATTATATCGCAGCCAATGGAAGTCAAAGATCGTGGAGTTTGTGGATAATAAAACGGCAGGAACTACTGCAGGTAATTAAGCGGTATTTTAAACATCTATGACAGTCTTGAGTTCATTAATTATTAGAGAGGTGAATTAGAAACAGACGCTTACTAACATATTTTCATTATGTAGAAAAATCCAAAAACCCTGTGCCTAGATTTGTTCTTGACGAGTGGCGAGAATTTCCTTCTGTTGAATATGTTCCTCAGCCTCCAGTGGAGTTCTCAGAGGTATAAACATATAACATTTCCAGCTTTTGCTATTGTTTCTTTGAGCTTTGAATTGTTTTGTGTGTGTGTGTGTGTGGGGACATACACGCATCTACGCATTGCAGCATTTTATGCATGATCGATTCATCTGAATATGTGCTCCTGTTTTGTTGGCCACAACGGGGCTCCTTTTCTTGAAATGAGTAGAAGTTCCTTGACGACATGGATGATTATGAAAGTAAGTCATTATTCTTTTCTTTTCTTTCGTTTTCTACGTCGTTGATTGATAAATCTCTCTGCCTCCCTGATCTGGATTATCTTGTATTATATTCAAGAACGCTAAAACTGCTTATATTATTAGTTATGGGGAAAACAGATGCCACTGGAAAGGATAATAATGAGACTGATCGGGAAAGGCAAAGGAATGTCGCAAAAGAAAAGGAGACTGAACCGAAGCTACAAGAATCCATGAAACGAGAGAAAACAAAGAAAGAATTGGTTGAGAAATTCACAAATCATCGCAGATCCAATGGATCGTCCGACAAGAGCCACGTCAAAGTCGAAAAGACTGATGCAACGACGACGGAGAAGAACCATTCAATGGGAACCAAAAGGAAACTGGAGGAACAAGACGCAGAGCTCATCACATCCATAAGGCGGAAGAAACTAGAAACACCGAAGCAAGAACTGAGTCGTCATAAGCCATCCAAGTCAGCACTAAACCCTAATATTGCAAAGACTGAACGTGCGTCGTCAGACAGAGATGAGAAGCCAAGAGTGAAGAAAGAGGGTCAAAATCACAATTATGATGAGCCTCATAACAGGCACAGAGCCCTTCGTATCAATGCAGAACCCAGACACGCTAGTCCCCGCGCGAGCGAGGTACGTTTTTAATTTGAATTATCCAAGCTTAGTTTTAAACCAGTACTACTTATACGATTATTCCATCTGCCTCTATATATACAGTCACGCAGGTCATCATCCGATAAAACTGCAACGGAAGAGAGACTTGAAACCTCAGAGAAGAAACTTCAAGTGGGCTACGAAGCTCATGAGAGAGGTTTGCCGCCTCTTGCGTTACGTTATCTATTTATGTGTGGGTGTTACTTTGCTTGCCGCCTAGTATTCTTTTTCCCCTTTTAAATGACGCTGCAGTTCCTATTTTAACAGCCAAAAGGAACATCCAGTTAATTCCAGAAGGTGATCTTCTTCACAGGAAAGAACCAAACTCGAAAATGAAGGCTCGGCACTGGGTTTGATGATGAAGTGCATGCTTCGGATTTCAAATTTAGTTTACATTCTATGAGCTACCTCCTCGGATGTTCTGTATTTAATATTTATGTTCTAACTCTGTCGTCAAATAAATATATCTGTAGGCCTTCATGATATGTCGGAACCGGAATAAATATTTGAGTATATAGGGTATGCGCTGAGAACTGCAAGTTTCCGTGCTTCGAAATTACTTTTCTTTTATCGCCATATGACATTACAACAACGCATCTGGGGTTGTTATGTGGTGGATGTGCCCATATGGAAGACTCTGCTATTCGTCCGTATGGAGAACGAATGAGTCATTAGAGGAGTTAGGTGCAGGGCGTTCCCTTTGGTGCTGATTTAGAGCACGTGGTTTTGGTGGATGGGCCCAGAATGTAGAGATGGGTCCAAGCAAATGAAAGCCCACAGTCGAGTCCATTCGAAACCCACAACTCAATTATTGCGCCATGCGGTGATTCTTGTCAGTCGGTTATGTTATGCGCAGTATGGTATTTACAGTCACATGATTTTTTTTTTTTGGGGCCAGCACTGACAGACACATAAATATATCCTCTGTTATTCCTCTATTGTTACATTATAAGATTACTTTTGGTTTGGGAATAACTATATAAAAAAAATTTGTATTTTATGAGACAAGACACTTTTTTATGAGTAAAATCACTTAACATAAAGTGATCATTTTCACGTTCCTCCCCTTGTGCCTTGGTGGATGACGTACTGGGTTGAGTGAGGATAGGTTATGAAAGGAACGATTAATCCAGCAGATAATATACCAGTTAACAAACATGGGCAGCATTAAATAATGAAGTGGCTTTGGTGGAATCATGAAATTCGGACGCTTGATTGAGGCGGTTGGGAATGGATTTGAAGTGGCCCATACTGGGAGAAATGGATTGAATGCAGGGAGTGGTTTTGACTTTTCAAGTCGTCCCACGCTGGACATTGATCACAAGCCTTCGCTGGTAATAGTTTCTTTATTGCGCCTTTGACTTGAAGCCCGCCCCCCGCCCGGGGGAGGGCGCTAAATCCTACAAATATTATATTCCCACTCGAATTACTCTTGTAATGATATTGTATTGATGATGACGAGATAACCATGATACAACGTTACAGCTCGTAGCGTGTAAAAATGCTACGTGGATCTTAGCAGCATATGATTGGGCCTTAGGGCCCCGTTCATTGGCCCGACAAAAAAAACAAAGAGGTAAAGAGAGAGGGGGAGAGAGAGCACAAATCCCATCGTTCCCCATACACAGCCTGAATGGGCGTTAGGTAAGCGTGGTGGATGCGCTTTTCCAAACCTCTGTCGCTTCCCATCGTCCCCCAGGCGGCCAATTCTGTTGCGCTTCGTTTCGCCTGTCTTTCTCTTCCCTGACCAGCAATGATGACAGGCCAGCTCATCCATTTTAATATGGTCCCATGAAGAAGAAAATACATCAAATAAGTCCCCTAAAATCTCATAATTTTTCTGAAGTCCCAAAAGGATCTCAGTGCAATTTTCAGAATACACAAATTACTGTCTTGCCCTATCCCTGCCATCAGAAACAAAACGGGAGAAGTTCATTTGGATGAGGAGTTCCTGCGCAATATGCTTGAAAGAGAAGACATAGGGAAAGAGGGAAGAAGCCATTGATGATAAAATATCTTCTCCACTACCATTAGTGAACTCTAAAGAGCTTCCATGTGAATCTCCACAAATGTTCAGGTGTGAAATTTTCTTGGGAAAATTTCACTGTAGGACCGCAGAAGACAATTAATTTCAAAGAGCCCCCAAAACTTTCTGAAACTTCACTGTAGGACCAAGGGGGCAAACTGATATTAATTCCACAAAGAAAATGACGCTATTGCCCCTCATAATACTTATTGCAGGGTGACATGTAAATGGACTAATTTCAGTTGTAAATAAAGGTATGTATGTTGCGAATTGACTAGTCCCACTTGCAAATGGGTTCTCTCACACTTATTCACTCACATGCACCTTTTTCAGGTAAATAAGGTGATATGTAAATGGACTAATTCTAATTGTAAATAAATGTATGTATGTTGTAAATTGACTAATTCCACTTGCAAATGGGCACTCCCACACTTGTTCACTCATGGAGACCTTTTTCAGATGAAGGAAGTGACATGTAAATGGACTAATTCCAGTTGTAAATAAATATATGTATGTTGCAAATTGTCTAGTCTCACTTGCAAATGGACTGTCCCACACTTGTTCACTCAGACACATTCTTCAGGTGAAGAAGGTAATATGTAAATGGACTAATTTTAATTGTAAATATATTTATGCATGTTGTAAATTATCTAACCTCACTTGCAAATGGGTTCTCCCATACTTGTTCACATGAGGGGCAATAGGGTCATTTTCTTTGTAGAATTAATATCAATTTGCCCCCTTGGTCCTGCAGTGAAATTTCAGAAAGTTTTGGGGGCTCTTTGAAATTAATTGTCTTCTGCGGTCCTACAGTGAAATTTGCCCAATTTTCTTTCCTCTCTTCTCCTACCTTTCTTGACAGATTGTGCATTTGTTTGGGAATGAAAAATCAGAAAACTGTTTTTGTCTTTTTGGGTTACTTGTGGGTTGTTTGAGAGAGAAGACATAGGGAAAGAGGGAAGAAGCCATTGATGATAAAATATCTTCTCCGTTACCATTAGTGAACTCCAAAGAGCTTCCATGTGAATCTCCGCAAATGTTCAGGTGTGGAATTTTCTTTCCTCTCCTCTCCTACCTTTCTTGACAGATTGTGCATTTGTTTGGGAATGAAAAATCAGAAAATTGTTTTTGTCTTTTTGGGTTACTTGTAGGTGGTTTTGGAAATGGGATTCACAAGTTAATCAATAGAAAAGCTGTGTTTTTGGTTGGTGCGTGTTAGTGATTTAAGTTGGGTGTGTAGGATGATCATGGGTGCTTTGTTTTTGGGTTGCTTGTGAGTGGTTTTGCTTTGTTTTGATGTTAGTTCAGTGGCAAAGGAAGAAGAAGATGAAGGTTAGTATGGGTGAAAACCCTTAAGACGAAATGGGATATTGTGTTGTCAATCAGGCCGCAATAGTTGTCAATGTGTGCCGCGACACTTGTCAACGTAACTCCTTAAGTTGTCAATGACAGTTGCGTGCTTCTTGATGCAGGTTTAAGTTACTGATGGCGAGTACGTCTAAAAAACATCTATTTTGCTTTGTTCACATAGGAGGAAGTTTATAAATGATGGAGAAGATGATATGAGATATGTGGGAGGTAGTGTAAGAACAACCAATGTAAAGGAGGGCACAAGTTATGAAGAATTGAAGGAAATTATATCATCAATTGCTAGAGAAGAAAATAACTCATTTCTTTTGAAATTCTCAGTTCTATATAGCTTAACAGCACTCAGCGTAGAAATTAACAACCTGAGTTATCCAAAATAACAATTAATATAACAGGAGTTAATGACAAGTGATATTAACAATTTTATAACAAATAAATGTGTGAATATTAACAATTGATATTCAAAATTTTTACAACTGAACGTGTCATTTATTTATAATGTTAAGTAATATTTGCATTAAAATATAATTATTAAAAAGAAGGTATTACTCAAATTTATATTCAATTGATAAGGGATAGTACCTTCATTAACAGGTCACAGTGTACCATTGACAAGTCATAGTGCCACCACTGACAAATCAGTGTGCCATCATTGACAACTAATAATCCGCCGCGGCGTCTGACCATATCCGTCGCGGCTCCCCCATCTGTCCCAAGTAGCTGTCATTCT